ACCAAGAATGGAAAATACATTCTGAGAGCCATCTCGTTTTGAGTATCATAACCGATATATTTATTGAAAGTAGCTTTCTAGTTTAGTTCTTGTTTAATATAAAGAATTATTTTGCTAGATATAATAGATATTTTTTGAAATTTATTAATTTATTGAAAATAGTATTATTAAGCGACCTGTCGCTGATGTGTCATTAATCTGTTAACATTTAGTAACTAGAATTAGTGAAAGAAGGTTTAATAGAATTACCTAGTCCTTTTATTTTGTAAGTCTACAACCTTTAAATCTCCCTTGATATTCCAAAAAGATTATAACTTAAAATTCAATTTCACCACGCTTGCACCCTGGATTGCAAAACGGCAGAAAATGCAGAAAATGCACTGTCTAATCCATTTGCTACTTTTTGGGTATATCCCACGACTACCATCAATATAAAATGAATTTTCTATTGGAATTAATACTGTGCGCAACGGCGATCGTCGGACGTTTGTCCACTCTCTTTCTTTTGGCCGATTTATTGGAAATATTCGGCTGAATACCCATAGAAAGGAAGTTATTACGAATCGATTTTGAACAATCTGGAGCGCTTCGCGGAGTCCAGGAATTTGCCCGAAAAGGTCAAAAAACGACTAGCAATATGCAATATGCTCCTAGAGCTAAAATCCACTGTGTTTAGCCGGTGATGTGGTGTTAAAACCCGGCGAAAAAAAATCACCAATATTTCAATTCCATTTCCACCGGAACTGTTGCCATGTTTGACAATAAAGGCAGTGAGTTGATCCATTTATTCACTGACCGCGATGATTTTGAATACAGTACTCTAAGAATGACACCGAAATACAAAAATTTTATTACATCGCAGTCGAGTCTACCGAAGTCTACTACATAAAAAGTCCTCGACCATTTTTAACGATTATCCGCAAATTTAATCCATTTCGAAAACAAGCGGCGATGAAAGCGCAAACTAATTTATTCAGAAAAACTAAATATTTCTCCAACGCGAAGAAGAATGAAACCGATTATAACAATGATAAGAATGAAACAGTGAAATTTTAAAAATGCAGGGTTTACATTTGTTAATAAACAATTGCTCATATTCCTTTTATAAACTTCTTTGTGTGTGCAAATAATGTAGTAATATTTGTGTTAATCATAATTTTTGTTCATTGAAACTTCAATGAATTGTAAACTTGTAACCTACTTATGAATTTCAATAAAAATATTTTCTCCAATAAAAATCCTCGTACCTAAACGTGACTTTACACTTCGAGTCCCATTATTTCCCATACGACCTAGCGCTCTTCGCTCTAAACAGCAAGTCCTAATATCCTGAATTTCCGCGTTTGCTCGAAACGCTATCGAGCGGTTCCGACGTCCTCCTGCCTCCTGCCGTACCGAAAGTGCAGGAGAACGCGACGCTTCGCAACGCCAGTATTCGAATCGCGTCGACGAAAAAGTCAATAGCGAACGTAGAGTGGACCCAGTGGCACACATTTCGTTGGGTTTGTGGCCTTGCAGTCGATTTGTTTTCGAAGATCCTTGAAGCCCACAGCAGTCCTTTGCAGTTTGCACACCAGTCCTCCAGTTGCAGCAGGTCCATCGAATTTTTAGGTAAGGTAAATATTTTAATGCGATTTTTGTAGTTCTTTGAATTCGAGTAGCTTGAAATATTTTAAATTTTGTTATGTATACCGAAAGGAGTTTTATAGGGATTTGTGTACCTAATTTTTTATAGGATTTTGGTTCATGCCGTTATACCAACAAACAGTGATATAATATCGATTTAGGTTTAATGTTGTCCTGGAAAGCATAATAACAAATGATTTTCTCAACAAGACTATATTTTTTTGTTTATGTAGAATCAATTTTTCAAAATATTTTTGTAGTATCTTATCTATATCTTCATCAACAAACTTACAAATTTATGTTTCTCACAGATACATTTAGTTTCACTACCAGGTGATTACATTGCGCTCAATTTTATACAAAATATAAATCGTGCTTTTCATAATATGAAAAAAGCTCCTTTACTGAATTAACAAACGATAGCCTAGCCTGCATGTATTATTCAAAATGCATTTAATCCGCTTTATGCACATAAACTTTGAGCCTAAATCAATATACAACAATTAACTGTTTTAGGCACCTACGCAAACAATAATACTTTAATATATTAGATTAGTAGCGTTATATCCCCAGAACAATAAAGAGATTTCGAGGTTACGTAATGGAATACCGATATATGCAAATTAATTACGTACACGTCCAAAAGTAGGTAGGATAAACACATGCAAATAGAAACAGTTTCTTTGTCGCAAAGCTGAAATATACGCGGTGTCGAAACTATTTGTTTTAGAATGAGAGTAAAAGTATATGAAAAAAGCGAAAGTCTTCTTTATTTGCACGACGTAACGTCCTAAAAGACAAATCGATAGAACGCCAATTATCATTAATTAAAGATCATTAGGAATTCTGGTGTTATAGCATTACGTAACAGTTAATTATGACAAATGGCTTTGTTCTAATTCGATTGACCGGATCGCTTGTATACTTGAGTAGGTAATTGTATAAACGCACACCTTATAAACATTTACTTGAAAACTGATTTTCTAGTTCAATCATTAATCTCAACTCGCGTGGTGGATTTAATTTTGTTGCCAATACGTGGCAATACGTTTGAAAATTTTATTACTTTTTTACGAGTAATTTTTAACGACTCTTGTAATTATTTTGCATTAGTGTATCTAATGCATTTCGTACGGTTTTTATTTTATGTTATGTGATTATTTACAGTTAAAACTTGAGGAATTTGTTGGCTTTTGCAAAGCTTTTTCCGGACATAGAAAAGATTATTTAATTCTTTCCATATAAATTAGATATGATAAACAAAAATGAGTGCAACTACAGCCGGAATTAAAAAGATGTCAAGGAAAAAGAAATTAAGAATTAGGCCAATCATAAAACAACAGTTTTTATAATTTATAGCAATTTTTTAATGGTCAATGTAACAAATTGTATATTTTTATTATGCTTGAATTAACAAAGACCATCCAGCACGACACGAACTGATATTTATGAAATTTACTTAAGAAAATTGTTTAAAGCCGCTATAAGATTTTAGGTTAATTCTAGAGCACTTCAGATTATTGTACGAGCGTGCATTTTGAAATTAAATTAGGTAATTGATCGAAATCGATAAAACTGGATGAAGCCCACCTAAACTAGATTTTATAATCGAATAACCTACAAAAACTCACAATAAATGTCAAGATAAGAAATTAGAAAACTGAGATAAACTCGACGACCTACATATGAATTTGTCCATCGCGATATATCACAGAGAGAGCATATCTAATGGTACATACTTCTATGATTATGAAAAAATTCGTGTTTACATTATTTTGTACACACGTTTAATAGATAATGTTATTAAGTAAACAGAATATTAATTCTCCGAACACCATTAGATACGTAATTAAAAATTGTATTTTAACTGAAAATATTCGAATTAATGATTTAAAAATTCACCAAAGAGCCATGAAAAGGCGAGTTATTAAGTTGAAAAGTGCATATATAATCAATATGACCTAATACTTGAGTACAACCCACATTTATTTCTACTTACCTAATGGTACTATACATAGATTCTTACCTCAATTATCTATCTACATTGAATAATCTATTACTTTATTATTAGCAATAAAGTACCATCATCTAGTCAATAATGTACTATTATTTTATAACGAATACAAGCGAACATGCATTATATTGCCTTTTTAATTATAAATATTTAAAACTTAATTAAGGTCAAGGAATAATTGCAGGTATTCAACACGGTGTAAATTAATCAAATTTGCACCTAAAAATTAAATATGTATTTTCTTTTCGAATATACATAGCTCTATCGATAAAAGCGGCATAAAATTCAAACGTAACGAGACAATTCCCTTTTGCGAAATAATTGCGACATTAATTCGAATTGTTTAGATTTTATGGTTCTTCGAAATCAAAATCGCTTTACGACCTTTTATACGTCTGACAATTGATATATGAGTTGTAAAACATTTTTACACCTTGACCTTATTACCGTTCGTTTATTTTTTTATTCGACCGATTCGTATTTAACTATAAAAATTACGAAATAAACGCGGCAAAATCGCTGTGAAAATTTTATTCAACCGACCAACAGATCCATCTTCATTGGGTACTGAACAGTGTAAATGAAATAATGTCGGCGCAACACCTGTTTCGGACGGAGTATTTATCTTAATTTTCTTTATAGGCCTTTCTATTTATATGTGTTCTGGTTATAAATATTTTGATATATTTATATTGCTCTTCCGTAACGTACAGCTGGCCGATATCCCTCAAACTATCTTTAGTAACGTGAAGAATATAAATTTAAAATCGACCCGTTTACATCAGCTATACGAGGTCGGTCAATGATTTTTAAATTTTACCACCTACAGGTTCTATTCTATCCATCTATAAATATTCTGTACATATAGCACAAGCATTGTTAATTTTTTTTTCACCAAGAGTAGACCTTATGTGCTAGTATATGCCTACCTAAATTGCATTCTATTGTTACTTTCACGTTTTTACCAACTATGCATTTTCGCTGCAACTAATTAAACTTTTGCTTTTTCAGTAGATATTAAACACGTTCAATTTATAGGTTTCCAACCTACATACACAGCTTTGAAACGTATCGTATACGGTTTCATATCGTATATCACGAAACAGTGGGTGTTGTTACTACAGATCGTATTATCGCGATTGTGAATAAGGCTGAAACAGTTTGTTAAATGGCCATTATAAGGTCAAAACCACTAACATAATACCGATGGGATTGCTCTTATACTGAAAATAGATATTCAAGAGTATTATTATTATAGTTTAGTGGACAATAACGATCAAAATACTACTGCGAAAAAAAATGGGAATCTTCTATCTCTTCTGCGGTTTATTCTTTGATAAATGATAAATAACTTTGAAATTTATTTTGCAGGAAAAATGACGTCTCCGGCATTAAATAACGGCAACAACGGGCAAAAGGACTCGAAGTCCGAGTCCAATATCGCCCTGGAGCAATCGACCAGCAGAAGTGACCCGGAAACGGAACGTGTGCCGCCGCTTATCGCCTGGTGGAGGGTATTCAAGCTAGTCAACCTGATGATGCAGCACAAATGTTAAACATGATTATCAAGGAAAAGCGCAATAAAATAGTTTTCTCTAATAAAATTAAAAATAAAAAATAGAATTTTTCGGGTTGATCAGGTCGAAGAGGATGTGGATAATAGCGGTCAATTAACGTGAAGTTTGCGACAACAAGAAATGTATAGAAAATTGTTTGATAGTCTTTTATAGGTGTTGTAATTTTTAAAAATTTGTATGGAATATTGATTACACGAAAAAGTTGAGTATAGATATAAAAGTGATTGCGATCTGTTCAATGCAAAAAAAATAATTTTAATGTTCACCGAAAGTAGCAATAACGTATTGATGATTTAATCATATATTTTAGCTCGTATGGTTATTAACAAGTATTAAATGTAGGTAAATTGATTAATTTATATTCACTACCTAACAGTTTCTCCTACAAATACGATGCGTTCAAAGGTAAAGTGAATAAAGATAACAAATTATTTTTTGAGATGATCTAAGTTCTTATGCACATAATGCATGTTGGCCGTAGACAAATATTTCTTATCTGCTAGAAAATATCAGTAACAGGGACTTGGTTTACTTTAATTCTAAAAATATAGACCATTAACAATGTTATTTTGCAATAAATATCCTTATAATTTTGAAATAGAATCTACTTTAGCTTTGAAAGCATCGTACAAACGAATTTAAATTCCGGAATTCTTGAGCGTTCTTTTTGTAATTACCGAGATTGTGTTACCACTTACATTGTATATTCAATACACTTTGTTCATTTGAGCTACTTCGATATTCTTTAAATTCACAATTATTTTAATAGTATAATATGTATTAGTTAAAGTTGTAGCTTATAAAATCGACATTGAAAATGATCTAGTCAGGGTACATAACATTAACCTAACGAAATTTATCTCACATATAGATTTAGATGAATTTTGTAGCTCGTCCTATACATATGTATTCAAATCACATTATTTTTTAAATATTTCTTACCCAATTATTAAACTATTTCTTTATTTATTTATTAACTATTGCACTAATCTATTATGCATTACTTTAATACTATTAAAAAATAATACTACCAAATATAAATGGAGAAAAGCCGATTATATTAATATTAATTTGCTTAAGATCCGCCGAAATTTGAACAGATTATAAAATTAAAAAACTTGTATTAGTTTTGTATAATTACTAAAACTCTTGTAAGTAAATTATGTATATGTATTTTATAGAAAAAGGTGCAAGAAAACTAACAAAATATTTTTAAATGGAAAAATTCGGTGGATATACCTAAAACAAGTACCTAATACCTATAATAATAACTTCTAACGCTAACACAATCAGTTATTTATTTATTTTTAATACAATTCCGTGTCAGAAGAGTTGCCATTGTTGTGAAGTACTATACATAAGTAGTTTAGTTATATTTAAACGTGTAGTTTTAAATTAATACGTTGTTAACTAATGGACTGTTACATGTTACCGATTAATAATTGTAAGCGACAGTGTATTCCCGAATAAAATTAATTCAGCTTTTAGATAGATTGTTTAACGAACGTATTCCATTCGAAGCATTTGTAATAGAAATGTTCCCGACTACGGTATTATTTGTTATACGAGTATGTTCATTTTATATTGTGTACTGTTTCAATAATTAACATGTGATAAAATTATTATCAATATCTATTACATAAAATATTTTTACGATAATCAACATTTAACAACTATCGATATCATCATTGTAGTGGTTTTATGTTACAATATACGTAATCTTAATTATTTAAGGGTTTTTTAATTCGCCTTCCACGTTATGGGTTTTAAAAATAAAGCTATTTTTAGATTAGTTTGGAAAAGAGACTACCAGAACCCCCATCAACGGACCATTATTAAATTTTGACTTTAATTAATCTTTATCTAATCTTTATTTAATTAATACTTAGTTCAGATATGAAAACATTAATTGTTTATGTTAAATTAGATTTAGAGCTTTAAGTTAAATCGGGCATTTTGATGATCCTAATAATTTTCTATTTGTTGTATAAAGTGGCCTCTAGGTCACAAGGTATATTATATAATAATTTGAAAAGTGGTAGTGCAAGTAAATAAGTGCAGTAAATAAGCTGTACTTGCCATTATTCACTCGAGTAGTATACACTTTAATAATAACGAAGCTTATTGACAAAGCAAATGTATATTACTTAAAATTCTTCAAAGAAAATCGCTCATAAAGAAAATGAAAACTTACCTTTGGTCGGCGAATGTAAGAGAACTCGGACGCTTCCCGCTGCAAATAAAATTCAACGAAATTAATAACCCAATTAAACACGAAAATTAGGTAGGTACCTTAATTTCACTATGAGCTTCTGTTATTCACATCAACACTAATAATTACTTCGCTAATTTACCGTTCAAAAAAATGCAACCGGAAAAAATAACTTATGACTAATGAGTCATGGATAGATCGATAACGTTTTAAATTGATAAGGCTTGTTCCTTCTTTCTCTTAATTAGTGTGATAATTTTGTTCATACAGAACCGTATTCGGTTGTTTTGTGAATGTGAATAATAAATAAAAACTATTTCAGTCTTCTGCTACAGATGGGTATCATGTTTTAATGATAGTATAAAATACCTGTGAGAAGGGCTAAAACTTTTTATTATCGTGATCATAGTGAAATGTTTAAAAGCCAGAAGCAAGCAAAGTGCATGCAGAAATTAAAAATTTATATAGCCTAGGCAAAACATCGAGCCACTATAGTGGCGAATATATTCGTTTCATATAAAGATGCTAACAAATTAAAGGCAGAATCTTTCTATTTATTAAATAAACAATTTTTTTTCTGTGTATAGAGCTACAGGAATAGCTGTGGACTTGTGAGTACGATGCGCAGTGTAAATGGCGCTGTTCAAGTCTGCTGTTATTCCTCTAGCACTGTGCAAGGACAGATTTTTGTATTTGTTTGCATCAGTCGGGCTAGTTAATTTTTATTGTTTTATTAGTTTATGCAAAGCTTGGCTTTAAATTTCCAATTCGCAATTCATACCAATCTACGTCGGTGATTTTAATCAACGGTATCAATTCGTTTAAATGCCCATCGCCGACGTCTCCATTAATCCGTTTTTTACCACCCCTGCCCTTCTTTTTATTATCTTTATGCACTTTGACTTTCTTCTTTTTGCCGGCTTTTTTCACTCCGTATTTCGACCTGGAGCTATAATAACACAACAGATAAGGAGAATTCGAGCGGAACTCCTCGCACTGACCTTTTGCCGTTGTAGAAGGCCTCCACGCAGTCCTCGTCGAAACTGTAGAACTTCCCGTCCGGCGTCTTCGAGCCCGGACTCGGCGTTCCCGGAGTCGAACTCGAGCCGGACTTGAGGCTTCCGGCGCTCAGCATCCTGCGGAACCTCAGCCGGAACGGCCTCACCGGAGAGCTCGGTGATTTCGGCGATTTCGGCGGTTTGTCCTCTTTAAGTTTGTCGTACGAACTTTTCTGTTCCATTTTGCAACAAACTAATCACCGTCTATAAATTTTAATTCATAAATAAATAGTATTACATGTTATCTAATCAGCATCTTTTTCTAGGCAATTTGGGAAGTTTTTTTGTTTTACTCAACTAGGCTACTTAAAGCTAAAAGTAGTCAAAATTGTATTAAAAAACTCCAGTGTTGCCATATAATGGTGTATTTTATGCAAGATGTTTTTTATAACATTCTAATACTGAAGGGGTTGATTCTTGGGTCCATTTTTATCTCCTAAATGCTTAACTTTTGAGATATAAAGTGATACGCCACTGCTTTCTCTTGAAATAAAAAATATTTATGGAGGTCCCGTTCATTTTAGAACAAATTTGATTTCTTAACTTTTTTCTTACGACCATTTCGCATAAAAAAATTAAATGAATTCATTTGTACACTACCGCTGGATTAGCCACTGTGCTGAAATTATGCAATATTAAATTTTAGGTTTAGGTCATAATATAATAATATAATAATAATATGTTCATATGAAGATTATTTTCTTAAAATGGGCCCAAGAAACACCCTCTTCAGTATTAGTATGTTTTTAAAAAACATCCTGTGTAGAAAATTCTAATTTTGATGTGACTTTTTTATTCCAACTGATTCAGGACGACGTCTATTTTACCTCCAGGATCAAGTCAAACATTGCTTAGGAAGATTGTAAATGGATTATAAATTTCCAAACAAAAATAAGAAAGTTAAGTCGGAAAAAAAGTTCTGATATAAATGCTCAGAATATGAGCTTTAAAGACAAATTTGGCATACAAAAGAGCCAAAATGAACAATCAATTTGCAACTTAAATACTAACTCAATTACAATGGTGATAAATAGGAGTTAATCAAAATTATCGATTATCATTGATCCTGCCTAATAAGGCGAAAATTACTTACCGGAAAATATTTGAATGAAATATTAACACCACAGCGGAGATTTGTTGAAAACCGAATTATTATACGCGAAATAGAATTGAATTGACGTCGCAATATAAGAAAGTAACCAGATTTACGAACTTCGAAAACGCAATGAATGGTCTTTAGAAAACGGAAATTTTCACGAACTGATACGGTTTGGACGTCCGGTGGATTGTCAAACCACCTCATCCGTTTCATGTTGTCCATTTTTATCTATGTAAGACTAATGCAGAAATAATTTATCTTTTTTATTAAATAAAGTGCGATAACAGTAGACCAAGAATCTTATTTAAATTGATATTTATGCTTAATTTATGCTGGGAATTACCTATGCGTAATAAAAAAGTAAAATAAAAATGCGTATATCGGGATCATTTATTTTCTAATGAGATGAAAATGTACTTACTCTTGTGGAATTTTCAAACACTTTCAACTTATTTGAACAAACACAAAAAAACCGAAATTTACGCGAGAATTCAACGAATCGCCGTGACCCAAAAGTCCTGCGAGCACTAAAATGTTATTTTCAATGTTACACTTTTAAGTACAATCTAATGAAACGAAAATGTGCTAATATGGTGTTAATTCGATTTTATTTTCAAATTCACTTAAGTAATTGTCAGTGTAAAAAATATTATACTTATTTAGACCTATTAAAGTTATCCTCCAGACCGCTGGCATATTATTTTTTGACAATAATTATCACGTTTATTTTCTCATATTTAACAGTTAAGGAGATTCCCTTGTACAAAAAATTTTATTCTTGTCAATGTGATAATTTAATAATTTGTCAGAAAAGTAATGTTTCCGTAATAGAGGGTGTTCCAAAATGGCATGCTAATATTTAAAGGGGTGATTCCTAGACCTATTTAAGGAAAAAACTTCATATGAACCTATATCCTAAACGTCATAACTTTTAAGATACAGGGTGTTAAAGTACTAGTACAGGTAATAACTGTGATACTATTGTTCTTTATGAAATTTGGAACACGTCTTCTAGGAGTCAGGATCAATTTTCTGACGTAGAAATAATTTTATTATTTTCAACAGTGCCGTCTGTACGAGTTTTGCATTGAATATTTTTTGAGACAAAAATGGTACGCCACTGCCTAATATTGAAATAAAAATTATTGTTGGAATCCTCGTTCAATTTAGAACAAATTTGATTTCTTTACTTTTTTCCGTACGACTCACCGATTCGCATAAAAAAAAATAGCAATCAGTTGTACGCTGCCGCTACATTAGCCACTGTGCTAAAATTAAAAAATAATAAATTTTAGGTTTAGGACATATGATTGTTCATATGAAGTTTTTTTCTTCTTATAATGGGTCCAAGAATCACCCCCTTAAATATTAACATGTCATTATGTAACACCCTGTACATTAGTAGGGTAATAGCCTAATAAAAGAGATTCGATTTAAATCTTGTAAATGTATAAGCATAACATACAATTTTTAAGAACATAATCTTATCAAAAAATAAAAACGACGAACACAAATTATTATCATTTTTTAATCGACATCAACGAGAAAACCTTGGAATTAGCATGATACTACTGGCATGATATTACTAGTACAACAACAACCTTCAAAGCGTAAATTTTGTTTTCTCGCTCGTTAAAATAGCTCGTATTTTAACATGAATACTCCGAATATCGAACAGTTAGATCGGCTCATAAGCAAACATATCGGCGATGGCAAAACGATCGTGGACCAGAAAATATCCCGGTTAACGTCGCCAGGTGAAAATTTCGGCAGCGAAATGCTCAAAGTCGATCTCGTCGTGGAATCGAAGGAGACTCGTCGCCCGGAGAACGTGCACATCGTCGCCAAGCTCATACCGCGCAACGATTTCTTCAAAGACATATTCAACGTACAGGTGTCGTTTAGAAACGAGAGCGCCTTCTACTCCACCGTGGTGCCCGCGCTGCAGCGATTCCAAACCCAGCAAGGACTCGAAATCGACCAAGCCGTCGACTTTTTCCCCAAATTCTTCGGCTCCAGGTGCAATTTAGCCGACGACGAGCGCGGCCTGGTCGACGACGATGCTGTTTTACTACTGGAGAATTTGAAAATTCAAGGTGAATCGCTCAATTTAATTCGTCCCTCCAAGTTTAACTTATACACCTTAAACCCCCAATCTTCTACCTAGAAAAACCATTTTTGTACCCTAAGTCCAGTAACTATGAAAGTTTTATTTTAATAAATATTTTTAGGATACGAAAACGTGAAGCGATTGGAAGGTTTCGATTTTCCCACGGCCTTGTTAATACTGGACTGCTTGGCCAGATTCCACGCCGTCCCGTTGGCGCTGAAACTGAAGGAGCCGGAAACGTTCGAAACTAAAGTAAAGCCATTCCTAGCATGCTTCCACCCCATGAAGCCTAAACCCAGCATCGATGATGCCGTCAAAGCGATAGTGAAGTTGCTAGAAAGCTCGGAGAACTGCAAGAAATGGAGCGCCAAGGTGCAGCAGTCGATGGGCACTTTCGGGAAATTCATGGATATTAAGGAACCGATGGCGACCGTGACGCACACCGACCTGTGGGTGAACAACATCCTGGTGAAATTCGTCGGAGGGGCGCCGGAGAGCTGCAGGTTCGTCGATTTCCAAGGGTACAACTACGGCAGCCCGGCGGTCGACGTGCTTTTCTTCCTCTTCACGAGCATCGAGTTTGGGCTGTTGCGGGAAAAATTGGACGGGTTTTTGGAATATTACGTGAACCAATTCAACGAGGCCTTGAAGCAGTTAAACTGCGATTACCGATTAACGCTCGATAGGTTAATTGAGGAAATTAAATATGCGTCGCAATGGGAACTGGCTCACGTTCTTTTCATGACTTTGATGGTGGTCCATGCAAAAGAAGGGGGGAATTTCGATTCCGACGAGAATATCACTAACGGGCCTCCCGCCTTCAACGAAATTACTTTTCAAGAAAAGGCTATCGAGAGGGTCTTGTGGGTTATAGAGGAATGGGGAAAGAGAGGGTGGCTAAATTATTAAATAAATATAAATTGTTTACAGTATTATCGAATTTTTCAGTGTTAGATATGATATTAAAACCAATATAAACCATACAATAATAAAATATATTGATTCATATAATATAACAATACATGTAAAGGTTCAATATAAGCAACTTGACTAGTTGTACTATATTTAAAAATAATAATCGAAAAATTCGACATAAAAATTAACAAATGGTTGTATAAAATATACATCTTATCCAAAGTAGATATATAAAGTAAGGCACCGATATCGAGCATATAATATGAAAATATCCAAGCAGTGATTGTTGTAATTTCTTAATAACATTCATGGTAACTTACTGTTTCTTTTTAAAAAAAATATCACCATTTAGAGTTACAATTTGTATAGAAATTATCAATAAGAAATTAAACTTCAAATATCTAAAGCGCATTCTCGAACATTAATTTTTTCCATTTGATAATTTATTCACAAAACCCCAAGATCACGTTCTTAACAGGCTATTTTAAAAATACTATTAGATAAATGGCGTGATGCTTACGCTACAAGAAAATTGCCTGGCATATTACCTAACAAAAAATAAGGAATATAGAAAAGAAAAAAGTAACTCAATAGCTATAGAAGCAGAAAAATAATCAAACTAAATCAACAGGTTAGATAAACATAAATATATAACAAAAAAGGCTACCAACACAAGACTACTTCATCTCCAACTAAAAATCAAGATTGAGCGCAAAATAAATTCAAATTGAATAAATCTTCAGTTACAAAATCACATAAAACGACATCCTATCTTAAACGAATTCAACTCATATTCATATTGATTACAGATAAGCTTCAGCGCCAACGAATTAACATTTTTTTAATTAGTGGCACTGAACTTCGACTTCGATTTTGTCATTTTTGGTATGACTCTGATGGCATTTTAGGCTGTTATGTGATGTAGAAGGTGTTTGGCCCGCCGGCGTTGATTCACCTTCGCGTTGATTGGAGTTATCTAGAAAAATTTCAAAAATTCGTCCCCTTAACATTCGAATTTTGGTTATAAAAAACCGCGAAAAAACGATCATTGTAAGATATGGAGACTCTATTATACGTCCGCCCTGTATCATATTGCAAAAGTTAAGCAGTAGATACTCAGTGAATCATGAAAATTTATAATGGATGTTATGTAGATAAGGCCAATTATGAAATAATTCATTACTGCATCAACACAGCGATAATATGCACAAAAAAATCAATAGATTTCCACTTTTTTTTAACCAAAAGTTTGCAGCTAATGTAAAAATACAAAACAATAGTAAATCAATAAAATTGAGTCACACAGTCTATGACTGGTAAATTTGTAATTGAATTAATTTCTTCTTGAAAAATTAATAAACGTATTTTTAACAATTTATTCAATCAGAAATATTTGAGCACATCAAAGGGCATTAAAACAAAGCGCTTCATTGGGAAAATACTTACTAACAAAATTAAATTGCAAAAAATGAAAGGAAATTATCTTATTCTTGTTTCAGCAGCAGGCCTAACTCTTTGTTCTGGAACTAAAATCAAAACAACTGCATTCATATACATTTACGAATACCATTTTCATATCGCCCATTTGTATTTACAGAGATAGCTCAGCTCATTAAACAAACCAATTAATAGATCAAAGTTCACCTGATAGCTTAAACAAGAATGGTGTCAATGTGTAGGGTGAAATTTAGAATTTACCTGGGAGATCCGTACACATTTGGATGCAAAAGGCTTCCCGCATCAGCTGGCAATTTTGTACGTTGATTTTCATGAATTTCTGGCCGAAAATGAAATATCCCATGGCTCCGCCGATGCAAGCAGATACCAGAAACCACACGTTGTACGCCATCACGGCAAGCATAATGAAATATCCCAGATTTTGCAACAGCAACCACAAAGAAATTTCCGTGCCAAATATAACGGCTCTGAAGCAGAAACAATTATATTGATACAACGAACGTTTATAGTTGTATATCTTACCTATCGAAAAGAGTAATATTCAAAGGATTTCGAGTATTTGTAACTCTTTGAGCAATTAACGCAGCGCTTTCGGTGGGACATAGCAACTTGAGTTGTTTGACTCGAAGTCTCAGTTCCTTCTGTTTCTGTTTGGTCTGTATGTATCTCATGAACTCGAAGAAGAAGGAGAGTGCTCCCACGAAAAGGCACATTCCAACCAAACCCTCCACAGTGTTAGATGAAAACCCGTAGAACAGCAGGTTTTCCACCTTGACGTCCGACACGAAGTAGTGGTTCATTTCGATCAAACTTTTCTATTGTTCTATAACTAAACACATTCAGATCAAAAGCGTTTCGTTGCAAAACGCGCTTTGTCTAAATTATTTGTGTAAATTGTCTTTCGCATAAAGAGGCAAAACTCAATTATGAAAGATTATCTCAGTTGATAATGATAAACATTCGGTTCAACTTCTTATTGGTAAACATATTTTGAATTTGTACGGCAAGTAGGCTTGCATTACGGTCACTTTATAGAGTTCCAAAATATACTCTCACTTAGTTGGAATATTCTAATTTCGGAAAATCCGCTTATTATTATAACAAAGCACTAGAAAATATGAAAATATACGGAAAAAATGTTTAGGAGATTGGAATTTTTTCACATTTTAACAACTGTCACTGTCAATGTCAAAATCGACTTCTTTTTTTAATAATATAACACAAAATCTTTTCATCTGAAATGTACGTTTCCTAAACGAGTATTAGTAACTTATAAGTTTTAAAGCAGAGTAAAGATTTTCTAATTTATGTTTATTATTTATTGTAGGCATAGGGAGCGGTAAAATTTTGAAATGAATGCAAGGAAGTACAAAATGTAATTATTTCTTAACTTCCTAACTGTACAACGGTTACATCAGTGGACATACATAAAACGAAGTCTACTGTCATTAAACGTCAAATACGTGTTCTTGTGATGACGGAAGACGGAGGGGGAGAGAGAAATTTTGAAGTATTTGAACATGCAACGTTTTGAATGTTTATTAATTTGATCGACTTCGAAAATACAATAGGAAAAAAATGTTTATTTTTAGTGCTTTATTATTTACCTTAAACATTTTGGCGATGGCTGTGCATGCACAACATGTACCGCCCGGCGTACCTCCACAACGGTATCAGGTAAATAAACTGTTTTGAAAGTTCACGTTACCATATGTCTATTGTTTCATATTCGTTTTATTCCGAATCTAACATAACGAGTTATTTAGCCACTCGTAAATTAGAATTAAATGGAATTGAATTTCTATATTTAGGGTCAACCGCCTCAGCAGCAGCAATTCCAACAGCCTCAATACCAGCAGCAACAGCAACAATATCAACAACCCCAGCAAGTGCAATATCAGCAACAACAACAAGTTCCAGTTCAACAACAGCAAGTACCCGTGCAACAGCAGGTTCCTGTTGGTCATCAACAAGTACCTGTTGAACACGGGCACCACCATGACCACAGTCGTCCTCAACAGGTTCTGAATGCAGCCAATGTTGCTCAGGAAGCCCAGTAAGTTCGAACGATTCGAGCCTGTTTATAATTATCAACACATAGATAACTTACCTATCTAACATATTTATAAAATGATAAGTATTGATTGTTAAACATTCATAAATATTTGGTCCTTAGGCATATAGCTGAGCATATGGATGTGCCAATAGATACTAGTAAAATGACTGAGCAAGAATTACAATTCCACTACTTTAAAATGCACGATGCTGACAATAACAATAAACTCGACGGCTGCGAATTGATCAAGTCGTTGATACATTGGCACGGTAAGTCGTTGAAATACCTATTAATCGATTAACTCACTAAAAAGCATATCATTTGTAATATTGTCTGCAACAGCGCAAGTCTAACATGCTTGCAGCATGTTTACCGAGCTTCTCTAACTGTTTGTTTGTTGTGTGTTTGTGCATTCAGAGCAGGGCGGCAAGGAAAATCCGGCAGCAGCTGAAGGCGGTAAAATCTTCAAGGACGAGGAATTGGTAAATTTGATCGATCCGATATTAAACGTCGACGATTACAACAAAGATGGTTACATCGATTATCCGGAATTCATTAGGGCTCAACAAAAGGCAGCCGCGCAAGGCAAACCCCAATCTTAAATTTGTGTACGTCTCAGCTTACTATTTTTAATGCATGTTACTCGAATTTTGTGCTTCGACAAGGTTCTCGAAAGACATATTTTTGTACTTAAGTGTTCATCGAAATAGAATTTTGTCGAAGGGTGGGCATTTTCATGGCAACAAAACGGTTGTGATAATTTTTATAGGGTTTTATCGGAATTTTGTTTTTTTTTTTGTCACAGGTGTCACGGACGAGCCTAAAATAATGACTGATGAAGAAATTTCTAACTTCGTTGATGAAATGCTAAAAGAATATGACAAAGACAATGATGGTTTAATTAGTTATGTTGAATACAAATTGTACAGTGCTTCTTAATATGCACCAAAACCAAATAGGGAATTGATAAATTATTGTAGTTTTGTTGCTGTTTTTTAAAGTAATCGGGTCCAATATTCGTCAAATTAAATTTTCTAAGCATTCCATGTCACACTTTCAAAAGTGTAATTAATATTGAGCGCTTTTTTAGTCTTATATTGTTGTTAAATTTGTTTTTTATATGAATATATTTATCAATTCCTCATATTTGAATTGTTTATATGGATGTATCCGTAAATATGGATGTATTTCAATAACGATTCGAATAGTAATTGAATCCATCAATGAAAGTTCTTTTTGGGTGAAAAGTACATGCATTATCATCGTCATTTTTAATTTTGTAAAATAAAATAACAGAACTGAATAACGGCCTTTCTCCTATAAACCAATTAAGATGAAACGTTTTGGAAATTGATTTATTTTGTTTTCGTTTTCTCTAGTTATTTTATTGATTCTTTTTGATATTTATTTTTGTTAAATTAAATCTAATTTACTACATGAAGTGCGTTTTTTGTAATACATATTAATTTTTTAAGTAAAAAAGGTTAGTGGAAAGTTAGTTGTAGGGTTTGATAATGAACAATAAAACAAAGATTATGTATGAATTTTTTATAAGTACAGAAAAAAGGAACTCAATTATATAAAATTAATTTTTATTAGAGATATATTTATAAAAAAAACAGAAAATGTCAACTAAAATATAGGTATCTCTGTAAAAACAAAACATTTATTACATCGTAAAATAAATTTTCATTTAAGAGATCGAGTTCCGATAATACTGCACATCCATATTATTCACAATTTCTAAACATTTAGGTTTAAATCGATAAAACTATAAAAAATGGTCCCATTTGGGAATCGTGTATTAATCGAAAGGAAGAACATTAAAATTAGAATAAAACGAGAAAATCAGGACACTTTGAAAAACATTAAATACAGATTTATTATTAACGCCTTGAAAACTTTACATTTTCAAAATCAAATAGGAATGTCTAGAAATTTCATTCATTCATCGTCTCGTTACATAAGTAAACTATTGTTGAACATCACAAAAATCATAATTTTATATTCCTTTATCTTTTACTAGATATAAATTTTCTGCCTCTTTTACTCTTAATCTTAAAAAAACCTATCACCTATTACGTCAAAAGTAAAATTTTAAATCGACTTGTATAATATACTTAATATTGGCAGCAAGGATATTCTATATTCGAGAAATTACAATATTTCTGGCTAATTAAAGTTTCCTGTAATCGAGGGAAATCCTATTAAAACATACAACTGTTTGAGAATACATCTAACGAATCTAATTGAAATAGCGTAGATTGTCAAACAAACAATGAGCCTTTTTTATTTCTCATTTTTGATCAATTCACCATTTTCAATTTACAAAAACGTAAGGTAGTGGAAATATTCAATCTTACTCACCTAAAGTTACAAACAAGAAACAATTTATTTCAATCAATCCGACGCGTACAGTGCAACAGGAATAGTCGTAGACCGGACCTGCGCGACTCCATGCGCATCGTACTCCCGCGTCCACAGTTATCCCCGTCGAGCTGTACCAAACAACGAATCTTCATCAATCCTCCGAATCGAGGATTTGCAACAGCAACCGTTGGAGGCTATCCAAACCGGTGAGGAACCCGCCGTCGGGCCCTTGGTGAACATTCTTCGCCACCACATCACTGTTCCTAACGAACGACGTATGCGCAAAATCGATAATTCGCACGTCCACGTCCGCCGCCGAGGCCGGCAAGGAAGCAACCGGACAGTCTTCCACGAAAACCCTCCTGGGCGCCGGAGGCGCGGAAGGGGCTCCATCTTCTTCGTCATCCTCCTCCGACACGTCCTTCATGAAGCGCTTCGGCGTCGGCATTTCGATGTCCGAATTCTCCTCGTTCGAGCTGCTCGAGCTGTTCGACTGGTCCGGCAGCGTGTACTCGCCGCTGCTGCTGTTGTTGTTCGAGTACAACATCCAGCTGTCCAGCGGACTAGAAGGGGTGAGGCTGGAAGACGGCGACGAATTCAGGAACACCGTTTCTTCGGATATGGGAAAGAACGCCGACGCGCCGGCGCCTCTGGGGCTCCGGTTGTGCGCGTCCTGCGAGACGTCTTCGGTAGCGGATGAATGGAAGTCGGACGAATTGGAAGCGTCGGCGTCGTAGCAGTAGTGGACGTCGCGGCTGTCGTCGGACGTCGCCTTCAGGACTTTGGAGTAGAAGGATTCGCTCGTTGTGGACGATTGTCCGTTGCTTCCTTCGTATACGATCAACAACGAACTGAAACACCGTCGAGTTGAAGCATCGAATGGTACCAATCGAGTCGAAACTTACCACGAATAGAACCTGTAGCAACTCTGCTTCTCGATGACCCTGCGGAGTTTCTGCAATTTAGTTACGACTTTTCTAACGATGGATTTCCTGATGCCGCAGCCATTATCGAAGAATCTGCACAGGGCACTTTTGAAACCGTCCTCGTTCAATTCTCTTCCCCAATATTTGTCTTTCTTGTAGTAGCAGTTCTGTTCGGTATCGTGCACTTGCATGCCGCACAAACGAACTCCTATAAAAATTATTCAGGTCAATGTTGCGTAAAGTATTTTCTCTCTAGTTTTACATTCAATGGCGTTTCTAAAATTACAATAGGAACCAAAACATCACAAAAAACATGTAATCATCAAACAAAAATCCCATTCATAATATTTACCGAGCGTTCCTGACGTACTGGCAGCGCATTTGGCTATTTGTTTTCTCCTTTTGTCCGCAGAGGCGTCGTCGCCGTGCTGTCGCGTTCCCATTTTTAAATCCAACACGCAAGGATGCGAATACTGCGAGGTGATGTTCTCGAGCATCAGAAAATATTGCTTGTTTGTATTGTCCGTTTGCGAAATGCTCTTCAACACATCCTTGGGATTCCCCGTGTGGTGCACTCTCATCCTGAAAGAGAAGAAACACACAGAAATTAATACGTAAAAATGAAAGTTTGTACTAGATGACTTACTTGTAGACTTCCCTTTTCCTCTTCCTGTCGGTCTTTTTGGCGTGTTCGTCGCGGAAACTGGGACTGTACCTTTTTTCGATTTTCGATCCGCTACACAGCGTCGCCTGCATTACTCCTGAAACAAGTCGCCTCTACATGTAGACGGTAACGTACTCGTCGCAAAGTTGCGAATATTCATAAAGATACACAATGATTGACAAATTTTTCCGTTACTCGAACAAAAATTTGAGAATTACGCAAGACGTGAGCAAAAATAAAGTTACAGAAAAAAATAATGATTCGTGAATTCGAGAATGGCACTTTTTGTTTGTTCTATTTCGTATTTAGATTCATAAAAAAAGAGAGTTAGCCTGTGCGATAATTTACGAAATTACGAAAAATCGTGCGTTTCTTAAAGAGAATTGAAATTAATTCGGTTAGTTTATAAAATTGTACAACAATCAGAAATTACATAAAAGGACTCCAACTAATTAATATACAATTTCATTGAAAGTCATTTATAATCCTATCAGTACGACGGATAAAGAATTTGAATTAGCAACTCAAAAATGTAATCCTACATGTAAGTAATCTGAACTGAGCGATTTTATAAAATTAATTTCGATACTTCTCTTTAATGAACGATTCATAAAAAGCTGACCCCCTTTCTTATAAGCAATGTACGGCCTTCCAACCCAAAAAATATGGAGAACGTCCATACAAACCCTGAGGAAGGTCAGGTCGTCGAGACAGTATTTTCTCAGTACCAGGGAGTGGAGCAGCGGGCAGGCAGATCCTTTTCTGTCTGTCAGCCAAAAGTCCGATCGGAGATGATCATGTCCCTCAATAAAACAATTAAAGGATATTTTTTCGAAAAATATGGCTTATCTCATTCACTCCATCAGACACACTTAGTTAATTTAACACCAGTTTTTGATAGGAAAATGCGCTACAAATCCTCTGCCGCCTTCTAAACATTGTAAAATATCACATCAATTCCATCTAAGTGGTTTTAACTGCAACCAGTTTTTACTTGTAATGATAAAAGTCAAAATTTACTTTTATTGGTGTATCCGGTATTATATTCCAAAAGATTAGATGAATGTTCCTATTGTAATGTAGCATTAAAAGCACTATTAATTATTCTACCACTAGGTTGTTTTTCATTAATTTTAAAGCTCCAATAACTTTTTCTCGCCTTCAATACCCCTATCACATTTTCCATCCTAAGATTGCAAAATTCTATGGTTTATATCTTCAAGATTTTCACATATTTCTAATAAATATATTATACAAATTTGAAGCGCATTTTTATCCTTATCGCGAACCAGTGTAAATTTGAAAATCTTGGCGAAACTGCAACATAAAATGCTCTCGTATATTATTAATCAGGAAACTAACGAACGGTTGCCAATATATTTTAATCATAGCTCCGTTAATTTCGTCTGTGCGGCATACAAATGCAGCGACCAACAATTTTATGATGTATTTCGCCAAATTAGAAACAAATTAAAAACTATATAATACGTATATTATTGTACGGTAAAAATCACTTACCTCTAATACAAAATATACTTAATATAAAGGTTACTTACTTAAACTGAAAAATGTTTCATTAAAGTGGTATAACTAACATTATTTTACAAGACATCATCAATTACAGATTCTCTATATATTGCAATCCCAAATAAAAGTGATGTATTAACATAAGGGAATGAGTAACTAAATTAAATTACCTCACTCCTATTTGGAACACCCTGTAAATTGTGGTGTAAAAAATTTAATTTAAAAAAATAGAATCTGTGATTGTATTTCGATTTGAAAAAAAAACATTCACGCATTCTTGTACGCCGTAAAAAAATAAAAAAATATGATGTAGATCACTAAATCAAAAAATATTAACGTTGAAGTGATAATCGTATTAACATTGCATGCAAAATGAGTTAAGTTTATTAAGAAAGCTTTATTTGCAATTGGTTTTTATTACAAAAGTTACAAGTTCACTAAACCTAAATAATAAAAAAGGCTATCTAGGTTAGATGAAATTTAAACATTAAAAATATTTAGCACTCTAGAGTCTGTTCCAAAAGGGCACTTTGTTCTTATAAGTTACTCAGCTTACCTTTATATTTCGGTACGAAATTTTTAATATCCTGTTCTTGTATGTTTTGATAGAAATCTAATTCCCGGAAGTTCAGTGGCTTCACTATTGTGCTGGAATTTAATACCATGAGTCTTGTGTGACCACCAACCTGGAAACGCAGCAAATTTATCGTTAAAAGCGTCCCTAAAAAGCCTTGCGAAGCGTTTACCTGATTATTCAAAGGAAACAAATCGACTTCATTATTACAACCGTTTTGTTCTGGACGCCTAAAAGATGCTGCACTTGCACTCGCTGGCTCGGCATAACTTTTTTTTCCTGTTTCATTTTCTCCCATGCCCCAATTGGTCAGAAGGTACACCATTCCCTCTCTTATCTGGCCAAATAATTCTGGAACCAAACCAAGGGATTACTATAAATTTTACAAACCTTACCGAATTAATTCTAACAAGCGCAAGGTGGAAAATCCAGCCCAATTCCAAGCATTATCATCATGTTTAATGAGAACGTGTATAGTTCAAAATAAAATGAGCTTATGAACCGTTAATTTTGAATGGTGTTTGTGAAATGACTAAATGTTGAGTGTTATGTTGACAACATGTTTACTGTTGTGTGCTAAAATGTCAATTATAATGCCTAAAAAATGAGAATATACGACAATTTATAGTATTATCGTTAAAATTTAAAGAATAGTTAACCAAGGGACTGCATGCCTCATGGACAAGAGACCAGAAACCAGTTACTGGGAACATTCATTGAACGCAATATTTAAATTTAATTATTATTTAACCTTGTTAGAAGACAGTTAAAATAGGTATTCGAGTTTTTTTTCTAAATACAATAAATGTCAAACGATTAGTCATAGTTAATAAAAAGTAATTGAAAAGTACTGTGAAAAAATGATTAAATAATATAATTATTATACACAGCGAGCAATTCTCGAAAGTTCCTATAAATTAAACGCATAGTGATAAAATTATTTAAAAATATCGCAAAATCGACGCAATAAAAGTGTTTAAAAATTCGATTATAACTCGTTATCGGAAATAAATAACGCGTTCCTAACGAATAAGTTTATTTGAAATCTAAATACGCACATGCCAATTCATCTATACACATAATTTAAAAAATAAACTGCGAATAGACTTACAAATTAATACGATTATTTCCAGGAGTACAATAGCAAACACCGTTTCGACAACTCAACCGGAAAACTTAAAATAGAAACAACAAAATATTTCGAAATCCATCGCCGGATATTTATTAAACTGCGATAATATTTACGATCGAAATTTTACTATAGAGTAAAAACAATTTTTCCTCGCGCATCGCATTGGCAAGTATCTCTAATAGGCGACGCATGACGTCGTTGTTAGGGCGTAATTAGGTAAAAGAGGCGCGTCCGGCGACGTCAGGCGTCGCTTATCTCGGCTTTCAACAGCACTCGTCAACACGTGGAAACGTTTCGAAACGAACGCCACGTTTTATTTAGAATTAGAATCGATGATAAAGGACTATTAGCATTTCGTAAATATTTTGAAAGTGTATTGAACGCAGCGATAGATCTATAAACAAACGGTAGACAATGATTTGAATACAAATGCGTAGGTATTTCAAGGCATTTTTGAACAATACGGGCTCCCAAGCAGCATTTTAGGTGGACTATTACCAAATTTTTACTTTATTTTGAAACTTCCACCAAATTATTAAGGATAATTCCACTTGGTTTCCACGTGGTTTCAACCAAAATGGTATAAAATGCCACGTAAATTCCACGTTGAATATTAGTTACTTTGGTGAAAATAGATCTATTGGTGTTAGGTTACTTATCACCTATCATTTATATTTTTACTTAAAAAACACGTTACAACGACGTGGTACTTTACTTATTTTCCACCATCATTAGAAACGCTCTAACGAAATGATGTCTAAAATTGTAAAAATGAAAATAAAGTATGGCTAATATTACTCCATGATGATTTTATTTATATTATGAATATATATGCGCTATATTTGCGTGATATACTCGTGAAATTAAATGATAACACAAGTTTTTTGTAACAGTTTTTAATTCTACCTTGAAAATCAACAGAGCCCTTTAAAAATACATGTATTACATAAAAAAATAAATAAATAATTTACGTTTAATTTTTTTATAAATTATTTTTTTCTATAAAAATTATTTTAGTGTTTCATAATCATTTAATATCAGACATAAGAACGCTTTTTAAATATTTTATTAATTGTTTTTAACATTGAAAAATTCATATAATTTGTTTCCGCTACAATTCTTAAATATGAATATGGCTGCTTTGCCTATTTTTTTTTAATAGGTGACATTACTAAATAATAACCAAAATTCTTCACCTATTTTAATCAATTGGTGATAAATAACGTATTTTTTTCACCTTGCAGTTTTAGGTTTTTTATTTTACTTATAATATACCAAATTTTATTACTTAATCCACCAATTAGAGGATTTTTACCACTTATTAGTGATATTATTTACTTAATGGTGATTATAGAACCTCAAAAGTTATATTTTCCACTTCAACCAAGCCGCGCACGTCTAGGCGGCATTTGGATCTCAGAAGTTATTGGCTTTACCGAAGGAACATTAAAAATTGAAATCAATATTGGCCAAAACTCTTTATTGCTGCTATTAAATGGAGAAATTCCATCTACATTGATTATTAACTGAATTGAGTTTGGTAAATTAGTAAATCGATGGAAAATGGCAAGTAAATTTTCTGTCAATTTGTTGTACCATATATGACCATTGTCTAACTGGATAATAGACAGCGTTGACGGCGTTTTCAAAAAGGTCCGGGCATCTTTTACGTAGTCTTCCGTAGTCTTTCCATGTTTATTTAAAAGTTTTAAAAGTTCTGAAATTGACTTTAAACTTAAATTATTCAGCAGAGTCCATTGTCTTAAATCTGCATAGAAATTTAATTGTTGTTCGATATTCACTACTTCAGAATTTGGCTGATTGCAATCTGGAATATTGTCATTATATTCACAATTTTCACTGTTTTCACTACTCTTCCCACATTCAACATTTGGTAACTTGTCATTAATTTTGTGTGCACAATTACGCTTGATTACCTTTACTTTTCTATAGAAATTAGTCGATAGAATTTGCCTTTTTTTGTTCATCATTACAAATACGCTTTCAAACAATCCAAAGATATGACGCCATTAAATACTAAGGTAAATATTTTACCACTTAGGTTACTAAATTGCCACCAACAGCAAATTCACCAACTAAGTGGCTAAACCTATTGGTAATAAACTTAAGTTATTTTATACCTAATAGTTACCCCATAGGTACAATAGAGGACGAAATTATGTGGGTTTAGTAACCTAACTTAAGCCACTTAATTGGTAAAATTAATCACCCAACTATCTTAACTAAATAGGTAATATGCTACAACCACCACTTATTAGTTTTAATAGGTGACTATCCCTAAGTCACATAATAAGTATATAGCCACCTAAATTACCAAATAAGTTATTTTTTGTATGAACCCTCTTCCACTTATTTAGTAGATATTTCCCTATTATTCTTATTTAGTGCCGAACTCATCCTTATTTTATTTTCTTCACCAAATAGTTATATAAAAATTACCATTATTTTACCTAACTTAATAGTTACTTTTTTCACTTCACCAAAATAACAAAAATGTTACTTATTTTCGACAAAAATTGAGATAAATGACTTTGGATGAGGTGGTATCCACTTAAAATGTTGCTTGGGCTCTATTTCCTAGGGTGAATCACCCTGTAGTTGTATGCATGATAATTAAGTTGTGGAAAAAGCCAGTTGATATCTAAGTGTATATCGCGAATATTTAAGCAATGACATGTAATAAAGACGATTAAAAAAGAATTCAATGAGTTATTAATTTTCTCCCTACCTTTATATTTATTCGAAAAATTAAAATACTATTACGCTTTAGTTATAACTTAATAAATTGTTATAATTTTCTCACTATACCTTTAATCACTTGATAAATTATAATACTATTCTCTCCATTTGTATTAACTTAATAAATTGTTATAGTTTTCTCCCTACCTTTATTCACTTGATAAATTAAAATAATAAATTGTTATAGTTTTATCACTACCGTTATTCCCTTGATAAATTATAATACTATTCTCTCCAGTTTAACTCAATGAATTGTTCTCTCAAAGTTTTCTCCCCACTTTGAATTTATACTAATTGTTTCTTGTTAGTAATAAATTACAAAATTCTTAAAATGCAACAAAAAAATTCGGGGTTTCCCCGAATTTTTAAAAGTTTTTCAGTGAGTAGCTCAAATATCAAGGCCGTAATACTTGGGTGCGTTGGTTCTCGAACGTTAAATATAGCTGGACGGAAAATCGAAGAGCGGTGAACAAAAAGGTTAATTTTGTTCTAAAATAGTCGCGGAAATTCAAAATAAAGAAAAACTAAAAATAGACGCGGATCTCTTAAATTAAACTGCGCGTTTTAATTTGAATTACAAACCGTTTCGATTCTTAGATTAATTTACTACAATCTACCTACTTCCGTGATTAGAATGATTTATTAGGATATTTTGAAGTAAAACCCGCTTTCTTCATTTTTAATATTTATTACATCCAAAAAAGACTTTCATATTAACGAATTTCAATACAATTTATATAAATACTGGTTATAAAAAATGGCTATTTACGTATATGTAAATTGGACGGTTTAAAAATTATCTGAATTATAAAATATATAATTAGTTCCAATTAAAACAGTATCAATCTATTTAATAATTGAGCTATTCATATTTCTTAGAAAAAATTAGTTACATTTAAAGTATTTTCTAGAATAGATTATCTAGTCATTTAAATAGAAAATCAATTCACCTTCCATTCCGTAGGAAAACTCCAAAAAAATTTGTCATATTTTCCTTGATTTGTCCAATTTATTTTTCCCATTTTTTAATGATGAACTGAATTTTTCTTAAACACATCATACAATGTATCATGTTTGATACAAATGTATCAAAATATTTTGTTATAAATGAACTGACCTGAATATTTTGAAAATTTTGAACGTTCGAAATAGTCGATGTGTGTGTATCTTAATTTCTAGGATAAATAATCGTTTTAATCACGTTTTATACAAATTTGAATGACACGGAGCAGAAAATTTCGCAAATTCTCAACTCAGATGAATGTTTCTACAGATTGCAATGAACTTATTCATTGCGATATATCACAATAACTGTTATTTATAAAGTCGAACAAAGAACTCCAGAAAGAATGCAATATTTTCACTTCTTATTTGAGACCTTCAGCTCTGAAATAAATCGCTTTTAATATTTATACAGAAAACACACTTCAAATGGCGCCGAACGGACCAATAGCATTGATTTATTTTTGGATTGTCGACTGCATAAAAAATATATTTTGTTCCTGTTGGTAGGAAAAAAACACAGCTAATTATATTTAATATTTTATTTTTACGCATTACCGCTTAAAAAATATAAATGAAAATTTTAAAATAAATATATCATTGAAATATTTCCAAAACAGTGCGATTTAATTGGGGCGCCCACAGCTCGGTTTTGCGCATTTTTATAATTTTACACAATACTATGTGTTATGGTTATGGCTGCGTAATAGATTAATTAAAGGGGTCTTTTAGTTGGTACATTTAATATTTTTGAACCTTTTACAACATTTTTGATATTTTACAGCTTATTCAAACTGATTTTGTAATGTTTTGACGAGATTATAGACATAGATAGTAATTCCAGAAAATGATAATAATAAGCCTGGTGCGGTGATTTGATTCGTAATTTCGATCAATATTTAATCTATTTATCTCGCTGCAATTCAATTCTTATTGTAATGAACAAATTTTAAAACTAGAAACTTCGAGACAAACACAAAATAATCGTTGTTTAGAGAACAAATACGAATTAAAAAAGTTTAATCCTCTACACACGGGTCAATAATTTGTTAGCTCATATAGTAGATACACAATACAGTCAAAAACATATTTGCTTAAATTATCAGTTCAAAAAAAATAATATGTTGATGCAATTGTTGTATAAGCATTCCGCTTTACAAAAGGATTAATTGGCTCCTCTTGTAAATATTATTTCATGAGATAATCGCATTGTACCTATGCGGAGTTACTAGGCGAAATTCGTTCCAAATCCTATCGCAAACTGGAAAATTTTGGAATTAGGTAACAAAAAACTTAACGTAAACAGCGATAATTGCTCGATTTGCTCCACCGAATTTAATCATAATATACATACATATAAATGCGATAGAGAATTTTTTATGATTTGATTAGAATTTACTATGAAACTGCATTGAAATTAGAAAAATAAAAGAATTTACCTCATAGGAAATATCGATGAAGAAATATGTTTGGTATATGGGAGATTAAAAGGGTATACAGGTAAAATTTTGGGGACAAGAAGAAACAGTGAAGAGTACAAAAGAGTATGGTAAAGCAGACGAGAATAGTAGTAGTGTAGGGTAGAGTAGGAGTAGATTATAATAAAGTAGGAGTAGAGCAGTAGTTAGGTGCAGGACAGTAGAATAGAACAGTAGGAGTAGAGTAGGATTAAGGTAGACTAGAGTAGGAGTAGAGTAGGAGCATTAACGAAGTAGAATTAACAAAAATATTTATTTGTGAGTATTTTTTGAATACTCCGAGTCCAATTTACCAATAGGATTAATATCTATAACCTCTTTGGCGTCCAATTTACATCCGTTCATATTATGTACACCTGTAAAGTTAATTTAAAACTACTAATTTTTTATCATAACCACATCCTTATCACTCTTAAAAGAAACAGGTAGTTTATTGTATTCTTGTTTCACCCTGTATAATTAATCTAGTAGAAAAACTACACGTGTAGGTAATATTACTTGCATTATTTACTAATAGCAAACATACATGCAAAATACATTTTTCCAGTATAGTAAATTTATTACCTACCCAATCAAAATATTTGTGTATTTAAACGTTAATTTATAAAATGTACCGAGAAATTTGAAATAAAGAATTTTCAACACGTTTCGATTTTGTTATTAAACATATCTACGCGTTTTATGGTCATGAAACTTCCTCGATAGTAGAATTATTTTCCCAATTATTCATAGGTACGCGCTGGAAATGATGGCTCTATTTCCGTTATTGATTTATAAAATGTGCCAGTAAAATCAACAAAGATAACGATGGAAAAAACGATCTGTGAATATACAGCACATAAAACATAGATAAATTAAAGTAGGATTAATTGTTAAAAAATATCTATACAAATATTTTTATTTAAATTTGCCTGTTTGTTTTTGCCTAAACGACTTCTATAAATAATTATAGAAAAATGTTAATTTGCGAATTTTACTGAATTAATGAATGAAAATGAATAGGTTTTTCATTTATAGCGTGTAATAAACGATTTATATGTTAGGTAAAATATTAAAAGAGTTTTTTATTTTGTATTATATTAGTGACCAAAATGAAAATATATAAAAGTAAATAAAACAAACACTCACCAATTTAAATGCCCAATGAATAATTGAATGGAAATCAGCTGTGCAAGAAAGCGCACGATCGACGTCAGAGTTACCTCTAAACTTGGCAGCAGTGTAAAATGGTCAGAGCAGAGCTAGCTATCGATTGGTATTTTTCCAAATAATCACTAACCCTTCCTAATAAGTCAATTTTCTGGTCGAACGAACGCACGTCTAGTCCACCACATAAATACGGATGAAATAAAATCAACACAAATTCGACGACATCGTCACATATCAAAAACGAGTTATCGCTCGAATTACGACAATGGGTGAAAGTTAACAATGAGAATTTCTCGGATTTTCATCGGTGGCACGAGTCGAATTCGTTTCTGGTTATTGTTATTGTCAATTGTCGAGGATAGATGAGGCGTTTGACGATCCACCTCTGTCAAGGATGTGCAAATGCGGTTGTATTGGGACGATAACAGTAAAACGACTTTTCGTTTACGTGTGCTGTAATCTACTAAAATTCAGTTCAGTCGACCCGTGCGTCGTTCGTTCCCAGTTCCCAGACTGGCTGGTTGAGAAACTACTGTGCGCATTGCGCGCACATAGCGCATAAATCCTAAATCACGCGAACGCACACATTCATGAATCGTGAGAATTTCATTTAAGCGTATTTCCTTGGATTGAATGGACCTTCGAATTATTCCGAGTTTTTTCTAATGTAAACTTCTAGGTTTAGGTCTAGGGAACGAACCATGAATTTTATGCCGATGTTTTCAATAAAACAGAAAAAAAATTGATATTTTTGAACATTGACTTTTCACTATTTTTATACACACTCTGTATACAATAAAGAATTTTTCAACATGGATTTAAATACCTTCAATCTTCTTATTAACCACCCTACAAAAACATTTACCATATCTTTTAAGCAGAAGCTCATAAAAAAATAATTTATTAGAGCCCGCATCGGTAAAATTTCTATAAAAATATTAACTGGAATAGTATAGTTATGGAGTAAAGTATTTTAAACAAAAATTTCATGTAGCTTTCAAAAAATTTACCTTAATATATAGGAAGTGGTAATTCCCGAAGTGGTAATATGTTTAGGAGGTGCAACTTTGTTGCAAAATAGAGGCAAACCATGTTTTATACACATTAGTGCAAATGTGTACACTGTTATTTTAATAATCTTTCTTTGTTTAAAACATCCCATTGATCTTATTCCTCTTCTTCTTATTCTTCTATTCCTATGGATGCACTATATCCTCAAAATTCTTTAAACTGGCAAACAAAAAGATAATAAAAATGTAACAACTCCTTTAATCGGTAAATATTTATGTATATTATAATGTAGAAAGAGCAACAACAATTGTAAATTTGTAAAAGTATTAATACAAAAAGGTTCGTTTGTCAGGGAAACAATATGGAAGCACGAATTTTAAGTACGTTTGCAGCATCAAAATTGCACGTTACCTTAAAAATCACATGCATATAATGTTAGTCGATTCAATAAACATTAATTCTAAGCCAAAAATTTGAATTTATTACTCAACATTTAACTCTTTGGTAACAAAGTGTAATTAATAAATTAAAAAATACTTTTCCTGGGAATAACCCTGAGTAGTTTTTTGTTATAGTTACCAGAAAAAACATTCGGTTTGGCTTGCAATAAATGCCTAGAATAAAATTTTTAACAACATTCAAGACTATACTTATTTTGAGACAATTCAATGAGCCAGTAAGAAACAGAATAATATATCCTGAAATTCAAATATAACTGACCTAAACTTATGCACTACTACTCCACAAAAGTATATAATATAAAAATCGCTTTAAAATGGCTGGCTTCAACTAGAAGCTTATTTTTATTGACAACTCATTAGTAATCCACTAGTAAATAAGTGTGGTTGTTTCGAAATATTTTTTGTACAAAACAAAACAACGATAGAAGGTTATAACAAAGCCATTTGTTTTCTACAAAAAATTATTATACGAACTCTTTTGGCAATTTTACCACAGCTTTTATAATAAATAAATTCGATGTAACGATTTAAGTACTTCATATATCACACAATTCCGTTGGTATACATTTTCAAATAATCCGGAACACGCGCAGGAACTGGAGTTTGAAGCGGCTTCGAACGAAAACCGTCTTTACATAAGGCCACTATTTCCTTCACGTCTTTCCCCCTCGTCTCCGGCAGATAATAACTACAAACAATCAGTAAATAGAAACATTAAATGACTCGCAACTTAACGAAACCTCACCTTATGAACCCGCATAACAGCAGAGTAATCGAAGCGAACAAGAAGAACGAATAGGGGCCAATGTAGTACTGCATCATCGGAAACGTCAAGGACACCACGAAGTTACCGCCCCAATTCGACATGCTCCCCAAAGCCATGGCGCTCGGTCTCGGCCCCACTTCGAACAACTCCGATCCCACGAAGTAAGGAATGGGCCCCAAGCCGAAACCGTAACACAGCACATACCCCAACGTACCCACTATACTTAAATAAGGCACGAATGAATACGAATCCTGCAAATGAAAAGTATATTCCTCCATCCACGGTAGAGTAGAAAGTTAGCTAAACTTACAATGTACATAATAGAGGCTCCCAAGAAAACGAGGAAGAAAATCGACGAGAGCATACTGGCTATGATGCAAAATCGCCGATTGAAGTATGACATGGTCCAAATCGACAATATAGCCATGAAATTATTACACAAACCTGTTCCTATCGTGGCCAGTTCGTTTTCTTTCTGCGACAAACCGGCCGATTCAAATATTCGGTTCGAATAGAAAAACACCTACAAAACGCATTTATACTATACAAACCATTATTATTACTTCAAAACTTACAGCATTTATACCGCTCAGTTGCTGCCCCGCTTGCAAGCAACAAACCAATATCAACGGTAACAAGAGACTTCTATCGGACATCACTCTTCGCATGTTCCAATTAGCACCGGCGTTTTTCATATTCTCCAGTTGCTCCTTCTTCAAATCGTCGATTTCGACGCCGAGCGATCGCTCGTTGGTGTTCCTCAGCCTCTTCAATTGCTGGAAGGCTTTGTGATGCTGGTTCCTGATCACGAACAAATACTTGGGACTCTCCGGCAGTGTGGGGAACAATAAGGCACAAAGGACTAAAGGAACGACGTAGGCGGCGATGCAATAAGGCCAATAAGGCTCGTTACCGAGGATGTCTTCCATCGAAACGATTTGCCCCGCTAGAACGCCGATTGTGATGCCCAACGGGCACAACACGCCCGTGGAACCTCTCAAATGTAATGGAGCCAATTCCGTGAGGTACATAGGAACCACGCTCGTCGTAAGACCTTTAATAATCGCAATAAATTATGGAATGAGGACAAAGGTATTGGTTATTCACCTGAGCAAAGCCCGATCAACAGCCGGCCCAAATACAGCAATTCCAAGGAGACGGCTGGTCGAGCTGAGACGAAGCAAATCGATGCGAGTGCGCCCAATGCGGAGCACACGTACAAAACGCCCTTTCGGCCGATTTTATCGGCTAGCAGCGACCCGCATAGCGAACCTATCGCAGCACCGATTAGGAATATAGCTACTATTGTCGAAAAAATTAACTCCAATTGATTGGCGCCCACCGGTCCGCCGTACCGCTGAATCACTGCTTCCTTGCAAAATTCTTTGATTAACTGAAATTAAATAAATATTTGCACTTGTACTTATTAATCTTCTCGCCATTAGTGACTCTCAGGGCAATTTAGTGCTGTTATAGTACAAATAATCCGGAATAATCCAGAAAAATTGACAGTTAGACTGAGACCAGGATAAAATAAACGAGAACTGCAAGAGATGGAACGAAATATAAGCAAATGGAAGAGGTCTAAGTCCAGCAGTGGATAAAAACAGGCTGAGGAAGAAGTAGAAGTACTAATAAAATCCTTTACTTCAGTTTAAAGTCCGAGTAAGAAGCATTATCATTCATTATAACCTAATGAGTATGGATAATTAAAAAAAATGTTACTTTTAAAGCTAGATGTGTTTGGATTTACCTGTGCTGGTGTATTTACGACACCGATATTATATCCGGCAGGTAGTGAGAGTCCCAAAGTAGTCAATACTCCTGCCGCTATCAGCAGCAGCGACCATCCTGGCCTCTCTATCGAGATATCCTTAAAAAATAGAATCATTGTTGTAAATAATGCAATAAACACGTGCAGATAACGATGAATAAAAAACACACTTTACCTGTTCGACATTTAGTAGCATTTTCGCGACGACAATCGGTACATAACTAAATAAAGAATATATCGAGACCCTTTACATATATTTTATCAATTCTTTACGCAATTGCGACTCGATAACCCTGACGAATTGCATAAATTTCAGAATTACCACACAAAACTTTACGTATTTGCTACTACACATTTTTATGTGTTTACATTTATCAACCCAACAAAACTTCAAAACGACTTCTCTTAAAACTTTATTTCAACAGTGAACAAACGTACGATATAGAAAAATACTGGCTTAATGTGCAATTAGATGTACAATCCCGATAATATGCGGGCGTAACGATTTTAATATTTACGATGAATCACAACGTCCAGGAGCTGAGTTATGTCGAATATAAAAGGTAAGGCACTACCCAGGCTAAATATCCACCAGAACCAACCGCACTGCCAACCGTGCAGGGCTATACCCGTCAGAAATACGCACGCCACTGCGTGCCCTCCTATGGCTAATGGAATTGTTTAAGGAAAATGTGAAAATACATTTACGAACAAGCAAAAAAAATAGCAAAAAAACGATGAAAAGCAAAAAAAATATGTAAAAAGCATGCATTAACTTCCACAAGCTCGATAGTAAAGTCGAGGTCTATTTAACGACGTCAGAGGTTTCTTATCAACTTCAATTACAAAAATTCTTGTTAATTTAGTGGAGTTAATTGGACTATACGTTCTATTAGAATGTACGCGCCTAACTGATGTAATCGCCGGTTTAATTATGCTGTTAGCTTTTTATATTTGTATCAGTCGATAATATTTTACGTTCCTAACGCATGAAATCGGCCACTTTTAAATAACCTAACTAGAAAACTGGGGCGCAAATATAAATATTAATTAGTTCTATAAGGAGTATTTTATTCAGATTGTGTATTGTGACCTTACATGTAAATATCGAGATGTAGGTTAAAAGATGAATATAGCATTTTAGCGACAAAATAATATGCTTGTTTTAACTAAATATTAATGCAACATATTGAAACAAATAGTAAATAAAAGCGCAACAAATGTATGAAACAAATACAAATAAGTATCCTTCTCTCACCATATCTCAACTAATTCTCAAAATTTTGCTTGTCCTCTACACATTTCAAAATTCACTGTTCAAAAAATTAATAAACAATTATTTTAAATTGGTAATGTGCCTCTAATCTAATAATTTGCGTGTCAGCTATACTTCTATACTATAACTATAGTGCATGTGATAAATAAAATATCTAAAATACTTTTCAGTCTATACATATTAGTTTTCCAAGTAAGGCGATAGATGAAAGTTTACACGGCCTTTTGGATAACTCAAATACATATCAGCTGGTTAATTAAAGGATACAGAGTAAAGCTGAATTGTTATTAAACATTGTTAGTCCAAACACAAAGAAGAACATTTCGAATATTAGGAATGTTATCATTAGACTAAGTCCAACTGCCCATCTGAAATATTTTCTTTATTTAATCACTTTAATTAAAAGTGAACTAATTATACTTTATATTAATTTGTACTCAATGTATTGCCATTGATAATTGCTGCAATAGTTCAACTTTTGCACAATAAAAAATATTTAATAGAGTAATTATAGTATAGTAATTATAGTAATTATAGTAAGCAACATATGTGGTTTCGCTATAAATAATGAAAGAATGAAATACTTCAATAAATATTTTTCAACATTCCAAGTTAAATTGCATTTCAAGATCAAAACATAAACAGTATTTCTCTTCGTATTTATTAATACCTTCTTCGACTAGAGAAAGTCTAAGGTTAGTACATAAACAACAGATAATGCAAATGAATCATGATATTTTCAAGAATACCTAAATAAATTAACATAATTAATAAATTCGCATGTGGTAATAAACTATAAAGTTGATATAAAGACCTCACTGAATATAACAATTCAATATTTCATAACGATTTCACAAGCTTTATTTAGTTAACATACTATATAAAAACTTATTAAAAACTAATTTAGTTTTAAATCAATAATCAGTAGTTAATGTTAAAGAAGTATTGCTTAAATGTAAACAATACTATGCCTTGAGTATCACCTATAATGATACACAAATCTATTTATAATAAAAATAATCATAGGACAGATAACTTACTGAATATGGTAATGGTCTAGATCTAGAATAAGGTCTGAATTGGACTTCGTTTGGCTTGAACAGGCTCTCACCGTCTCCTCCTTGTTCCATAATAAAGTAACGGAAATAATAAAATGGGAAATTAGAATTAAAAATCTTGCGGGTATTAAACCGGAACTGTTGTACATAATCTGAAAACGAACGCAGCAATTTCAACAAACTTTCAGTCGGTTTTTAACCTATTAAATGCAATTACTGTCGAAATTATCGCTTAACAGTAAAATTAACGTACATACTAAAACCAATACAAACAATAATAACGTTTACCTGTTCTAATTTCGTACGCAACACGAAATCCTTCTTCTTCTTCTATCAATTCCACGCATCCCAGAAACACAAAAAATCTTGCAAGTAGTTTGGTTTAATGAAAATCAACTGAAATAACTGAAATCAAATTGATTTAAATTCAAAAGCGTGTTGTTTAATGTTATTGATCTTTGACTTTGACACATCATATGCGCCATGCGGAATACGTTCAAAAATAGGTGTGTTCGTTTGTAGATTGCGTGTCGGTTGCCAAACAATTTAAATAATGACAGGAAAATAGGCGCTTTGTGAATAAGATAGAGAAAGGTAGCGTTGTGATCGGAGCGATAAATAGGCGTGAATTCGTAGAGGTGAAAAAGATAACGGATGCACTTGCGATAAACCATTTGAAAGACGAAGATAGAAAAAAAAATGTAGCGATATTGTAATGTAATGGATGTTGCATATATAAAATGCACAGGACCGTCTTTGAAATATTACAAGCCCTAACAGTGTCATTTTGACAGAAATTGTAAGATTTTTAATTATACGAATGGGAATATTGAAATATTTTTTATTGGCCACACTAATAGTATGTATACGTAAAAATTGAAGCAAAAATTACGATGAACATTTCCATTCCAGATTCATCCATAAACCTATATACTTATTATTATAATACTATGAAGAATTCGCATCCCTCTCAAATAATCGTCCATCCGGATCGCTTGTCCTCGTCGGTGATATCTTTAGTATGCCGAATTTGTTACGATACAGAGAAAGACGAGGATTTAATTACGCCATGTAACTGTAAAGTAATTACCGGTAATTGAATTAGACTAAAAACGTTCAATTCATATCGAACGGACCATTCAGATTGATCGATTTAACAGGGAACGGTCGCGTTCGTACATCGATCGTGCTTGGAAACGTGGCTGGGCGAATCGAACACCACCACCTGCGAGCTATGCCATCAAGTCTTCAACACCGAACGCACCCCTAAGTACTCTTCGGCCGCCTCCATATGGCTGTGGTGCTGGCGCAACAACGGCACGTCCCAAGAAGTCAGAAGCGACGTGCTCGCTTGCACCATCATCACCCCTCTGACCGTCATCATAACTTACGTTTGTCTGTTTTCCTCCGAGTATTACAACCAAGTCAAATTTTCCAGGTACTAAGAACTGTTATAATATTGCTGCTTTACCACCATCTTCAATTTCATTTGGTTCGACTCATTAATGCCCCGTTTAGTGAGCTTTTATACAGCAGAAACTATTAGAAACTGCTTTAATCCTTTGAATTCTGTATGGACCATGGACTTCTAAGTGGACCAATTTAAACTCTCCATTGTAATTATGTTTAGCGTACCGGCTGCTCGATGGACGTCAGTCTCGCTGCTAATAATGATCGGAATCATGCTGATCGGTTATTACATGTGGGTGTATTCGGCTATCAGGATGCACGCGAGAAGATGGTACAATTGGTGGCAGAGGACCTGCAACGTTCGCTACATCTCCCCTGGTCCAGCCATAATGATCAATACTACAACAAGCACCAGGCACCAGACGAGCATGCAAACGATGAACGAATCGATCGAATTGGATCTGGCTAATCGCGAAATTGCGCCGGGCGATTTGGAGAAATCGATGTCTATCGAAGAGAAATCTGAAGAGACCTCCGTTTAAATTTGATAGGCGTTATGTATGTGCTTTAAGTTTTTTTGTTCGAAAATATTGGAATAAAAGGCCTAAAAAATTCAGTATTTTCCGAATAATCAAGGAACATTTTTATCGAATTAACCAGAGGTTGATGGACCGGAAGGGAAACGGAAATTCGGAACGATCCGAAAATTTGGAATGGTGAAAATTCAGTGTGGGAATTTTTTGTTTGAATTTTATCGAACCCTTGGTTGCCGGTGGTTACCGAGGTTGAGTCGCATGATTGTAGCACGCGAGTAAATTTACAAGTTTGCGGCACTCCGGACCGAACGCCTCGCCGTCGCGACGCTTCCGAAAATTCTTACGTAAAGAAATCCGGACGATCGAAGTGTGTTTGTTTTTTTTATTTAAATATCTATCACAAAAAATAAAGTAAGTTTATGCTATAAGAACGAAGATTTAATTAGACAGTTATTAAATCAAGTTTATTAAAAATTTGTTTTATTTTTAGTTTGATCACCTATGATTGCAGTGATAAATTGAAGATAAAAAATAAAATATGACGCCCGAAACGCCTTCTAGTTCTGGAAGTGATACATCGAAACCAGGGGGATGCAAGTCTGAAGAGCGTCTGATGGTTGCTGTTCGTATAAGACCTATGAAGCCGGATGAACCAACTAAAGTTTTGTACGCGTTGAACAAAAAGGTACCATGCATATGAATTTTAATCATTTCAACCATCATTTTTGTCCAAAACTTTATGTACACATGCAAATATTATCTAATATTGTAGTAATAGATCTTGTATGCCTACTCGTATATTCTTCATTTTATATCGTTTAGAAAAATTGTCATTAATATATTTTTGCCAGAAACGTTACTCTGTTTCTACTAAATAACTAAACGAGATCAATAGTTCATTAAGAAGCAGCCGATCTTTATCTGTGGTACTAAAGAAAAAAAACATTAGCGCTTAAGAATTCGCGTGACTCAATAAAGGGTGAAAACTTGGTTAAACATTTCCATTTCCACTAGAACAAACACCCAACGCACAATAATTGTGTGTTTTATAATCCACTAAATTTGGTTGGACGTCTTTTTTGGGGCTTTTTTAATTTACGGTTAATTGTATATCAACCTTTTAATCTACCGTTTTAGTTTTACGAAGTTAATTGTTCGTTCTTGTTTTTATTTGGAACATCTTCGAAATTTTGATAATCACTTTTTAAACTTGTTTGTTATTAATACATGGATCCTTTTTATATGTTGGGCAATTTTGGATCAATGTTAGATAATACTGGATAAAATTAGAGCAATAAGATAAGTCTGTGTTTTTCATTCTATGTTCATTCCAATTAACTTGTGTGACCTCTAATTTTTCCAATGTTAATTGTTCTATCTTCCTTGAACATCTCATTGCTGGTGCACGTAATACGTGTTAATGTTGGATGGCCCAACATTTGCATGCTCAGGTGTAACTACTTTCGATGCAGTCGTTATTGTTATCTATACCTAACATTGTTGGTTTTCATGCATTTTGACCTATTTTTTTTAATATGAATACCAAATTTCTGTATTTTTTATCGACATTGAGCCAGATTAATCTAAATTTACGGCGATTCGTGCAAAGGAAAATTAGCAATGTATATTTAAAATTGACTTATGTTCTACTCGTAGCATATTTCATGAAGAAAAATCGTTTTACTTAAATAATAAACAATTTTAGAACTGTATGTACCTGTTGTGAAAATAGTATTTCCCTGAACAACATTTTAATTATAAATCACCCGGTTACCGCCCCTGACCGAATTAAGCGCGGTTTTTACCATCTTAATCGAAACTCTTGAGCGATATATTTATATTTCAAGCGGCATTTACACCCATACTTTCTTGGTAATTATAGTTTATTTCCATCCGCGGCGTATGAGCTATTTTTTCTGAATATTTTAACTTAATAGTTACGTGTGAACCATATCGATTCGTTTTTGAACGGCCCTCATGCAGTTTTAGACTAAAAATTTTATAGCCATATGTTCTCATTGTTTTACCACAACATGATCATTACTTTTTAATGAAAACTTGATTGTTGTTATCAATGGCTAGCCAGTCATTTAATTGTTTGAAATTTAATTATACCATTCAATATAAGAATTTTTAAGTTGGGGAAATTTTATGAACAATATAAAGTTATGGTATAGAATTTTAAATACAAGCAAGATCAATAGTGAGAAAAATGTTATCGTGTATTTGATTTTATTTGTAATGATTATTTCGATAGGCGAATCGATGTGATAATGATGATTTACGAGGAACACTTACAAAAATTATGACATAAATGATTATCATTTGTGTACGACCTTCACCTTAGTATTTCCACTCAATAGTATTAATAATATTGGATTATCAAAAAATATACAGATCGATAGGACCGTTAAATGAGTTATCAAATCCTTGTTTGTGCTTTACGCATGATTGAAAAAAAATCCACAAATTACTAAATTAGTAAAACATATATTTGTTTTACTACAAAAATATGAATTAAAAGAATATACAGATAAAATAAAGCAATCATCCAACATACATATGATTAAAGGCAGAAAATTTTAAATTTCCCAATGGAAAATCTAATAAAGCGTTTAAATGAAATCGTCAAACTAAAATCAATTTTTAAATTATTGGTTTAAAGTGACATTAACAGTCATAAAGGAATATGTTGAATCTATCGATCACGGTAATGTGTTTAGCTTAAAGGGTAATATTGTTTTCATGTTTGATGAACAATTTGATAAACCCGGTGAATAATAGATGAATTTAATTTAAAATGCACGCATATAACAAAAGTAGTAAAAAGCTTTCATAAAGAAATAATTTATTAATCAAAAATAAGAATAAATAAGAACGTTTTGTATAATTATTATAAAATGTTATATTTTTATTGTTTCAGACAATTGTATTAGAAGATATAGACAAATCGGATGTCATTCGACAAAAGAAAGGCGTAGAAAGGCAATATTTGTATGATGTGGTATTTGGTGAAGATTCTACACAAGAAGAAGTTTACAAAGTTACCACAAAAACTTTAATAACTGATATACTTAATGGGTAAGTTTCAACTCAATAAGTGTGCTTTTGCCTTGTGCTTTTGCCGCGTAATGTAGAGATCTACTAGGCAATGTAAATTATAAATAGAGTCCTTAATGAAAAAGGACGAAATAACTATTAGTATCGAACTATCATTTATCTTTCTACCACTTTAATAATTCCTATTAAAAGAGTTTATTCACAACGCTCAACGAGCATTCCTTTAAAGGTCGCTTTTTTATAATTCGGTTTTAATGAAGGCATCTATTAAATATTCCTCCAAACATTCTAACATAAACTTTTACGTTTTGTTAACGACAAAACTCTTTAACGGCCATTTATTATTCAGAATTTAAACAACTATCAAATTGGGATACTTCTACCGTTATGAAGGGTTCAAGGGCGGAAATTGTAAACATACCGGACGGTTAAGGTCAATTATTGCGCCTTAACATCCACAAACTCGGCAATTTTAATCGTAATTTGATTCATTATCGCAGATACAATGGCACAGTATTCGCGTATGGAGCAACAGGAGCAGGTAAAACCCACACTATGGTAGGCACCAGATCTGAACCGGGCATCATGATTAGAGCCCTTAATGATCTTTTCGAAGCTGTTAAAGGCAAAGAAGAGGAGTACTCTGTAAGTATAGCTCATTTAAACCTTGTTACAAAAAAAACGTATATTAAAATCGAAAGTATAGGCAATAAATAGGTTGTTTGGTGAGTAATTCGCACCGCTAAAATAATTCAATCGAAAGTTATTAGGACACAAAAAAGGATTCTTTGAGGTGTGAGACTTTTATCCTTTCGACAGGTGCTTCGAACAAAACGCAAATCGTTAACCTACCTGGTATGTCGAATTGGCCGGCGTTCGTTGCTTTCTTCCATCAATCATTGCCGTTTGATGTGTCATTTATTATTCCTTGAAATATCGCCCCTATCATTTATTCACGGAATAAGCGTTTATGGACATGTGTTACTTGCACCCGACGCCAGATATCTGTCATTAGATTCGATATTCATACCAATTTGTATCCATTTACCTGTCTGTTTACCTACGGTGCATGCGAAATTGGATAAATATCGTGGATTATCGTGGAATTTTCCAGGTAATCATGTCGTACTTGGAGATCTACAACGAACAAATCAGAGATCTGCTGAATCCTTCGTCGGGATTCTTGGAGCTCCGCGAGGATTCCAAAGGGAAGAATATCAACGTTGCAGGACTTTCTGAAATTTCTACCACAAGCACAGATGAAGTAAGCATTGATAAATAATGCTCAACTGACGTATATCATTGGTTTATTAGTATATCATTAGCTTGTGTCATTGGTTTATGTCATTGGTTTATTGTTCTTAGACTTAAGGATCTATTTGCAGATAATGCAACTGCTTCACAAAGGCAATAAGGCGCGTACGATGGAGCCGACGGCGATGAATCAAACCTCTTCGAGGAGCCATGCTTTGCTCAGCGTTACCGTCCGGCATTCGGTGCCGGTGGATAAAAAGGACCATTTGAAAATTCGCGTGAAGCAAGGCAGATTGTTCATGATCGATTTGGCGGGTTCCGAACGGGCGAATAAGACCAAAAACAGCGGTAAAAGGTTGCAGGAAGGGGCTCACATCAACAGATCGCTGTTGGCCCTCGGTAACTGTATCAACGCTTTGAGCGGAGGAGCTAGGTAATAGAATAAATAATATTCCTTTATTCTCTAAATATATGTTTTTCTTTGAAAAAAAAACGCGCTTTATTTTTATATAAAGGCTTCTTTAAGTACTTTATTTACTATGCCATTCTCTTGATAATGGTATAAGTAAGTATTGATATATAAATTAGGTATAAAGACAAATGTAGCTTCCTGTGTTTTTAAGACCACAAAAAAACCTTTTCATAAAACTCATTGTGTATTTCCTTTTCATTAATGTAACCCATAAAACCACATTCCTTGGGAATTTCCTCATATAATGTTCTTTGATTAAAACGTTGACCTAGTACAAACTTTTTGTTTTGTTAAGCGAAATTGAAACACAAATAATATAGATTTTATTGGCCTACATCGAGCAAACACAGTTTGGGGTGTTCCATTGTTTGAATTAATAATTAATTACGACTCGTTTTTCGCTTCAATAAAATATCATATCATTTTAAATAAAACAGGAAATAATCATATTTCACTAAAATCTCATAAAATATTTAATCTATCATTAGTATCGTTATGGAAAAAAAATACACGTACATTCTAGCTAACTAACGACCAACCAAAAAATATAATTGCACTTTCCATATTATATTTCAGGTACGTCAATTACCGAGATTCGAAATTAACGCGACTGCTCAAAGAGGCGTTGAGCGGCAATTGCAAGACGGTGATGATAGCGCACGTTTCCCCGTCTTCCACGCAAAAAGACGAGTCTCGCAACACTCTAATCTACGCGGAACGGGCCAACAACATCACCAATAAAATCGAGCGCAACGTCCTGGACGTGTCCTACCACGTCACCCAATACCAGACCGTCATCACCGAGCTGAGGGACGAGATATCGCGGCTGCAGCACAAAATGAAGGAGGAACGACCGCGGTCGGCCGACGTGAGGAAGCTCAACTCGGAGGAGAGGCGAAAGGAGGTGCAGGAATTGCGCGAGCAAATCGTCGAGACGTTCAAAACGCAAATGAAGCTCAGACGGAAGCTGATGGAGATCGATTCGCATCTGCTGAGCTTGGGCATGGAGTCCGAGCGGCAGCACATGATCATATCACATTGGGAATCCAGGAACAATAAGTTGTATAAGAATAGCTTGAATGAGTCCAGGGCCAGGACGCAGCAAAGTATGAGGTAGGTTTCTTGTTCTACCTCGAATCAAGTGTAGTTATATACATGCTTCAAGATCCATGTCTATCCAGTACCAAATGATCCAGATCTAGCATTTCTATCATCTGTTATCACCAATAATTTGAACATCTGTTACTAATTTCGTTTGTAGAAGGAGAACTTACACGGCGGATGGTTTCCGATCGGCCGGATACGAGCAAGAGGAAGTGTACGATACCGATAACGAGGAGGGAGAAACTGCCATTCAGCAGGCCTGGTTAGAATTGACGGATATCGAGCGCGAGCAAGATCGTTGGTCCGAGCTGAGGACTCACATAGAACAGAAACTGGAAGCTTGCAGGCAACGTGGTGTCTCCTTAGAGGATGTTAGTTCCTTTAAATGTTTGTTAAAGCGAGTTTGACGGTGTGTTTAACTTCCAGAAACTTCCGACTCTGCTTTCGTCTGACGACGAACGGGAGATATTGGCGTTGATGTGTAGAGTTCACGAATTGGAGGCCGATAAAATGGCATTGCAGTCGGAGAGGCTCGTTAGACAGCACGAGCTAAGAAGGAGAGATTTGCTCATTTTGCGATACGACAGGCAAAGGCAGCTATCCGAAGAAATCATAACCAGACAAAGGCAAATAATGGAAGGTGAGTTGAGGTTGAGATTCGACATTAATGACCATAATTTTGTTTCGAAATTGTTAATTTTTTTAGAAAAGAAACTGTCGTTGCCTCAGGATTTGCAAGAGTTGTATCAATTGTATCAGCAGGAAATACACGCTTCTACTTATACTGATTTCGGCATCACCCAAACTGCTTCTTCATTAACACCTGATGTATTGCCGCCTATAAGTAGAACGTTAGTAATAAACTAAAGTGGTCACACAATATTTAACATGTTAGGGTTTATTCTTTTTAGGCGAATTTTGACCACTGAACTGAGCAGTAGCGATTTGAGTGCAGTTTCACCGCCTTCTTCTGCTGAATCAGGGGATTCCAGTGTAGATCGTGTTATGGGCCACCCTATTTCCAGGCACGGTTTCAGTAAATTACCACCTGTACCTCCTAGCCCGCCTGTTAGACCGAAGAAAAGCGGTTTAAGGTAATTGTATCAATCGTTTTGATTTTCTTATCTACCAGCAGGATTTTTTTTTCAGCTCAGTAAGGAGAAGTCATAGCGATATGCGGCTGAATAGTACGGAAGAAATGTAACAAAATGTAAAGTTGATTGTTAATTATTACAAATTGTATATTTTACTTGTATGATAAATCAAATAAATGTGTGATAATTACCGATGAGATGTTTAGTGAACGAATATTTTTGAGAATTGCCACCATTTGAATTTAGATCTATTTTTTGTTGTTATTCAGCCACCACTATCTAGACAGTTAAAAAAACACAAAAAAGAAGAATGTTTATTGACAAATTGACACCCATATTTGACACCCACAACATAACCTCAAATTTGTAGGATTTATTTACTATTTTTTAATTATTGTGTGAATAAAAACAGTATAATCGAATGGCGCTATTTGCATAAAAAGTGTGTATGAAATGTTTCCTTTGTTCTACACAAAATGACGACGTTAAAACCAGGCAGTCAAAGCCCTCGCAAGAAAGTTCAAGTAAGTCAATAATATTAATTTTAATTAATGAAAAACTTGTCACAAACAAAAAGCTTACTGTATTTTTCTTAACTACCAGTTTCCTGATATTTGATACTCTTCTTTTAAACGCTATAAAGCTTGAATCTCTCATTTATAATTTAAAAAACGATTGAATTTTAGGTTTCGATGGTGATATGCGAAGCAGAAGAGAAGAAACATCGGTCAGGCATAAACGCCTTGCAATTAGATCCAGCATTAGACCGGTTATATTCCGCAGGAAGAGACTCCGTCGTAAGGGTGTACGAGCACGAGAAATTCTTACACGGAATGCAACATCACACTGACTGGGTCAACGACATCGTACTGTGCTGCGGTGGAAAAAATTGTAAATATTTTTGCTCAAGTAATTACGAAAATGCAACAGTTTGTTTCAGTGATATCCGCTAGTTCCGATACAACGGTGAAAGTGTGGAATGCTCACAAAGGTTTCTGCATGTCTACGTTAAGAACCCACAAAGATTACGTGAAAGCATTGGCATACGCAAAAGATAGAGAACAAGTGGCTTCTGCTGGTCTGGATAAATCGATATATTTATGGGATATTACTACTCTAACGGCACTAACCGCTAGCAATAACACTGTTACTAGTATGTAGAATAGTTTACAAATAATAAGAAACATAGTGATGACTTATAAAAATTTCAGCTTCCAGTCTCTATGGGAGCAAAGAGTCAATTTATAGTTTAGCAATGAATCCTTCGGGAAGTATAATAGTCAGCGGTTCGACTGAGAAAATATTAAGAATATGGGATGCCAGAACATGTGCCAAATTGTACAAATTAACAGGTAAGAAATTAAAAGTAATGACATCGAAAATTAATTTCTATTTCGCTTTAGGTCATCAAGATAATGTAAAAGCATTAGTTGTCTCTAGAGATGGAACTCAGTGTTTATCTGGTAGCAGTGATGGATCAATTAGATTGTGGAATTTAGGAGCTCAGAGGTAAAACTACCTCGTACAATTTCACTTAAGTTTCTCTTACAAATTTGGTATTATTTGTAGATGTGTGCAAATTATACAAGTTCACACGGATTCCGTATGGGCACTATTAGCAACCGAGACATTTAGTTATGTAATATCTGGTGGACGAGATAAAAAGGTACAATTTATTTGTTATTCAATTGTACAAGGTTAAGGAGAAAAGTTTTGAAGAAATCTAATCTTATATTTTTTTTCAGGTGATAATGACGGACTTGAAAAATCCCTCAAACAGTATTATAGTCTGTAACGAAGAAGCTCCAATTTTAAAAATGTGTTTCACAGCCGATCGCCAAGCGATATGGGTAAGAAATGGCGATTCTGAAGAGCGTAAATAACAAATCCTAATTGCAGGTATCTACATCTGATTCTACTATAAGATGTTGGAAGCTTCCAACTGATAAACAATTCGCTGAAGAACTGCAGACATCTTTTCCACCCATATCATTAATACCAGGCGGTGCAGCTATTAAAAAAGCGGTCGTTCTCAACGACAAAAGGCACATTTTAACCGAAGATACTCAAGAAAACGTCTCTGTTTACGACGTTCTTAGGGTAAACGATACAAAACACTCCCAAAAAGTATCACTATTTTCATTCGTATACATTCGCAGGCTATAAAAGTAGAAGATTTAGGTAAGGTAGATTTTAAAGAAGAGGAAAAAAACCGTTTCAGAATGATATACATCCCCAATTGGTTCAATACGGACCTAAAAACGGGGGTAAGACCAAGAAGGTAGGACTAATATCTTTACTATTCGCTCGAATTTTCAGATGTTAACAGTCCATTTAGGCCAAGACGAGGTGGATTGCTTCTCCGCTTGGGTGTCGGCTCGAGACGCCGGCATAAAGAATCCCCACGAGCCCGATCTCAAGGTAAATTACGGCAAACTGTTGTTACAGGCGCTCTTCAAACATTGGCGAGGAGTCGAGACCGACGAGGGGCAATACTTCACCGTTCCCAATCACATACCATTAATTTTAAGGTACGCTATATGGTACCAGATTATACTGTACGAGGGTTATAGGGTGAAAAGTTCTCGGCCTGATACACTGAGCGCGCTGCAATCAACAAAAATTCTTGTTTCCTCTTAGAGACATTTTCTAAATTATCTATATCTATATTATCTATTCTATTTAAGGCACTACATAGAACCATTTAGGATCGGAATCATATAGAACTGTCTAATACTACTTAGAACGCTCCAGAATCATTTAGAACTCTCAAGAACTATTTAGAACGCCCCAGAACCGTTCAGAACTCTATATTTAAGAGTTCCCAGAATGAGAATTGAGTGTTTCTTCTAGTTCCCCGAATTCGCAAGTAATTGTTAACGTTTTTATTTTATTATTTGTTATTAAGTCTACCTTATTTAATTATTTGTTGGCAAAATATATTGAAAATTGCAAAATGTTAGCATTCAAAAGTGACTGAAACCCCTTAGAACACTTCAGAACCATTTAGAACGCTTCAGAATCATTTAGAATTGTCTATAACCATTTAGGAAGCTCCAGGATCATTTAGAACTATCTAGAACCATTTAGGACGCTCCAGAATCAATTAGAACTGCCTAGAAACTCGCGGTCATTCATTATCAGGCCGAGAACTTTTCCTTGTAGAAACTTACCCTTGTAGATACTTGAATAGATACCTTAACTTTTGATATATCTTGATATTACAAACTTGATACATGTATAATATTTATTATTTTAGTGAAGTTGGCGGTAGGACGTTGTATAGAATGATAGTAGGCGAGGGCGGTGGGGAAACAGAAAACACCCTCCTGAACGAAACGGTCCCATCATGGGTTATATCGAATATCGAGGAGAATTCTCAAAATAAATTCATTAGAATACAATTTTATCTTCAACCGCATTCCAGCGTCCCTTCGCATCTTCTGAAACAAGATAGAATGAAAAAGGTACAGTAAATACGGTTGCGGTAAAATACACTGTGTCTCTGAATGAATTAAAAAGCCTCTTTAAACGGTTGATTAGCGCTGAATACGGGCCACTCTGTATACTGTTCGATTTTACTTTCCTTTGTGGCAAATCTATTACGAAACTCGTCGTTATTAAGTAATGTTTTTGTTACGTTGCAGCCAGATAGATTAGTGGCGAATGATTTTATACAATGTCGAAAAGTAGCCGAGCATATTTTGGAGAAGCTGCTGGGCGACGGGACGGCGGGCTCGCCGGGCGGTGACGCCGATCCATCGGGAAATTCGAACAACGGTTACAACGTGGATCAAATCGAACTAACTTGTAACGAGCAGGTCAGTTATAATAAACTTCCCGCCGTCGTCTTAAGACCGTTTTCACATAGGGCAATACACTGCAGTAATATTGGATTGCAGTTACTAACGCTTGTATAAAAACTGCAATGCAATATTACTACAATATATTGCACCGTGAGAAAACGCTCTAAATGTTGCAACATGGGCATTTCTATGAGTTGAACAAAGAAAGATTGTTAAAATAAAGAGTCGTCAGAGTGAAAAGTTGCAATGACATAATATCACTCTTTCTTTTTCTTTTATAAGTGTCTAATTGAAGTTGTCTTTGTTGCACCCATAGCCCAAGTTGCAATGAAAAATGGAGCAATTTGTATAGTATTGTAAATTTTAGGTGCTTGATCCCGCGATGGACCTCAGGACAGTTAAACATTTTATATGGAAATCATCAACTGACCTGACTCTGTTTTACAGAATACTGATTAAATAGTTTATGTGATGGGGTTAGTGGTAAATTGTTTTTAATTTTTTTAAAAATTGTACTCATTTACGTCTAATTTGAAGTTGGAGAATGTCTTAAATATGATCTAGGTTTTCTCAGCTTTGAAATGAAGCATATTTATTGTTGAATGTACGTTAGCTGCGCGAGATCGATTTGATCTGTGTCTATTTAAGATAAAAAACACTTTATTTTGTAGAATAAAAGGCTCGGCCGCTGACTTTTTACCTATTTACCTTCTTACTATTGGCACTCTATATTTTTAGAATTCAAGTGAATGAGTTGTGATAGATTACTTTCTCTAAAATAAAATTACCTTCAGTAATTTTTCCGCCATTTGATAGTATGTTATCTTGCTAATCGTAAAAATTTAGCTAAGTACTTGATGTATTATTAAGTACATATTTGCTCCATTTCCAATGTTTATCTGACATTCCATCCTTATCAATTATATCATTTAAGTACATCATATTAAGTACATTTTTTTCTGGATTTCTTGCTCGAATGAACACCGCAATAATTTCGTTAACAAGACTAGTGGTGGAAAGATTGAAGTTTCAAAGATCGAACAATTCAATTAAGTGCAGTGATAACTTAATCTCCAGCTCGAAGAAAACGGAATAGAAATAACTATTGATTTTTTAAATATCATAGTAATTCCCTATGATTTGCAATTAGAAATAGGAGATAATAATTTGGTTTAAGGTTCAAGTTTAAGGCGTGCTTCCTATACCTATGTTTATAAATATTTTAAATTGATAAAATAAAAGTTTTTATTAAAAAATAATTCCTTATCTGATAAATACGCAAAGTCTTCTACATATATTGATGAATTATACGCAAAATCATAGTCAATCAATTAAAAATAAATTTACTTGTAAACATGACAATTTGAGAAAGTATATTGTCAAATTTGATTGATACTGCAAATAAGGTAAGACAATAATCTGTTGAACAAACTTGGTCTGTTAAAAATAGTAAATATATTTATTTTCAGTCGAAAATGATGTTAAAAGCAATTCCACAAGTAAAAGGCAATTATAAAATCAATGCTTGGGTCTTTTACGTTCTGGGAATTATGGTAATGGTGCCTTTCCATTTTTACATTAATTCCTTAGATGTAAGTATATTGTATTGATAATCGCTTACTAACTTCATCCATATGCAATGCATATGCAGTTTTATTGACTACATATTTTTACAGTTTTGGATGTACAAACTTCAGTCAAATGAACCTCGACCCCAGCCTCAGCCAAAAAATTATATTCCACCGTCATACAGAACCCACCTTTTCACGCCCGTTATTTGGGACAAACCATCGGCGGAGTCGGAGGTAATTAGGTATAGTCACTAGCACTTGTTATTTAAAACGCACGTTAGATTTTGCAATTTGTTAAACTTGTTTGCCTCATATCCCCATTAAATCGTTCGCGATTTCAGGATAACAGAAGCCCAATGGACGGGGCGGAACTCCAACGAAACTACACCACCCAAGGAACGGTCGCCCATACAGATTAACTTCACGTCGGGGGTTTTTATCACGTTCAAGTTGTCCCTGCTGGCCGCTTTGTTGATATGCAGCGTCTGGTCGAAGCGATTACCGGCCCCTGAGAAGAGGATCCAATGGAGTTTGCTGGCGCTTTCCGTGATGTTTTCTATTAACACGGTCGCCATGCAAATCAACTGCACAAAAAGTAAGATTGTTTTATTACAATTTATCAAAAATCCTAATACTAATGAAGCCTGTAATTTCCAGTGGTCGCCTGGTATTTTGCTGGAATGTTAGTATTTGCGTCTCTTATGAACTGTAAGTAAACACTTTACATAATCTAATCTTCATCAATTTATACGTACGACTTGTTTGTTTACAAATTTATTGCTCTTTTATCATTGCGCTCCTAAACCCGCGCTTTAAACCTCTTTTTACCCAAAGCCTAACAAGCTATATTTAAAAAATCACCCTGTACATGTTCTGTGAGCAAAGGCATCTCCCTGTATATGCACTGCGAGGACCGGCATCATCAGGCAGAAAATTTTCTTCTTCGTAGGACGTCATTTGTAATAATATACACTGTGCTCCATTTCCGATTGCTACATGGTCATTTCTATGAGTGGAACAAAGAAAGATTATTAAAATGACAGCTGTCAGAGTGAAAAGTTGCAATGACACAAATGTCACTCTTTCCTTTTCTTTTATAAGTGTCTAATGGAAGTTGTCTTTATCGAACCCTTGGCCTGTATAACCAATGTTGCGATCAAAAATGGAGCAATCTGTAGAGAATATTTTAGGGAAGTTTCAAAAAAATCGTCGGAGTATTTTCCGAAAAAATCCCGAAAACCCAAAAAAATACAAAATCGACGCGGAAAATCCGGGTTTTCACCGGGAAGGAGACTTTTCCGGGTTTCGAAACGTCGATTTTCCGATCGGGCATATCCGTTTACGTATAATTAGCTACTTTTTCCCGTGGAAAAAACACGCCAATGAGTCAGTAAATGAATGTCTCCTTCCATTAACCAATTAGTGTTTTACTAGTTCTTCGACTATGATTAATTTATTCCAGCAATTTTTTAGTTGCCACCGGTATGGCCGTAGCGAGCCTCTACGAGCTCCTGTCCGGATTTTCCCCGACTCACTACGGATTCATGCAGTCCGGGCAGAACGTCTGCGCCATCATCTCCTCCACGCTGCAGGTGTGCCTGCTGAGCATGCGTCTGAGGCCCGACATCCACGGGTGCGTGTACTTCGTCTGCGGCACGTTCATTCTGATCGCCACCACCGTGTACTTCTTCCACATCGTGAGGAACTCCAAGTGCTTCACCTACACGATAAGCCAGAGCGAGGGCGAGAAGAAGAAGCGGCCGCGGGGCGAGGTCACCGCTCCCTTGTCGAAGCTGATCTGGAAGATTAAGTGGTACTACGCCACGTTTCTGTTCGTAAATGGTACTTCGCACGTCGTTTACCCGGGATTGGCGGTGCTCGTCGTTCCGGTTAATATGGATACGGGTAGTGCTGTTTGGAAACGTACGTTTTACCACTAGCATTATACAGGGTGTCCAGCATAAGAGCCGTGTAGGGAAGCTGTTGATCCCTGCTGCTTATCGGGTTTTACGCAAGACACCCAGTATTATCACGTTGCATAATGTAAGGTTTTTTTTTATTGTAGATGTATATTTCGTTCCTGTAATAACGTTCCTAAGCTATGGATTGTTCAATTTGGCGGGTAGGGAAATTACTAGGATCATTAAAACGGTAAGCAAGAGAAAATAATACCTTTTGAGAAGCAATTAATTGTGATTTGTTACCGTTGCAGCCAAACAACGGGCTTGTTCTCTTCGTTTTTGCGGTGATGAGGATTGTTTTGGTGCCGCTGTTAATTTTCTGCAACGCTTTGCCCAGAAGGCACTTGCCTGTTTTATTCAACGACGTGGAATTCATATGTTTCTTGGGTGTATTAGCATTCTCCGAAGGAATATTAATAAACTTAACTATTGTTGCCATGCCTACGTAAGTACAGTTAGTATTTTACAGCCTCAATAGCCCTATATTTAACTTTGTACTATTTTTTAGCATATTAGATAAAAAGGAAAGGGAAGCTGTAATGGTTTTGATACCTTTTGTAACTACAGTGACCACAACATTAGCATCAATATTTAACGTACTTATTAATAATATAATTTAAAATACACAAAGTTATTTATATACGTTTTTATTTCGTTTAAATAAAATGAGATTAATTAACAATATCTACATTGTCTGGTTAACAAAAGCAACAAATGAAGGCACTGCTTCGATAGCAGTAAACTTACGTATGAATTCATTTCATTTGTACGAACATAAAAATGTTTATCCATGCTTTAAATTGGACTTACATTTTCATATTCATAGAAATTTAAAAAATACCACTACTAAAACAATACCTTCAAAAAATACTTATAAATTGTATTAACTTTGTATGAATTACTCCTAACGTGTTATTTTTAAAAATCAAAACATCACATTGCATCAAAGTGGAATCGATGAGACTCGGACAACCTCTCCTTTTTATCTTCCTGCCTCTCCTTCCAATGCAAAACTCCAATTATCACAGTAATTAAACCACAGACTGTGGTGAGAGCAGCAACTGACATGAGGATCAGTTTACTGGGAGTCACAAACAACTAAAACAAACGGAATCATTTCAAGACTGAAACTTGAAGGGTCTTATTGCTAATACACACCTGTGCTTTCCATCTAGAAGGCTCGTTCGGAGGCCAAGGAATCACAACCATTTGCGAATTTGGTATAATCTGCGTCCACGATTTGGAATGATTTGATAGACCAACGGTAACTTTATCTACAAAATTCGGTGTCCGACCTAACCCAAATATAGTATATGGTAGATTCAAGCTAAAGTGTGCAGATTGGGGTAATTGGCAGGAAAGCCCATGTCTTATATTACCCTCTTGCGTTATGGTTTTATACGAAATCGAAGGACCCGGTAAATTGGTTCCGTAAGTCCTTCTCTTTTTCCCGACTCGTCCGTTCGCCATTGGATCGTTCTTATTAGTTAAACCAGTCAACACCATGACTTTTATGAAATTGGCATCGTAATCTAAGCTGTTTTTGAAAGCAGCTGTTCTGTACTGGTGACCATTGAAAGTAACTATGATGCAGTCTAATATACCGTCTTGATAGAAGTCAAAAAACGAGGCCATCACCGTCCCATTTCTGAACGGGTTTAACGAATTCCACTGTACTGAGTAAGTGCGTTTGAGGGCGCCGCACGTTTGACACGGTACATTTTCTAATAAGAAAGACTGCGGCAGCGCATTACTGCCTTGGATAGGCGATAAAGTTGCTAGGAGGTCAGGAAAACCATCTAAGTTGAAATCGCCGCTTCTCAAAGTGATTACATCGGTGTACTTGCTGCCGTTTTTTTGGTAAAATTTCCATACGTTCGTGAGGTCGTCTTTAAAATTCACCTAAAAAATCAAGAAAAATGCAATAGTCGCACGTGCTGAAATATCCTAAGCTTACTTGCAAATTCATCCACTGTTTTTCTGCCATCGAATACAACATCAAAGCACTGTTTTTGCACTCTTTATCGTAACAAACGGGCGTTACTAAATCAACTTTTCCTTTCAATTCAACGTCAATAAAAAGGGACTGACCAATAACTGCGTCGGTGCCGTTTAAAGGAAGGGGAATCGTCATATTGTACACAAAATGTGGCGATAATAGATCTGCCTCTTCATTTCCATGCCAGATTTCAAAGTTGTCGTTTGTAGTAATAAATAGATCCGCCATATAATCGTGATTTAAATCTAAAACATGCAACTGTGCAGTATCCTGTAAATGTTATATAAAATGTATTCTTACCTAAAAATGCATGTGCATGTGGTCTCCTTAAATTCGTCATAGGTCTTTTATTGTGTCTCATTTCTATTTCAGTAGGTTTAGTTCTGTTTTTGTTAAATACCCAAAACGCTCGTCTTTCGTGTGTATTTTCTCCAAACAGATCTATAATCATGTTCTGATCGTAATCTATAGCTAACGGTTCTCCTAGCATTTTAACCAAAGGTTCGTACGTGCAGTTTAAATATCTAGCTCCACCCCAATTAACATATACATACGTTATTCTGCTATCTATACTATAATTCCTTTCGCCCGTAGGTTTATAAACAGCTGTAACGAGAACATCCATCAAAGCATCACCATCGAAATCTCCAGGCACCACACTTGTAATCGTGTGTTCATGTTTTCTGTATGAACATTTCAAATTCGGAGATTTCCTCAGCAGCGGCTCCTCCTCGTTGGCGAGGAGTATTTCCACGGAATAGCCGTCATCGTTGAGCACAAACACGTCCGTTAGCTCGTCAGAATTGAAGTCCCCGAAGGCTGCTGGTAAGTCTTCCGTTACACCAGCTAAAGCCAACTTTGTTATATCGCTGCATTCTACGCTGAATACTGCTAGCAGTAGAAAACAAATCGAGTTTATCGGATTTGGTTGCATTTTCGACACAAATGAATCACATTATTAAATAAATAAAGTGTATCGCATTTTTAAGATAAAAACATTCAATGACATTAGTGACAATTTGTTTTGACAGTTGACATTGACAATCATATGGTGAAGTCAAGGTCGAATTTGGAAACAATTGTCTTATTTTAATTTTTAAAATGCGTTAAATAAATTAAAGTTTTGAAACAAATCTTATTGATTATTCTAATAAAGGTAACCCTTTAATAAGAGAATTAAGAGAACAATAAATAATTAGATTAAATAAATATAAAAAAGAAGAAGTAAAAATTTGTGGTGACATCTATTGGCGAGTAGAGTAAGTAAGTGACGTTTGCGTTTGCGCATTTCGTTTGACTTTCGATTTGTTCCCCTCCAAAAACTAAAATTAAACTTCAATTCTATTTCCCGTCGCCATCACTGCGGCGAAATCGTGAGTGTTTTGTAACAAGAAAAATCGTCGTTCTCGACGAGGGGAGTCTCCTGCTCCCGCTAGTTTCGGCCTACGTTCTTCCCAACAACACCCTTCGTCAATCAGACACGAAAAAATTCTGCTGATTACGGTTTTTTTCTTGTTTGGAATTTAATAAACATGGCTTTTTAAAATGTTCGTCCTGAAATCGCGCGTAGCCACTCCTTGTGGAGGAGCTTTGAACTCCGTAAAATCATCGAAAGCTAATACTGGAAGACGTGAAGATGGAGAAGAAAGGAAATCGCAATGCACCAGTCCTAAAAGGCTCTGCGACTGATTCCAAAAAAGGTTTGTATCCATGCGGATTCCTAAGGTCAAATTTGTCAAAAGATTGGCAAAACTGTTGTGTATTTTGACCTTAAATAATTCATAATAGTTGCGAAGTAAAGGCGTAGATTTTGTCGTCAGGTGAATATTTATGAACGTATTTAGATAAGGGGTTTTATTTTTTAATATTGCTAATCTTATCACAATTTCTAAATACTCCTCTTTACTTTAAGTATTGTGTAATATCCATAATATTATCCCTACTTGCTTTTCATAGGAATCATCAGATATTTATAATATTTAAAATCAAGCGAGCATCTGTCAAATTATTTCCTAAGAGCTGTCAAACTGTCATTCAATACAGGCATCCGAGATAATCATGGTAGGCTATATTTACAAAAATGACGTTTAAATACTTTGAAAATTATTACATTTCTAAATACTCATCTTTACTTTAAATAAATTATAATAAAATAATATCCCTACATGCTTTTCGTAGAATAATCAGATATTTATAAAATTTTAAATCAAGTGAGCCAATGTCAAATTGTTTTCTAAGCTGCCAAACGCGTCATTTTCCGAGATCATCATAGTAGGCTATATTGACAAATGACGACTTCAAAAATTATGACAGAAATTGTATGACTTTTTCTTTAAAACGAATTTCTTACATTGCTATTTATGCAGATGGTGTCAGTAGTAAACCGTGGCCTCGCGGCAGCAGACGCCGCGAGTCCCCGAGCGGCAGCCTTTCAGCCAAGCCGGAGGCGTCCCGGAAGCCGCCGCCGCAGCGCCCCAAGACGTTCGACAAGCGGCTGGGGTCAAGGGGCGCGGGCGCCGTTTCTCGAAACGAGACGGCCTGGTTAGAACCGCAGCAATGCGAATACGGTTCGATTTTCGCGGCGGGCAGCAAAAAGCGCAGCCTTAATCACCTGTTGAACTTTTCGTACGGCCCCAAAGGCGGGGACTGTTACAAATCCGAGCAGAGGACCGGCGGCGGGAAGCGGATGCTGGCTACTAAGAAACACAAGTACAACAAGGAGCATTTTTTGCAAGCCAAGTAATGACGTTAAACAGTCGTGTAGTAGATATACCAAGTGGCCTTTTACGTTTCAGTTGTCAGTTTGTTGTGAACAACGGTGGCGACTACAAGCAATATCTTAACGATCCCGATGCCTTAGTTCATTGGGATTTAATAGAACAAGTTGTAAGTACTTGGATACAGTTAAACGAAATTGATTATCTAATTTTTATTTCTTCCAGAACGTTCAAGTGTCCGATTATCCTTGTTGTCCGATATGCCTTTATCCACCCGTGGCAGCTAAAATGACCCGATGCGGTCATATTTACTGTTGGTCCTGCATTTTGCATTACTTATCGCTGTCGGACAAGCCATCGAGGAAGTGTCCGATCTGCTTCGATAACATTGAAAAACAAGATCTAAAGAGGTACATTTAACGTGGGTTTTATTCTTATTAATTTCTAACTTAATCTGAATCTTTTCAGTGTAATTGCGATTTCCCACATGACATTTAACACCGCCGAGACGGTGACTTTTAAGTTGATGAAGCGTCCCAGAAACTGCCTAACAGCTTATCCAGCCGATGCAGATATTAGAGCTGACACTGCGATATTCAACATGTCTGATCGGGAAGCTAAAAATGTCTTCTCCAAACTGTTATTAGCCGATAAAGGGGACATATTGTCTATCATCGAAAGAGAACATAATGAATTAACAACTCAATTAGATGGTTAGTGATTAGTAATAAAGTAATTTAATATTAATTATGTACTAATAAAATTAACTTGTTAGAACACCGCTTATGATAAAATCCAAAGTGTTGAGTACACGTCACTCGTCATCTAGAGTTTTGTGAAATTTTAACTTTGGAAAATAGAATGGTTTTGATAATTAACTATCGAAAATACGAGTGTATTTTTGAAAATATCTTACCTACACTACATCAGTTTATATTTTATTTTAGTTTGTGAGAAAGACTTTTAATTAATATTATTTTATTTATATTCACTTAGGTGATGAATCACCTGAACGTTGCTTCATCGAACAAGCCATGGTTCTTCTGGAAGAAAGAAAGAATACAACTTTATCCAATTTGGATGATGTGAAACTCAATGACAATTCGGTACAACTACCTATTGTTCAGGAATTTGAAGAGTTGTGCATAAAGGACTCTGAGATAAGCGAAAAAGATGAGACCTCATCAGGCTGTCAAATTCCAAAGTTGCACTACTTCTATCAAGGTAAACAATCAGATTATTTTTGCTTATTTAATCGTCCTATCACTCGATTTTATTAAAGCTTCAGATGGCCAGCATATTTATCTCCACTCGATCAACGCTAGAATGTTGGAGCATACGTACGGATCGTTGGAATTCGGCCCCAAAACTTTGTCGGGGAAAATTTTGGAGAAGGAAGGCGGCTCAATGACCGAGGAGCTCAGAAAGAAGTTGCGATATCTGCAGCATTTACCGGTTACTTGTCAATTCGAGATAGCCGAGATCCAATTGAAATCGCCTGATGTCAACAAGGAAACCATCGAGTATTTTCAAGGTGTGTTAAATAGTTAAACGCTCAAATTGAAGTAACTTCGCACGTGTTTCTTTTGGAAATAATATCTGTTGTGTATTATTTTGCGAAATATGGTGCTAAAGTAAATGTGAGATTAATTAACCTTGATTGATTTTGTGTTAATCGAGGTCAGTCCTCTCTACTACATTTTTTTATATACATACTTATAAATGATTTGATTTATGTTAGTGTAGGTTTAATTTGATTCATGTTTGTTTAGAGCAACTGGAAATTCGAAAAAAGCGGCGTCAAAAGAGGTCCAAAGAGGAGAAGCGTCGCGAGAAACGTATCGAGGTAGAAGAAAGTCGCAAAATGGGGAAATATGTTTATCCAAATCTGCATTTGGAATCCAATGACCAGTTTCCGGAGTTTGGTTACGAACCTAGGTTGCGAACAGAATCTGAAAGCACAGTACCCAGCGAACTCAGTGGTTCCCCCGATATTCCATCTAGCGTCTCGGGGCCCTCTTTTGCGAAAGTAATTAACGAAATAAAATCCCAGACAATTACAAATCATCATCCGTATGTTAATAGATGTTGGCCAGCGAGAAGAAATCGCCGGCGTGTTGGCCTTCGTTGAAATCTGCAGCCTCTCCATCTGAACCGATTAGAATGATAAATGCCACCGGTTCCAACATGAGGTTGAGCGTCGGCGCTCGAGCACCGAGTGACAGCGAGCCTGAACCCGACGACTACGAATCCGTACCATCTTTTAATACAAGTTTTGGCGACGCCATCGCGCAGGCGCTTCTACAAGCAACGAAAAAAGGCGATGAATGTGAGTTGCATTAATTTAAATACAAGAAACGTGAACTAGTACATGGTAAATTACAATTTACGAGCATGCAAATTTCGATTAATACACATGCTTACAATTTGAAATTTGTGAAATCATAGCTGATTTTGTGTTTCTTTTTTGCAGCTGTTCCGATTTCTAGAAAGAAGAAGAGAGCGAATAAAAAAATACTGTTTGCAACAAACATGGCTTGTTCAGAAAAATGAATTAAAACAAAGGGTTATTTTCTAGTACATGTAGAAGATATTTTTTTTTAATAAATCCACATAAAAAATAGTAGGTACATATATGTTTTTATTTGTTTGAGTTTATTTGCAAATTAAAATTATTTAATGTTTTATGGTTCAATAAATTATATGATGAAGTAAAAAGTTGTTTATTTGTACATAAAAATAATTAATTGAAAAATTATCCAAAAAATATATAATTCGAACGTACACATACCTATTTTAAATGGTTACACTGGAATGAAAAAAACACCCAATAAATAATATGGGTTTATAAGTTTAAGTCCTCTTGAAAAATCTTTTTGCAACCTGCGTTGTTTTCTCCGAGCTGTAGGTCTATAATAGAAATTGGAAAAAAAAATAATGAATTATCTAAATAGCTATAGCAGTTGAGACCAAACAATATAATCACCACAGAAGAAAGAAGAATAATATAGGTTAGAAAACTCGATGTTTTTATAATAGAATCACACTAAAGTACTATGTCTAATTTAATAAATTTCATTACAAGATCTGTATCGACATCGAGCGTACATTACGGAAAGAGAAATTTCCGCAAATTCCCTATATACAACAAACGAGGCTCAAGGATATTCAAAGAGCAACAATCGAAAAATCCCGATCCAGAAATTCCCGTACACAAAAGAGGAGTGCGGGAAGTGGGCTACATAGATGGCGATAAATACGTGGTGATACCAGAAAAAATACCGGAAATAATCGTGCCGAATCTTTCGGATTGTTCGTTGAAACCCTACGTCTCGTACCGGACACCGGATATTCACCAGTCTGAATTCACAGCTCAAGACCTGTTTAATGTTGTCTATGCACCAAAGATATTGAAAGATTACAAAGAAGGAAAACTAGACGAAAATGGAATGCCAATAGAACCTTCAAAAGAAGAAAAAATAACCGCAGAAGAGGCCAAGTTGAAGGCCAGACAAACGGGCTCCGATATATTCTAGAATTATTGTACAAAATACTTACAATGACGCACTCATCCTCTGTAAAATCGTATTCACGCGTGGATTTCGCATCACCAGGCCCAACAGATTTCGTAATTAATTTGTCTCCTTCCATTGTAGTGATATTCTAAGAAAACAAATTAAAATTTGTTAATAATAGAGCTACTTAGACTTGTTAATTACCTTCAAAACACCTCCTGGCATCGATTCTTCGTATTCTTCGCCTATTCGAAACTTCAAAACGGTCGATTTTAGAAGTGTTGAAGTTGTGATCGTCCACTCTTCGTTCTCTTTAGTAACGACCATCGTGGGCTTAGATGAGCATATCATTTTCCTGGGAATGTACGGAACCCCTGCAATTAGATATTTGTTGAAGAATAGAAACTGGGAGGTAATTAGTAGACTTGCCAATGTCTGCGAAATAAGCGTCCAAGTTTTCGTTTTTGTAATTGGCGTACTTTCCTTCGAGCTGCACCATCTTTGACGATTAAATGTCTCGAACTGAAAAAATGCGCGATAAAACGAAAATTAAATAATTGTAAAATAGAAAGTTTTGCAGTACAAATGTCGGTGTTACAAAATAAGAAAATATTTAATTATTGTTCGAAGTAACCTTGAGGAGAATATTTATTGCTGCGCTTATCAGGTGTAAATAATTGTTATTTGGCAGGTTTTCAATTAATTGGGGTATTAAGTCAGTTTTGGAAAGTGCAATAGCAATAAAATTGGATTTTTTATACCTGATAAGCCAATTATGTTCAAGCTATAAAAATTGTTCCCTTATGTAGATCAAATGGTTATTTCAAAAATACATAATTATGTATATAATGTATATGAAATAATATTCACATAAAAATAAATTAACAATAAAAATGATTTAAATTCTTAAGTATAGTAATTTTAGTGAAAATAGGAACTTTAACTTAGACTTAAATGACTTAAAATGACTTAAAATCTTTACATTGAAAAGAAATAAAATGATTTATTATTGGTAAATTAAAGACAACATAACCTTTAGCTAAAACATCGTTAATAAATATTTAATTGGTAATAACATACGTAATTAAAGAGTAACCAATACTCAATCATCAAATGTATCACTAATTTCTATTATACTTACTATTAAACAATATAAAATTTCGAAAATATACGCACTAATAAAGACAATGACAGCTTAACAAACAAAGATGCTGCATACAAATGATTACAGTCTGCCTCTGCGATCAGCAAGTGATTTATAATCACTGATCACTGCTATTTTCTCTTACTCATAATTTATATGAAAGAATTATTTACTATTACTATCTATGAATCAAAAAAATAAACATAGGTGGAATAAACAAGTGGAAAATCCAGATGGACCATTTTACTATGGAGATAACCCTGTAATCTCAATTTTTGGATAGTTCAATTATGAGCAAGCATATCAAACAGTGACTAACTTAAAATGCTCTATTTAAAATCATCAACAGTAAACAAATCAACAATAACTTTACTTAAAGTCGAACCGACTTTTTGTCCCTGGTAGCTCAATTCCGCTAATTGTTTCTGGAAATCCTCCCGGCAACTTTCATCGATAGCATCCCTAAACTGGACCGGTGTGGGGTACCTCTGGGTTATTGCGATGGCCCTTTTAACGGACATGCCTTGCATTTGGATCAGCATTTTAATGAACAAATCAGAAACTTTCATGGGTTTATTTTTGACGCTGCCTTGATTGAACTCTTGAAAAGACATCAAGGAAATTAAATCGCTGGATAAATCGATAGTTGCTAGGTTTTCTTTCGGGCATTTCACCAAGGTTTTCTCGCTGAACAAGCTCTTCAGTAACAACGTAAAGTTCCCCAGGAATCGAGCGGTGTGTTTCAAGTTTAATGTGTATTGTATTTTAAATCCGTCCTGAATGGTTGTGTTGATTTCTGCTTGTTTCAAGGATGTCTTCGAGAAGCCATAGACTTCGTGGTTTTCGATCAAGTAGTATTTATGTTCAAGACCGCAATTTTTAAGCCTGAATTTCTGCTCGTGGTATCGACCGTCCATAATACTCCTAGCAAAATCGTCCATTCTTTTTCTTTCCATAACGTAAGGAAGAACCAATTCCTTCTTTGTTGTCCGATCCCTGCATATCCAAACGTAGTCTCCAATGTGCAACTTTTTGACCTCGAATTGATAATCGCTCGTCTGCTTTGTTAATTCTGTTATTAGTGGATCTGAACTGCGAGCTGTTGTTTCTGCTGTATCGACGCATAAGATGATATCGAAGCTTCCCGGCTCCAAAATGTAAAATTCATCGTCGAGTGAATTGACACTCTGTTGGGAATTCCCAGCCGATTCACTGCTTGTTGTTTTAGTTATTGCTTTTTTATTGGTTCTATTTGTTTGTCCAGTATTCTTCGATTCCGCATCTATGTTGTTCGTTGATGAGGGTCCTGCTACATTTACTGATGATGAACATGATGTTCCTGTTAACTGTTCTTCTCTATTATCAGAATCACTATTTCGATCTTCCTGCAACCTGTGGTCCCTTAGTTTTTGATCTAATAATCTACAAAGTTGGTCACCGAAACCCTTCAGTATCTTACACTCTTGCCCTGTGTTGAAAGATATGGGGCACTTTTTGAGGGAGGTTAATGCATTTTTATACGCGTATACTCGCTTAGAGCCTCTGTGCTCAGCTTCTATTTTCCATTCGCTCAACCATTTCTCGAATAAAGGATTTGCTGATTTATATTTTAACGATATTCGGCGTTTTTCCGCCATGTTTCAAATAGCTGTCAATAGTGTCAATGTCAAAAATATTTCTCTTCTATAGACCAATAAAACATGACCATTTACTTTATTACTCACACAGCTACTCATAATACGTAGGCAAACCGATTTATTCAATATACCTAAAATTTAAATAAAACCAAAGAAATATACCAAAATGTTAATTAAATTTATTCACAATTCTTGTTTGACATCTTTGGAATGTTTACCCTTATATACTTTAGATTCAATTGTAATACTCTCGCATTTTTCCTGTTCAATGAGGTAATCTTTAGCGGTCCAAGCTTGGGAACCATCTTTAAATAAGAATATAGCCCTATTATCATCAACTAAATACCTGCAACAATATTATTACTGTTAATGTAACACCTGAAATTATATTTTTTTGTACCTTTCAGCTTGTATGTGGTTGTTCCAGAGGCTCGTCTGCCACAATTTAGTTATTTCTTCAGTTTCATCTCGCGTTGGATTATCAGCTACTTGAACGAATGTCATGAGAGTTCTACCCTTCTTGGAGGCTTGCAGTATGCCTTCGGGATCGCTGGGATTGATGTCATTGAGATTCAGTTGGGGCATAGGCCTAAGGTGTTCCGGTAATTCGTCCGGCTCCAGAGGATCGTCATCTTCCTATAATTATCTTAAATTAACAATGATTATGAACTAGCTCGAAACACGTACCTCCCATTGCTCGAGCAACCTTTCCATATCTGCATCATTGAAATCTGATATGTCCTTTTTGGCCCATTCTGGTTTTTCTTCTTCTTTGAATTTTTTACTAAATACAGTAGGAATTATTACAATAAGCAAACACACTAGTAGTACGGAATTCATATTAATATAATATACAATAAATGCACCGTTAAGCAGAATAACAACTAATCCTAACCTTAAAAAAATATGTCTTCTTCTTTTACTTATTTATATTATTGTCTTTACAGGAAAGATATTCAGCTCTTTACGTAAGTTATTGAGTTACAAAAAAAGAAGAAAATGTGAAATATTTTAGGTTAACTTATAATTTTTTTTTAAATTGTAATTATTCTAATATGTAGTGATTACATCAGTGGATGAGCGCATAAATAAGAACCCAAAGAAATAATGAGCAGTAAGTGTAAGTACAAATAACCCGATGATTGGCGTGTTTTTAACCTAAGAAATATTGAATTAACCAGATGTCTTTTGAAAACCAGAGAATACCAGTCTTGTACGGTTCGCAGACTGGCAATGCTCAGGATTTAGGCGAGAGGATATCCAGGGAAGCGAAACGATTTTATTTCAGAAGCCCGGCTTCTGCTCTAGACAGTTATAACATTATTGAATTGATTAATGAGAAGTGCGTAGTGTTTGTATGTTCGACAACCGGTCAAGGTGAAGAACCTGACAACATGAAAGTATTTTGGAAGTTTCTGTTAAAGAAGAGTTTACCTCCCGATATTTTGAGCAACTTAAAGTAATTACTTTAATTCTGCATAATTTGTTTGTATTAAAACTTCATTGTAGGTTCGCTGTGTTCGGTTTAGGCGACTCGAGTTATGTAAAGTACAATTTTACAGCAAAACTTTTGTATAAGAGGCTGATAAATTTAGGAGCGAAGCCTGTTATTCCGTTGGGGTTAGGAGATGATCAACACGATTTAGGATATGATGGTACTGCTGATCCTTGGATTGAATCCTTATGGGGTCAATTGCTACAATTGTTTCCTCTTCCTGCTAATATTATTCCCTTGCCGAAGGACTATAGAATAGAACCAAGGTATGTTTATTTATTTTACTTGCTTATACTCTTGATTTATTGTATTCAATTTGCTATATTCCAATTATTAATAAGCTCCATATTTGTCCATTATTTTTAGATGGCACGCATTTAAATCTGACAATGTAATTTCAAACAGAAATCAGTCAATTTACTCAAATACCAGAAAAAATTCGGACTTTATAGCTACTGTAATAGAAAACAAAAGGATCACATCGCCCGATCATTTTCAGGTATTTCTTCAAATTCTTTTAAACCAGAGAATTTTCCTTATACTCAATTAACATTTTAGGACGTAAGATTGATAAAATTTCGCTGCAAAGACCAATCGTACAATCCTGGCGATGTCATCGTACTTCGGCCGAAAAATCTTAGTTGGAAAATCAAAGAGTTCCAAGAGGTACTTACAAACAACGGCGTGGAAATACCTCCAGAAACGGTGATAGATCTGGCACAGAAAGATGTAGATATTCCAGTTCCAGACGTCCTTAAATATAGGGTAACGTTCGGGCAATTATGCGCGGAATATTTCGATTTGATGTCGGTACCGAGACGCCACACCTTCCAGATTTTAGCCCAATTGACCGATAGCGAATTAGAGAAAGAAAAATGTTTAGAATTTACCACTGCCGAGGGGCAGGAAGATTTGTACAGCTACACATACAGACCAAAGAGGAATATCGTTGAAGTTTTACAAGATTTTCCGCAGGCTACGAAAAATTTAACACTGGATATGATGTTTGAGTTATTGCCTCCTATTAAACCCAGGGAATTTTCGATCGCTAGTAGCCGTAAAGTACACGGTGATGAAGTGCACGTACTGCTGGCTGTTGTAAAATATAAAACGAGGCTAGTAAAAGAACGGTTCGGTTTAGGTTCGAATTATTTGGCTGGATTGAAAGAAGGCGATGAAATTATGGCTCTAATTAAGAAGGGAAGTTTTAAATTTCCCAAAGAACTCGTGAGTTACACACGATATCTAATGTTGAATATATGTAAACTATTTCTTTTTAGGATATTCCAGTTATATTAGTAGGGCCTGGTACAGGTGTAGCATCATTTCGTAGTTTTGTGTTCGAAAAATCCGACGAGAATTCTCATTTAAACAATCCAGTTCTATTTTTTGGTTGTCGATATAGAAACAAAGACTTTTTATGCAAAGAAGATTTCCAAAGACTTGCTAGCAGAAATAAACTGAAGCTCATAACTGCTTTTTCGAGAGACGAAGACCACAAAGTGTAAGATTCCAATTCTAGACGATATGAAATATTATACGCGGGTGATTTTCAGTTATGTTCAGGATAAAATTAAAGAAAATGGGCCGCTGGTTTGGGAGTTACTGCAAAACGAAGCTCGAATATTCGTCGCGGGTAGTTCCAAAAATATGCCACAAGGAGTGCGAAAAGCTTTTCTCGATGTTTGCCAAGAAGCCGGAGGTTTAAGCCCTGAAGAAAGTACAAAATTTATCGAGAAACTAGAAAAAATCGGTAGGTATCAAACTGAATGCTGGTCATAAATTTGTTATTTTCTTTATTAAATTTTAATATAAGAAATTGTAGTTATCTTATAACTACACATATTTTTTTAACAATACTGTTACCTGTTACATTTTTATATTAGCAAATTGTACAATAGTTCAATTTATTAGTGAAAAAGGTTGCGTTAGAATATATAAAATTAATTATTAAAAAAATATATAGTTAAAACGTGTTTAGACATATCAAATAAATTAATAGAACTTAATAATATTTCAATATTACAACTAATAAGGCAGTGTTAAAGGCACAAATATTTGATTTTTTTAAATGGTACGTTTTCCTAACGAACACGAGATATTTTCTTTGCCTTATCGACACATGGAGGAGGTATGTCTGGTTTATTTGTTGTAAACCTGCTGTGCAACCTGCAAAAATGAATTAATTTCAGTTAATTACATGTTAAATTACTGGACATTAAGTAAACTCACACTCTGTAGGTTTCACTTTTCAAATAATCCTGTAAATGACTTATGCCAAGCTGTAACTGATCAGCAATAGGCTTAACCCATTCGTTTCCTTCGAATCTGAAGGCTGATTTGTTGGAGGACATGTCCAAATTTCCAATTTCAGGAGGTAAAATAGTTAAGCGGTTGCCCTGCAAATGGAGCTCCCTAAGACGTGTCAATTCGCCTATTTCCTTCGGCAATTCTATCAGATCGTTTTCTCTCAAAACTAGCTGAAATAAAGTATTTCTATGTAAGTTAAGTTAAAAAGCAATGTACAAATATACATACGATTTGTAAATTCTTGAGATTCTTAATGTCAGCTGGAAGGTATTCGAAATCGTTGTCGCCTAAGTACAAGGCTCGTAAAGTTTCTGGAATGAACGCATTGAAATAATATTGCAAGCATTAGTATTGGAAAAAAATGTACCCATCATGAAGAAATTTCCAGGCAGGGATTCTTCCTTTAAATTGTTGTATGTCAAGTCCAGGACTTCCAGTACTGGGAAAGCTCCAAAGCCTCTTGGTAAAGTGTACAGCCTGTTGATGGACAAGTTCAAAATCCTCAACTTAGGCATGGAAGATAACGATAATGGCAATTCCTCGATGTGATTATTTGCCAAATTCAATATTTCCAAATTCGATAAATTTGCAAGACCTGGTGGTACAGCTGAAAATTTTAATACACTGCGTAAAAAATATATACAATGCATTTATTTGAACTTACATTTTATCTTGTTGTGGCTTAGAGTCAATCTCGTAATATTTGTCATCGTTACTGAAATATTTTAGTAAGCACATAATTAAATAAATATAATAAGTTAAAAAATTGTGGAACGTAAACAAATTCATTATTTTTATCAAATTTTAGTAGTTGTAAACTACAAAGTATTGTTATGATAGGTGACAATAATAATTTAATTTTAAATATCAAGAATCAAGTTTTAATATTAAGTAGGGGAATTAATCAAACATTTCCTTATAAAACCCCGCCCAAATATTAAAACCACCAAACCTTATTTGGTAAGTTAAAGAACAAAAAAAATCAGCTTACATAATCCTGGTAATTCTTCAAACGAAGATATGCTTCTATCAAATAGATCCAATTCGGGATTTTGAAATTCTCGGGCCTCTTCTAATACCTTCTTTGGTTTCGACATTTTCAAGTTTTATTATTTTACTTGAAACTACTATTTATTTACCAAATTTACTTTCATGGAGTAAATGACAGTAATGACAGTGACACTTCACTTACATAACTCTTCTTAGCGGCCTTCACCATTGGTGGTATTTGGCTCCATAATCGACAGCTAATCGATTTGAATAAATTCGATGTTCTATAAATAAAAAAATTAAAAACAACTAGAATTCAAATTGTTTAAATCATCTGTTTTAATATGATTGTTCTTTATTAAATGCCACAAGTTTTTTAATTGTAATATGAAAAAAAGGTATCAACCAAATACAAAAAAAAAATGTATCGATTCGTGAATTTACCAATTACGTCAGCTGTCATTATTGTCAAAGTGAACGTTCTGAAATCACTCGTCTCCTTCCTTCCTTTCACTAACAGGCCACGTGTAGGGTACGTCGTAAAATTACTCATCATTATTTCTTGTAATTTATTATCGATTTATTTTGCAGATTAATATCTTTCCAGGTCTGTAAAGGTCTAATTGTTCCAATTATACTCCTGTATTAATTATTTCAATTAAAATGTAAGTAGTACATTATTTATTTTATAGTTAATTTTATGCATGAAACATGTGGTAATTTTAGGCATCAAAAAGGTGACTACAAAAGCTACGAAAATGGCGACAGAAGAGGTAACGGCGGAGGTGGTTTTCGAAGAGGAGGCTCCGGTAGGGGCGGTTTCGGGGATAGTAAATTCCAAAGAAACGACAAGTTCGATATCGGCGGAGGCAGTTTGAACAACATCGATTGGGGTACTAAAACCCTGCAGACCTTCAAAAAGGACTTCTACGAAGCCCACCCCAGCGTAGCCAAAAGGTCGCAGTACGAAGTGGAAAAGTACAGGAGTTCCAAAGAAATCACTGTAGATCAAAGCGCTCCGAACCCAATACAAAATTTCGACGAGGCCAATTTCCCCGACTACGTGATGAAGGAGATTCAAAAACAAGGCTACGAGTTTCCCACGGCCATTCAAGCGCAAGGTTGGCCCATCGCTTTGAGCGGCGAGAACATGGTTGGAATCGCTAAAACCGGCTCCGGCAAGACTTTGGCTTACATTTTACCAGCCATCGTGCACATTAACAACCAACAGCCGCTGAAGAAGGGCGAAGGACCCATCGTTTTAGTCCTGGCCCCTACTCGAGAACTTGCCCAGCAAATCCAGCAGGTCGCCTCCGAATTCGGTAGCTCCTCCTACGTCAGGAACACCTGTCTGTTCGGCGGAGCCCCGAAGGGGCCGCAAGCTCGCGATCTGTACAGAGGCGTGGAAATTTGCATAGCCACTCCCGGTCGATTGATAGATTTCTTGGAAAGGGGCACTACGAACTTGGAACGGTGCACTTACTTGGTGTTGGACGAAGCCGATAGAATGTTGGACATGGGTTTCGAGCAGCAGATCCGCAAGATCCTCGGACAAATCAGACCTGACAGACAGACGCTCATGTGGTCGGCGACTTGGCCGAAAGAGGTCAGAAAACTGGCCAACGATTTCATGCAGAATCCAGTACATCTTACGGTCGGATCGCAGAACCTCGCTGCGAACCACAACATCGTTCAGATCGTAGACGTATGTCAAGAACACGAGAAGGAAGACAAGTAAGTTTTGTATAACATTCGGAAGCTTGTATAATTTTAACGATAATTTTCTTTAATAGGCTATTGGCTCTTTTGGATGAGATTCGCAACAACGCCGAAGAAGGTAATAAAACGATCATTTTCGCCGAGACCAAAAGGAAAGTGGAGCACATTACTCGAGGTATTCGGGAGAATGGTTACGATGCAGTAGCCATGCACGGTGACAAAAGCCAACAGGAAAGAGACTACGTTCTTAGGCAATTTAGGAACGGTAAAGCGAGCATTTTGGTCGCAACGGACGTCGCGGCCAGAGGATTAGGTAATTTAATCGGACTGTGTAAAATGCGGTAAACGTTTACCTGAAATCTTTCTCTAATAATACATTTCTTGGAATTTTTGTTTCAGAGGCACATGCAGGATGAGTATGTTATAATACTCGAGTGTTGTGTTCACATATTAATTTTTAATGAATGCAATCTGATGTCTTGCGGTGCCTCTATAATTTGTGGCTTAGGCCACAAATAATTCCATCAAAATAGGAGAAGACGTACGGTTCAAGATGAAAATTGTAAGTGTTTCTCTGAATCGCCAAAAAATTACACTTCTCCTTATCCTTGTTATTATTATTCATCGATTTGTAGTCAATGGCCCGTATTCAGCGCCTCACTTTAACTGTAAACACGACTTTAAAGTCGTGTCTCTAACTTGACATTTTTACATTGTTATGGAGCAACTAGTGACTTTATTTACATTAAAACGGCCCTCTATAGCCATGTTTAAGTTTAAAGTGGGGCGCTGAATAAGGGCCAATCCAACTTGTTTAACACAATCTGAAAATTTGTATCGGTTTTTTTAGATGTTGATGGAATTAAATATGTAGTAAACTACGATTATCCTAGCTCGTCGGAAGATTACATTCACAGGATAGGAAGAACAGGTAGATCTGACAATACGGGAACTTCATATGCATTCTTTACTCAAAAAGATTCGAGACATGCCAAAGATCTGGTGTCTGTTCTTAATGAAGCAAAACAGGTATTAAATCATTTTTTCTAATAAGTAAACGTTATAATAATACAATTCATTCTAGATGGTTAATCCAAAATTAGCTGCATTGGCAGATAGGTCTCATGGATCTGGTGGAAATAGATATGGAAGATGGGGTAACGGTAGCTTCAAGGGAAGAGATAACTTCAGTAAACCATCGCACACCAAATTTAATAAAAGATGGTAAACAAAGTTAGGTAAATATAACATACAATAAATATGTTTCATAGATAATAACGATTCGTTTTTTTAGATATAATTCCTAGAAGTAATTTTTCCTCATCAGTATTTGAGGCTTGTTTTGACAGAAATTAAAATAGGGTAAATGATACTCTGTGATATAAGCTTAAAATATTTTGTAACATTTCCATCGAAAATAAAGACGTTCGAATCAGATTTACAATTACTTTTATTACTTAATTCACAATTTCTACTTACACCGTACGTTACAATAATTAATCACAGTAAAAAAACTACAATAAACATTAATTGATCCAATTAAAATGTGCGAAAAATTAAAACTTTTTTATTGTCCTTTTTCTTTTGGATGATCTGTATTCTTGTCATCCGTTAAATTCGAGCTTACCGACAATATCGCGAACTGTTTGCAACAAATTCGTATCGTGACTGCTGTTTTCCAGCAAAATTGAGTGAAGATTAGTCATGTAATTGTCAATATTTTGCAATGTTGCCATTTCTTTGATACCTGAAAATTAAAGTAATTAAACCAAATTTCCACAGTACATAAGTGCTTTATACCTGGTAATTTTACACCTCCGAATCCCGATGCTAGGGTGTTGCGCAAGTGATCCAAATGCTGCTGAAGAGACGAATTGTTCTTTTCTTGTTGCATTATTTCCGATTCTAACTTTGTTATGGCTACTTTCATGTTCTCTATGTGCTTCGTTAAAATTGCATTTTGTTGTTCGTAATCTGTATTAATTTTCCTCAACTGCCTCAATTCCGAGTCTCTGGTTTTATTGTGTTCGAGAAATTCTTCAGTAAAAATAGGAATATCGAAATTACCTAAATCCATATCTTGCAAATCCTTTTGTATAATAGACTGATGACCTAACTAAATAAAATCAAGATAACAAATTGTTATTGAATTAATCAACCGACTTACTGGTACTTTAACAGCGGTTTCCTCTTTATCTTTGTTTTCTTTCATCTTCTTTTCGTTCTGTTGCTGCGTAAATATCTTATAGGCCTCCGTTTGTTTGTAGGCATTGTATTCTTTCGTGTACCTTTCCCTGTCTTGCTCGGCTGCATCCAAATATTGCTGCTTCTTCTCGATAGGCAAATTACTCCACTCGCTCGCCAGCATTTTAGTTATTTCCGCAAAGGATAAATTCGGATTCGTCGTCCTAACGGCTTCCCTACGATCGTTGAGATACCGAACGTAACCTGCAATCAGTGCGATAGTATTTAAAACTTCTACGAATGTAGCTTTTACCTGTTAGGGGTACTCTAGGCGCAGTACTATCTTTAGGCTTCTTGCGCTTTTTCGCCTTTAGTACTTTAGGCTTTTGAGTGGTCTCTGCATTATCAGTTCTCTCCACTATCGAATTATTGCCTACTTCGGATTCCTCACCTTTCGGTTCGGGATTTTCTTTGTTGGAAGTGTCTTCCATTGATTAATTATGTGGAATGTACTTTAAAACAATTGTGTTGCATAAATAAGAGGAAAATTGATTATCAAATAAATTAAATTGCCTTTTAACAATACTGTCATTTGTCATTTGTCAACGCAATTCCAAGTGTCACGTGAAGTGAGGAATGCTAATATTTTGGACTGAATAGCCTCGTTAAATGAGGCCATATAAATTAGCGATTTTTATCGAAATAAAAAACTGCTAATGTCATATTTGGCAGATTCCTAAGCCAACTAAAAAAATCGGTGAAACACAAAAGGACGTTCCAATTTTTCCATTCTTTAAATTATCCAGGGTTTATTTAATCGACGAAAAATTAACAAGTTGAAATTTTTTGTCCAATTAAAAATAACGAAAGGTGCATTTAGTGAACGTCACATTTGTGACCTGTAAATAATTCAGTACGAAATTAGGGTTATGACATTTAAGTCATAAATTAATCAATTAATAATAATTATTTGTAAATAATTTGGAATTAAAAAGTTCCTGTTTTGCGATGCGGCGTTTTAAAATTCCCTCCTAAATTTTAGTTCAGTCCAACTTTCTATAGATGACCGTCTAGTCGGTTTCCTTTCGCGTAGATGAAGTAAGTAACGTAAGCGTGGCTAATCAAGGTACAAAGAGGTAATTTCGCTTTAAAATTAATTATAACCGATCGTTCAGGTGGGTTGTTTTCGATGAATTCGCAATTTAGACACATTCGAGCGCCTAACGTTCAAAAAAAAAGTCGAAAAACTCCGAAGGATTGTCAAAAAATTCGCGTTGGAAAGCAATGTTGTAACACCCATTTTGACTAAAACATTCCAATTTGAATGGTGCATCATTCGATTTTTTTTGTTACAGAAAAATGAGCAGCTCAGAGGAAGTATCGTGGATTTCGTGGTTCTGTGGATTACGAGGAAATGAATTTTTCTGCGAGGTGAGCACCGATTTTCCGTACAATTACGTGCGTAACGTGACTTTGTTTTTATTGTTTTTAGGTTGATGAGGATTACATTCAAGATAAATTCAACCTTACGGGGCTAAATGAACAAGTGCCACATTATAGACAAGCTTTAGATATGATCTTAGATTTGGAACCAGGTCAGTTTATATCACAAATATTCAAATATACTATAAAGGAACATGGTGGAAAGGGGTACTTGCTATTGCTATCAATTGCAGACCCCTATAAGGAATACATTAAATCCAAACAAACTCTTAACAAAAACCTAACGCATTTAAACCTAAACGTAAATATTAAATCGTTAACAAAACATAATGCATGTTTCAAAATTTTCTTTTCCGATTTTTTTTATTAAAATTCTTTGAGGTTATGTTAAAATTTTAATTCGTAGATGATGAATTAGACGACAATCCCAATCAGTCCGATCTAATAGAACAAGCGGCGGAGATGCTGTACGGTTTGATCCACGCTAGATACATATTAACAAATAGGGGCATCGCCCAGATGATAGAAAAATATCAATCGGGCGACTTCGGCTACTGCCCTAGGGTGTACTGTGAATCACAACCTATGTTACCTTTAGGTAAGTGTATATTTCCAATAGGTTTTACGAGTGATGTTTTCAAAGTTCTGGGAATTCTTGTAATTAAGCGTTTAAAAAATACGAGTCAATTAAATGGGCTATTTTTCGTTGGGACACCCTGTATTATGCAGAACTGATAGGGAATGTTATTGGCGTATTACAAGTCTTGATTTGTTTATGAAACTATTCAATGCAATATTGTTCAGTGTGATTCAAGTGTTCGATTGATATAGACACGTTTTCATAGCACTGTTTTTATAACCATCAGCGAAGTTTCAAAGAGCTATAATCGATCTATCGGTAAACAGAGTATTTTTGGACTCAGTAAACTCATCTAATACTCCTTTCAGAAGCAGAAAGAAAATTGCTGCTTGAGATTTTACTGCGACTTCCATGGTTACTAAATCAGTGCCATAAAAATCGAACTATCAATCGAACAGCTGAATCATACTGAACAATATTGCACTGAATCCGTGCATAAACATGTCAAGACTTGTCTGTCAACAATAACATTGCCTATAAATGAATTAGAACACAATTTTCAGAACTTTGGAAACCTCCCTCGTACAGATTGCTTACTCCAAGGTTCTGGGAATTGTACTCTAATTTAGACATGCAGAACTGTAAGCAAAAGGTTATTGGTGACAAACAAGTCTTGACATGTTTGTGTAACTATTGTGCATCTATAATGCAACATTGTTCAGTATGAGGTGTTTGAAAAACACTTCTATAAAAACGCGTCTATATCAATCGAACACCTCAAACATACTGAACAATAGATTGCACTGAATAATTGCAAAAACATGTCAAGACTTCTATGCTAACGTTGACTAAGGAGTATAATTCATCCTTCGTACACCGTGTAGTTATAAACATGTTTGTCTGTAGGTTTATCGGACGTTCCTGGCGAGGCCATGGTGAAATCGTATTGTCCGAAATGCATGGACGTGTACACGCCGAAATCGTCGCGGCACCATCACACGGACGGCGCCTACTTCGGCACCGGATTTCCACACATGTTGTTCATGGTCCATCCGGAATACAGACCGAAACGTCCTTCGAATCAGTTCGTTCCTAGGTGAGTGTACGGGTTACGATTGCGTTGCGTTATCTAATAAAATCGTTTGTTCGCAGGTTATTTGGATTCAAAATACACCCGTTGGCATATCAGCTGCAGCAACAGGCTGCGTCGACGTTCAAGACACCGTTGAGGGCGCTGACTTTCAATAACGGCAAGCGTTAGATTTGACGATAATGAACAAACGGAATGGAAACAAATCGAACATTTATGAAATTATAACCAAGTGAATTTATGAAATATAGTTTAAATGTGTTTTTTGAAGGAATTACATCATTTCTGTTTAGTGGTTCATTGTTTCTAGTTTAATGTATCGATTCTTTTTTTTATTATTAATGAGTGTATGCGTAAAAAAACTGAAATTAGAACTGTTGATCATATTACACACACTATTCCTTCGAACTTATGCCGCAGTAAACTAATTTTTTTAGTGTTCATAGTAAAAAATTCTTGAAATACTTATGTTAACAAAAGTTAGTTGAGTTACATTAACTTACAAGTTGTTTATACAGGACGTTTTATTATGTTAATAGTGGATCTACTTAACATTACCAAAGAATCTGTTCTTAAAAAATTAACTTTTAAAGTATTTTTTTCCGCAAACATCCTGTATAATTATCTTACCATGTGATATAATTTTTTATTTAGCTTATAATTTTTGTTGACATAATTATCTAAACTTGGGATACATAAAATTGTTTCATTGCATTTATTACAAAAATAATAAACTATTAGATTTTCAACGTTCAGTTTTTATTTAAAAAAAATTAAGACCGATCTAAAATATTTTTTTAATAGGTAGAACTAGAATAATTATTTATGTTTGTTACGAGCTATGTCATTATTTTATACAAGGCGTTATGTTACTTCTTACTGTTGTATAAAAACGTAGTAGTAGACCATAAAATGACTAATAGAAATTTTCAATTATTTAAATACCTTAACATTAAAATGCAACTAATACAATACCTCCTACTCCATTAAGTAACAATTAGGGAAGGATTCAAAAATGTCTGCAATATTAATGCTTTCTCTAATAACAAATAACAGGTACTAAATTTCTATTAAATTTTTTGGTCGGCTATTAATAAATGCATGTATTATAGTAATATTCAATGAGCTCTGAGTATCGATTGCTATTATTCACCTATACGTTTGTGTTGTGAATATACCAAGTGAATAGCAGCAGACATATGCCAGTAGAGCATAATAGTTTATCCACGACATTAAACAATTCGACTAGGTAGGAAAAAATTGTAATTTTTAACATACTTGTAGTGTCAAATCTTGGATTTCTGTAGCAATAATTTCAGTAAATTTATTTACCTACAAGATATTTATTTGTCCTTAAAAAAGCATTAAATTGGGTTGGAATAGGGATAACGTCCTTCCGAGGATTTCGATTAACTGCCATTGTAAATAGCGCTTTTAACTAACAAAAAAAGCCGTTTAAAAAATCGAACCGAAACCCACACTTTTTCCTCAAACAAACCAATCACCGTGTACCGAGCATCATCGCAAGCAGTGGATAAAATTAACTCGTTGAATATTTAAACTATAATCGTTTAGTAGATAAATAATCGGTTGAACAAAAAGCGAAACGTATAGCTCTGTACAGGCCCGTTTAATTTAAGTAAATTATACGATACAATTATTCGACTTGTAGTTTTATTTCGTTCGAAAGCCGCGGCGTCGACGTGTGACCGCCGCCGCGACGCGCGCCTCCGCCGCGATACGGGCGATCTCACGGCGAGCTCACAGTCGCAGTGCCGCCGATAAGAAGAGGAAGCCCCACGGCGAGTTTTCGCGAGGAAATTTACCGCGCGCCGCATTTTCCACAAGTGTCGCCGGGAAAGTTTGGAAACTGGAATCGCGCGATTATCATCAAATATAATAGTATCGAACTTCGTGAGGTAAGCTGGATTTTTTTAATTATCGCGTTGGTTTTTTTTGGAAAATTTTACAATTTGTTATTTACCTACTAGTATTATTGTTTGTGAATCACAAAGGATGTTACCACATGAAGGAAATAGAGCAGATAATACCTTAACGATAGATACATTATCATGTGAAAATTAATATAGACTGTAAAAAAAGATGAGCTACAAATTATAGATAGGTACTACATATTCTGGTGTCAAAGTAAAGTCGATTGGATCCTATATAGGGTGTTTTTTAATAACATGCTAATACTGAAGGGGAGATTATTAAATAACACCCTGTATAGCTAAAATGCTATACAGAAGAATTTATCCTATAAAAGCTAAATAAAAATGAGTATTTTTCTACAAGATTCATTTTTTATAAAAAATAGCTTGTAGCCTATTTAATGTGCTAAATAAAAATGGATATTTTTCTACAAGAATCAATTAAAAAAATAGATTAAAGCCTATTTAAAGTGCTAAATAAATATGGATATTCTTCTACAAAAACAATTTTTTGAAAAACAAAATTGATTATAGTCTATTTAAAGTGCTACATAAAATTTACACTAGAATGAAAATTTGTTCATTGCACTGCTTTTCATCTCCAAAATTATTCAATTTCCTTCAAAATTTGCAATTCGAACAATCCCCTTTTCTACCTGAAATATTCTTGCGCCCAATTTACCTATAGGCATAATTTTTTAATAGTTGTTGAAAAAATAATCGTTTTTCAACAAATTAGTCTCAATTTTGATCCCAGAATAATAATAATAATCGACGACCCACTCTTTTGTTACACCCCGTATAATAATCATACCTGCGCACCATTACACTCTAATTAAACGTTAACTGTACATTAAACATTAAACCAACAAAGCCCTAGCGGGTTCTTGTCCTGTTTATTATTCCTTTGCACGTTATACGTTATAACAAATATTATTTTAGTGGCGACGTCGCATCTAAATAGCTTTAATACAAAAGTTTAATGTAGTTTTTAGTGACGTTCGCTGGAAAATAATTTTATTAGCGATCATTCGGAACGTTAAGGAAACAAAACTTTATCGCCGCTGTCCGTCCAGTTGATGCCCCATTAGATCCAATTAATTTCGCGATTACCGTCTTGCCCGGTCGAAAGTGATAAACGCAAAACTCGAAATAGAAAAAAAAATAATATAAAAGCGCGCTCTAACGCGCGGCGATTGTTGGAAAAGCTCGGCGCTTTTCACTCTTGTACATTTGGTATTCCTAAGCTGATTCGCCGCCCGGGGAGGGGGGGCACAGAAAAAACATCGGAAAATGAAGGGCTTATTATTCGCAAAAGCTTTTACGCCAGCAAAAAGGGAGTTGTGAATGATACGCTTTTAACTGAATAAAAAGGATCCGTTCGAGCGTTACAGCCAGAGGTGACACTCTAATAATTTAATTAATATTCTTTTGGGATTTTTTTAATTGAGGCATTATGCACGGTGTGCGGTTTTTACTATAAAAAATGTGTATTCGATTATCAATTCACAAAGGCTTTATCTCACGAACTAAAGATGATACTTAAAAATTTGAAACAGGGAGGGATTTGTACCTCAACAAAATAAAGTATTTAAAAACCTCTAATATCATTGGAAATTTAACAAAAAAAGCTTTTGAGTAAAGCTCTATGCAGTAGGTTCTAACAATACAATATTTGGGGTATTTGGGGGTGATTTTATACACTTTCATTAACCCCCAACAAACAGGCGTTGCAAATAATTAAATCGCCCCCTGTAGTATCTTATTTTGTATCTTTTCTAAGACTTTCCGCTGCCTTGAAATTAAAATTTATTCGATTAGAATCTAATAATTCGCATTGTTAAGTTATTCATTGGAACGTATTAACTTCATAGCGGTGCTCGACTTGTAAAATTGATCTTAATTTGCGTTTCGTCGAAGCGTCGGGATTTTCAATTGAGCCCAAACGAAATGACGATAACGTACGAATAAATCGAATTAAACTCGACGTTAATGAAATACAAATCAATGTACTGGGTGTTGCGAAACGTTCGTCGAAAAAATCTAGGTTTTCGATATAATCCAGGAAAAATATCCTATTTAAATGAGTATCCTGTAAGAAATTTATTGAGATGTGAGGCGTTGGAAAAAGTTATGTAGAATTTGTACCTTTAAGAAATTGCAATTATATTTTAAATCGTTTTATGGCTGAATCATTTTTCTCATATAATTTAAAACAAGCTGGGTATTACATATCTAGGTCGTTGGAAAATTTAGAAATTTGCGTAAAATAGGTCGAATTTTTCTTATTCGAATTTTCCTATAAAACGAACGTTTATTATGCCGATGGAAGGCTATATAAAAATCGGATTTCGAGAGACGACGACGGACGAATTAGCATAATAATGTTTAAAAAGCGCCGTAGAGATTGCCGAAAGTCGTTTAAATTCTGCACGCACTAGCGGTAAATTTATTAAATTTGTTCGACACGTCGATTTTCCACACAATCCCAAAAACTTTCGGATTGTTTCTAGCCAAGTATAGTTCATTCGCGGGGAAAGTATTATTCTGCCAAACTGCTGTATAAAGTGTTTTATTAATTCAACTGGGTTACATCAGGAATATACCATTTTGCGTTCTTTTATCAGATAGATATTTACCAATGGTTGTGTTTGTTGGCCAAATAATGTTTATCAAATTATTTAAACAGATAATTAAATTAATTACAAACACTAATGCACACGCTTGTGCGTTATTACTTTGAATTATAAATTAAAATAATTTGGGAAATTCCCTATTAGTTCCATAACCACTTTTAATACATCAGAAAATTCACTAATAAAATCATCGTAGCGTGCCGAGAAATGCCTCGCATGCCTTCTAGATAAATTAACTAATACACTTTCCTTAACTATCTAAAGCTTAAAATTAATTCTAATACACAGGATGATCCACTGGATGTGAATTAACTAGCACCACACAGCGCGTTTAATTCCCAATTAAATTTTGCATTTTAATTAATTATTAATCAACGCTAAACGAATTAATTATCGCCGTTGACAGATAGATAAGCGAAGGGCGCAGTGCGAAGGGCATCCCCCGAGGTGTTCCCCATAGTTTCTGTATACAATATGGTGGTGGAGCGAAAAAAACGAGGCGCGTAAACACGCCGTAACCGGAGGTCGATGGACGAGGGCAAAGAAGAAGAGAAAAGCGACGGCGAGGGGACGGCACCGCCGCCGCCGCCGCCGCCGCCGCCTGTCCCGTATGCAGCGGACGCTGCACTCCAAAGTGCAGACCAGCAGGAGCCGAAAGTCGACGGAGATGACGCGAAGAAAAACAAGTAAGTCGATGCCTAGAGTTTTTGTTTCGTCGGGGTTTTATTGCAACGGGAAACGGGTAAAGGGGAAATGGAACGCAACGGTTCGTTTCGGATTGTTGTAGTGCAATTGTAAATGGATACATTACATAAGTAATGGCCAGAGTTCGCTTGATACAGGACGAATAAAATTGTTAGTTATTTATGTTGAAAGTATGGAATGGTATAGGATTTTAGAGGAAAACCTCCCTTATAAACTTTCACAAATTGAGGTGTATTTGATATTCGAGGAAATGACGCAATATAAAAAAACTCGCTGTATAAATGCATAAATAATTACCATCCTACGTATCGGAAACTCATTTGCTCTAAAATCCTCCATAATGCAGTCGCTTCATTTTTAAATAAATCCTTTTCGCGATATTCCGATTTTGCGTCATATCCGCGCCGTTCTAACTTTAATGAATATTTTAAACTCTCAGCTACCCGGAAAATATAAAAATAATCCAACAAGTCGACCGCTTTATAATGCGCTTTTAATGGCACTGGAATTTTCGCATTTTCGTTGTTTCATGCGAATTTTCTCCAACAACCCGGTTATTAACTCTATTAGCGCTTCTACTAATATTGACAAAGAGGAAATTAGAGGGATGAGTTATAGGGGATGGAAGAGGGTCGAAAAGGGTTTGTGTTCGCTACTCAAACAATGTCGCTTCTACAACAATCCTATATTACTATTAGTGGTATAAATAACGTTTGACCACGAGTGGACAATGAAAAAAATATTTTTTTAAAAAATGGTTGAATGTATTTTCTATATCTTTCTTAATAATGTACCTAGAAGTTTGAAATTTGGTATCGATAATGTCCAAACACAGTACTAAATGAAACTATACTGGGTTTTCATGATCCATTTACAGGGCGTTTAAAATTATCTGACTAACTTGGTCAAATTGAAATGGCCATAACTTAGTTATTTCAAATGGACCATCCTGTATTTTTAAGCATTGAGCAAAGTATATTTTTAAGCCCTTTCGATTCGTATGTATTTCGCATATTATTATTCTATTCAGTATTCACATTAGTATTTCAACTAATTTGTATGGCTCTAAAAACATTTTTAAAAACTCAAATTAGTGACATGTTTGTGTAATTCCTCTTTTGATGGCTTCATGAGTAAACACTAGCAATTTTGAATTAAATTACGAGCCTCCACTACGTATAAAACTAGTGTATAAATTTACCCGACATCAAGGAAACGTCGATTTTCGGTCGAATAGTTGTAAAGCGAAATTTCCCGCAAACGTTAATTAAATCGTCGACAAGGACATACCGCTTATATTTTAAAATTAACGAAGTTTTAGGGAGTTAAAGGACGCGTAACCGGCGCGGAGCCGCCTGGCTGTAGATTGTAGGTTATACCTACGGGTACGTATAATAAAGTTGGAAATTTCGAAGTTGTTCCTCGCTTCTAATTCCATTAAAATATTCCACGCTGAAATTTCGAACCAAAACTACACCGAATCTAAATACATTTCTGTAATAGGTAAAAGGTAGAATTTACTACATAATTGGCATTTATATTTGTAGCAATTTAGATGAGGGATTCCCCAACTACGCAAAACTAGTAAAATAGAAAGTAAAATGAAGCGGCTTTCGTAATACTATATTCCGATTTCGCAGTTAACGTCACGGGTTATTTATACATTTTTTCCATCCGCATCCTTCTCTCGCGTATTTACCTGACCTTCTCCAGAGAATCTATTTTAACCTGTGCTTGATGGTCTTGTTTAGATGTCCCCGATACCTAATTCGATTTCCAACCGTCACCGCCTGCTCGCCCCCCTTTCGCCGCCTCCCCAACCCCCATTCCTTATAGCCCACACAGAACCGGCCCCACATCAAAATCACATCCCTCTTCAATCACATCCATTATTCACGAATTTCACAAATTTGCAATAATGTCAGGTATACTAATTATTCCCAATTCGATAATTGCTCACTAATTATGATCAAGTATTAAGTCAATCACTAATTAAGATTAAGATTACTCATCAAAGGTATTGTAACCGAATAGAGAAGAGTAATAATTGGAAGGAGATTGGAGAGGATAAGAAAGGAAGCTCCAATTTTCTCTCTTGCGTCTCTTATTAGAGTCTTAGCTTCTTAAAATTTTTCTTCAATTACTTTTCTTTGCTATACAAGTACCTAAACAACTTCCACTTATTCCTTTGTAGGGTATTTGAATATCCTGTACAAAATAGAGAAAGTATGAAGATTTGGGGATTGAAGAGGAAATGGAGCTTCTTCTGCTGTTATTGGTTTGATATCCTCTTGTTTGAAAGCTTAATTAAGATTTCATATGTGAAAGTAGATTGAACAGGAAATGGAGTTTCCTTCTTCTACAGATATTGGTTTCATAATCTCTCGCAAGCAACCTTATTTTTCAGTTTCCTATTTGACCATGCTATTCTTAAATACCTCTTATTGGTAATAAATTCCTCCTCTGATATTCAAGCAAACAACTTCTACATACATTTTAATTGTATTGTTATTAATCGAAGATCCCAGCAAATCGAAAAAGTTTTCGCATTTGGAAAAAGATTAAAGAGAAAAAGCAGTTTCTTCTGCAGATCTTAGTTCGGTATCCTCTTGTACCTTATATTCCAGTTTTCTATATGAACACGTCTATTCCTGTTAACTCCATATAGATATATCAATCCTATTTTGATTTCCAAAGTACCTAAGCGACTTCCATGTTTCAATCTTGTCAAATTTCGGGCACCGTGCCTGGCAGTCCCTCCAATTTTCCTGCGTTTGAATCATCGAATTTGCCGGCAACGTTAACATGGTGCGGGCAACCAATTATTCCACATGGAAGGTATGAATCGACCACACGTATACACACGCGTACCCCGATGGCTAGCGGAGCCTGTGTGGATGTACAGAGCGAGCTGCTTGGAGGTTCGCGTAGATATACAGACGTTCACGCCTTATTAGACCTTACAAGAGATCAATGTTTTCCTTCCGGTCGGTTCGGTCCGGTTCGGTTGGGGATTCGTCGGGGGATTTTTTGTTGATAATGTCAGAAGTGATAGAGGTGCCCGCGGAAAAAAGGGCTGGATCGCGTGATAGGCAAGAGGCCGGTGAATTAATAAGAGGGGATTCCTCGAAATGATGTCGGACAGTTTACTTGACTTTTCCATCAGTGTTTATTGGAAATGGAGAAAAATACGAACAAAAAAACATTCGTCTCGTGGAGTTTAATTTACATTCCTTTTGTGTTTGTATTTTTTTTTACATCGTGACGTAACAAACATGTTTGTGCGTTTTTGGGGGTTCCTTTTCAGGCTCCAAATGTGTTTATTTTGACTGTCTTTTTTGTTACCAAAATAAGTGAATTTTAGGGTAACTCGACTATTAAAAAAATATTCATCAATTCGATGGAAAACACCGGTTTGAAAAAATTAGACGTAAATTTCTATTGATTTGGAAAAAAACGGCAACTCGACACGGAATCACTGAAGGTCGAATTCCGAAAATTTACAGCGGTAATTGCAGGATGAATGTCCTTTGTCGTCTTTTTCAATTACCTCTCTTTTAGAGCGAGGACTTCTCCCCAAGTATCGTTCGTTATTGGAAAAATTAATTCCACATCTACGGGGGTCGTGCGACGATTAAAATATTCATCTCAAAGAAAATTATACGTAGCTTTTAATTGTTCGATGATAATGGTGTATGCAAGATAAGCCGAATCGATACGATTTTATCTACCTACCTGCCTACGCGCTCTAACATCGAACGTTGTTTTATGGAAATTTTACTAAATTCAACATGTGTATTAATGATGTAGATAAAGCTTTATCAATCAAAATGACCATATGTTTCCAATTACGCTCGGTAAACACGGGTAAAATACCTTGTTATGGTTTTATAAAAATGTTTATTCAACGAAGCGATGGAACATTCCTCCTTTTCTACCCTCCCAAACGTCATCTAACTGACGCACGTTCTAACAGGGTTGCGTTTGAAGATATTCAAATACGCTAGGTTTAAAATGAAATATTTCCAGGCCGATAAACAACCACACGAAGCAGCTATGGACCAACGCCGTCGAAAAGGTGTCGAACGAACGGAAGAGAAGGCCGCACTTCTCCAGCATCGCCTTCTCCGTCATCGACTCCCACCGGCAAATAAAGAAGGACGTTTCGTTCACGCCGCCGGCGTCGCCCCGGCACGCCGCCTGCCTGTTGAAACACGTAAGTTCCCCATATGAAAGTCGCCAAATTGCCTTTCCGAATGTTTGGTAAGTACATAAAATACGTGACCGAATTACCGGCAAAACTTACACCGGATTTTATGTTGGCACAGAAATCATATACCGAATAAATTCGGTATATACATATGCTTAGTAAATGTTCTCCGATGTTGGTCCAATTTCATCAATCATCATCGGAAATTTGGTGTTATGTTACGAACAAGCACCGGTAATTCAAGCAGTTCGTATAATAGGAATGTTTAGTTTTTCATTAGTAACTTATGTGAATAGTCACCTCAGGAAATTTCCAGGACAGCACGGATAATAGCTTGAACAATTACTACAATTCCATTCCAATCAGCGATACACCGTCTTTGCTCAATGGGAAGGCTGATGATCATTTCAATACAATGGATAAACCAAGTGGGTGGACTGAAGATGAAACTTATTCGTATAAAGGTACGTTCTAGTGTTCCCAATTATCCAACGCGATTTCCAGTTTGCTGCGTTACCTAACTAGCGTATCTTTTTTTATTGGACAGAACGAAAATTACAGTTTATTGCGAACACGGCCGGAAAACCTTATTCTTTTCTTATTTTTGATATAGAAGTTTAGCGGAATAATGTAATTATAACGGACAAAAAGGTTTACGTCAGCTCTCCCTAAACGTTTTTTATTAGGAAAACTTCCCTTTTCGGCCGGGAGATACGAGTAATAATAAAAATTTTATTTGATAACTTTCCTAACAGAAATTGTTTTTTTATTCTTCGACGTTTCATCGCCCCTTATATCTTCCAAACAATTACTGTTGCTACTTCATCTAATTAATAATAATCTCGCAATTTTATCGGCCCTAATTTCTGCTTAATTGCAGCCGATTTCGCGACGGTATTCAAACGCGGGTTGATGTACAAAGGGATTTATTGGCCCAGCCTCACGAACAGTTTCCACTGCAAGCACTTGGAGATGGCGTATTTGAGATACTCTCATCGACAAAGGCAAAAGGCCCTGATTATCGTCAACATCGTCGATTTGCTACTGAAAGTACGTATTTGCCAAAGTTCTCATTAAAGGTCTCTAACAGGTGGGTAAACGACCCTTAGACATTTTACACTCAAGGGTCTTGAACTACAGGAGCTGGCAATTAACATTGGAATTTCATCAGTAGAAAAAAATCTAACAAAATTTCTTTTACAAAAAATCAATAATTCAAGGAGTAATTGAGCCATAAAGTCATTGATTCATTAGGTTGTATTTATAAAAAGAAGCTAGCATAACCTTTTGCTTTTAAACAATGAAGGAATTGCTTCAAGGTATATGCAAAAAAAGAAGTGAAGGAAAAGAGGTTTCGCTTCGAGGATTCTGCTGTTGTTTTAAAGCAAAAGAATTTAAGGTTTTAAAACATTAAACATTAAGTCATTGAGCCATTTAAGTCATTGTGACATTAAGTCGTCGAGCCGTTAAGTCAATAATTCATTGATCCATTAAGTCATTGGGATATTAAGTCATTGAGCCGTGCAGTCATTGAATGACTGAATCAAGTCATAAGATTATTGCGTCATTAAATCACTGAGTCATGGTAAAACATTGAGCAAAGCAAGTTAATTACTCTTCTAGTTTAAAAAAATACTTTTTTCCTTTGAAGATTTGCCTGATACTAGTGTGGACATTCTACAACACTAGCGTAAAAATCGATTGGTCATCGAATGGCGACACCATAATATGGTCCGTATGCTGCATGTCGATAAACATAGCGGTATGCGTGCTGGGCTGGTGGCGCTGCTTCGCCAACAATTACCTCCATTACGCTGCGGTATGCACGTGGTTGCTTCTCACGCTACAAAGTAAGTTTTACCAATAAATACCACCCGTTGGAATGATTCTCCTAATCGGTCTAATCACGGTGCAGGTTTCATAGCGAGAGGAGTGGGTTTCGGCGTGAAAGAGGACCTGGTCTGGTACGTGCTCTTCAGCATATTCGTGCCTTACGCGATGCTGCCGTTGCCGCTGCGCTGGTGCATGCTGGCGGGAGCGGTCGCTTCGACGGGGCACATTATCGTGATATCGGTGGGGTTCTACGGCGCGGACGAGGACGTAAGTGGCGTTTAATTTCGATCGAGAGATGGTGGCTTGTAGATTTCGAATTTCTAGTGTGAGAAGGACAGCGACGAATGCAAAACACGACGACTGGTAGCCAATATCCTCTTGTATCTTTGCGTTAATTTCGCCGGCATGTACACGAAATACCTCACGGATAGAAGTCAAAGGAAAGCCTTCTTGGAAACCCACCGGTCTATGGAAACTAGATACAGGACGCAGAGCGAAAACGACAAGCAGGAGAAGTTGTTATTGTCTGGTAAGAATGGAATTTTCTTAGTGTCATTGTTTTCATTAAGGTCGCTTGAATCTACTTACATCCAAGAAGTAACAGTTTCAGTAACATTTTTTGAGAATTTGGTATTTTCCAGTACTGCCAGATTTCGTGGCGAAAGACATGATAAGAGACATCGAAAGAGAGGAGAAAGGTGGCGCTTTTCATCCTAATCAATTCCACAAGATTTACATACACAGATACGAGAACGTTAGTATTCTCTTCGCCGATATAAAAGGATTCACAAGTAATCGATTAGATATTTGGAAATTTATGAATGATGATAATAATTGTTATTTCAGTGCTGTCGACGAAGTGTACCGCTCAAGAGTTGGTTAAAATTCTAAACGAATTATTCGCTAAATTCGACAAACTTGCCACTGTAAGTTGATTTCCTAAGCTCATAAAGGTGATAGTCCACTTTAAGACTATGCAAATCCGTGTTGAATACCTATCTGTATCATTTTGTATAGACTTTTTTTGACACGAACGTCTTTCAGGAAAACCATTGCTTGAGAATCAAGTTATTGGGTGATTGTTACTACTGCGTGTCAGGACTACCGACGCCTCGATCAGATCATGCGCATTGCTGCGTTGAAATGGGCCTGCACATGATCAAAGCCATCAAAGACACCAGACTTAAAACTCAGGTACACAATTCCGCTTAAATTAAATCCAAAAAGATAGTACAATTGTACAATTATTGACTTATTATTAACGAATTAACAAAGAGAGTTAGGTAATTAGGTATCTATTTATTTTAGAGCAAACAGTACATTATATTTTCTAATATATTCAATTGTATTTAGTATATAATTGTATTATAAGAAACTGTCTGTAATGCGTTAATCGTACAAACTTCCTCTACACATTTTCATTGTCATTATCATCGTCATCTCTTTTCGTTTTCCACAATTCTATTACGCGCTCTTTTGATTCTAATTATTATAATTAATTTTCTGATTACGACTCAATTCTCGTAGTTTTGGCACAATTCCTTCAAATCCTGCAAGGACTGCACGATTCTATTTCGGTAAAACTCGTCTTCGTCCTTATGCTTTAAAACCAGATGGATCCTATTATCGAAAATAGCCTTCGCGTTCAATTCCTCGTCGGCGAAGTACTCCTCGATTTTCTCGTTATCAATGAGCACCAGGGGAAAGTAAAACGCCGCCAAGACGATGGCGAATTTCTTCGCCACCTCGCAACTTTCCATGAAATCATCGAACGATAGTATATCGTCGATGTTGCAGCCGAAGCGCTTCAGATTCCTCTCCAAGTAACTGTAATAAATGCCAGTTAGTTCGTACAAGTGCTGTCGCCTGAATTCCCTACTGGTGGTTAAATAGATAAACGAGAGTACATCGTAAGCTGGCGGAGCGTAACGCGCGCATTGGAAGTCCACTAATTTACAACCGACGGCTTTTCCGGATTTTTCGTCGCGCTTTAGCATAACGTTGTTCGCCCACAAATCGCCGTGCGTTAGAACGTTTCTGTACTTCCCGCTGGGTTTCACCAAATCGTCGATTTCGCCGCACAAACACCCGGCCACGTCGGAGAATCGCTTGCCGTTCTTCAACGGACCGTCCAAGTCGAACAGGCCGATGCTCTCGGAGATGCCTTTGATCGAGGCTTCTGTGTTCTTCCGGTTGGTCGCGTTGTAGAACGACTCCACCAATTCACCCGGATACGACTCGATTAACTTTTTGCCGGATTTGATCTCGTACACGATACTGCTGGCGTGCAATTGCGCTAGGGCTTGTAGCACCACCAAAACCGTATCGTAATCCAAATCGGCGCGTTTGTCGGCGGGTTCGAAGGAACAATCCGCCAGATTTTCTAAAATTACATAAGAATCGCACTTGCAAACGTAACATTTCGTCGCTACGTTGTCGATGATGTTGATGTCGTCTTTCGCGAACTGCTTGAACAACTTGTAAACGAATGATTCCTTTTCGAAGGAGCCCAGTTCTCTCGCCAGGCGGGCTAAGATCTCGGCGGTAGGGAAGTACTTGACGAAGAACGAGGAGTTCTCCTTGGCGCCGTGCTCGTTCAAATAGGACACCTGCAAATAGCAGTAATCTCCCAAGAAACCCAATCGTTTATCGATGATTTCTGTCTTGTAGGTGAGCAAACAGTAGTGGTTCGTGCCGAGTTTCTTTTCGATCGATTTCAGAACGTGAGTTTCGGGTATGTCTTCCACTATGCTCTCTTGCTTGTAGAAATTCACGTAGTGTTTCTTGCATTTGTTGGTGGTTCCATCGTCTTCCATTTTGTCCTTTAATGCAAAAGGTTAAATTAAAAACTTATATAATATATTCCAATGTTTTTCTCTATACAGGTAATTGATTAGTGTTTCCTAATAAAACCTGCAAGATATTGAGGAAGTAGGTATGCACTTGGTGATAAAATAGTAGGTAGTGTTCTTATCTATATTTCTTATCTTCTTATCTATTGAAGTTGATAAGAATAACGATTTTAAAAAGCTAGAATAAATTAATCTAGTGGCCTAAAAACATTATAAAGACGCTTACCTTATGTAGAGGAAGAAGTAAATTAAAAATTAACTGGCACTTTTATTGATAATTGTATAGCTAACAATTGGTTAATGTATTAAACGAAATAATTTCATATAATGTATCAACAATACGTATTAACACTGCGATATAAGCAATTTTGTCGTATAAAATCTGACTTACTTATGAATTTAATTACAATTTAATTACAATAAAAAGCGGTTTTTTCCAACCGTATTTCGAAATACGTCGGACAAACAATAACAAAATTAAATTTCATAACGAAACTTACCTTCGAAATTCCGCACCATTCGCGTTCACATTAATTAATTCCTCCGTTATTCATTTTTCGTCGAATTACATCAACTTTTATTGATCGAGCGCGACGAGAAAATTCGTCGCATAGGAAAGTGGCGCGGCGTCGAAACGTTATCAAAAACTAATATTTAACAATTAAACACGCGTTCGACGATGATCGGGCGAATAAAACCGCGCGAAGGTTTCCGTGAAATAGGCCGAAACGCGTCGGAAAATGCTGGAGAGAAAAAATCTACTAATTTACGTATACGGAATGAGATAAACTCGTTTAAAAAACAACTCGAAACAATACAAGGTCGTTTTCATTTCGTCGATTGTACCATTCGTAACCCAGGTCAATGCAATATTAATATTAATATACGAATGTTATTATAATATTATCCTGTTTTGTTGTTATGTTATTGGAATAGTATCTCTATCTGGTTTATGATTATAAACATTTATAATACAAATAAAATATTCTTTTATTATGTTTAAAAAAAATGCTATTACTTACATATTCCTAATAGGTGGAAGATTTAGATATGCGAATAGGCATACATTCTGGATCAGTTTTATGCGGAGTGCTCGGGCTCAGAAAATGGCAATTTGACATATGGTCTACGGACGTACAATTGGCCAATCACATGGAATCTGGTGGAAAACCTGGGTAAATAAAACTAAACTTTCCTCTATCCTTACATTGAAATTGGATGTTAAATTCAGGCAGGTGCACATCTCGGAGGCTACGTACCAATGCTTAGACGGTGCCTACGAGGTGGAGCCCGGCAACGGGCAAGACAGGGACGCCTATCTGCGAGAGCGCAACATGACGACCTATCTGATCAAGCAAATGGAGCCTATGCGCAGCAGGAAACGGTTGGCTTCGAGACCAAGGTGGATATTCCCACGCCTCGCCAACCAATTTTACTACATAAAACGTTTTTCAGCCTATTTTCGAACAAACTATGGTCGGAAGATGAGGTGAAAACTCCCAGAAGTTCCCCGACTACTCCCGCTACTCCAACTTCGCCTCCTCTACCGCCTTCCAGCGAGAGGAGCGACAGCGGCATCCAGCACAGCGGCGCCGATGAGGAGAACACCACCGATTGGACTCCGGAGATTCCCTTCGAAAATGTAAGCACCTACTCAATGCACTTTACAACATTACGCGAGGTTGTTCTTCTATGCCACAGCTTCATCGGACGCTGTCCAACGAATTAGACGAGGAAATCGACACGATTTCGTACAAGCAAAAGCACGAGGCTAACGATGGGAAGTACAGGAAAAGAGGATCGACGTTTCAAACGCCCTGCGAGCAAGTCGACGATATCATCGATCACAGCATCGAAATCGAGAGCAACAAACGCATGAGGAACGCCAACGTCAACGCGTGGACTTTAAGATTTATCGATACAGAAATGGAGCACCAGGTATATACGTCGATTTATTGGTAACGAGTGGTAATATTTTTATCATTTTTCTAATGTGTTTAGTTTAGTCAACTGCGCGAAGATATGTTCAAATCGAACATGATGTGCTGTTTTATCATCTGGTTGTTCATCGTGACCTGCCAGGGAATCATCACGCATATGTAAGTAAAGTTTTCGATTTCAGGACACACTGTAATGTACTTTTCGTTTGTCCAATTTTCAAGGCAAATGCATCGAGCAATATCGAAATACACGTTTCTCGGAATATTCATTAACGCAGCAATTCGAGTGTGAAATTTTTTTCGGCTATTTCAACCCATAGTTGAAGAGTGTATTTTTTCCGAACAAACAATGACACTTTGGCTATTGTCCCTTCTGTTTAATAACGCTCAACAAGATCTTGTGTCGGCTGTAAATAACGTTTTACCGATACAAAAAGACAAAATCGATAAAAAATCATAAATCAAAATATGTACACCTACAAGTTTGAACGTTTCGTATTTTCTCATCAAACAACATCGGCGAGGAAACATGGTTATTAGATACTTAAGTACATATAATACAGGGTGTTCTAATATTTACAATACACAATAGAAAACTCGCATCCTCTATTTTAATTTTCTAAATACACTAACCAAATTGCAGGATCGATTTAACGATCATCAGCATCGTGCTAACGACGTTGATACTGGTGGCTACGTCGGTATTGGTGATGGCCGAAGAGTTCCTGCAGCTTCCTGAATCCTTACGCAAGATGTCTTCCACTCTGGTGCACAAACGCAAGCGCAGGACGGCCTTCATATGCGGCGTTATCATACTAATGTCGATGACCAGCTCTTTGAATCTCATCAACTTTAATCCCGACCATCACGGGAACAAGACATTGATGATGACGGGCAGGAGAGCGTTCGAAACCGACAAAACCAATCCAACCATAATTCTGAATTTCCTAGTTAAAGCTAACGTTAATAACAACGTGACTGTTAATTTCGAGAACAAGCCTTGCAACGGTTCCTGCTGGAGCAGGAACATCGAAAACGAAACGATAAAGGAATCGTTGTTGAAGGAGTTGGAGAAAAATTTCAACAGTAGACGGAAAAGGGAACTGGATAGGAGCTACAAAAGCAATAGTATTTCTGATAGCAGCGATAATACCATTAATAACAACGCATTAGTAGAACAAGCTTGCCGCCATCCAGAATACGTCGTATTCACCTGGGTGCTGTGCTTAATAGCGCTAGCCACCGCTCTGAAATTGTACTATTTAATCAAAATCTTGCTCCTCATTATAATGCTGATCGTTTACACGGTGCTCATATTGCTACCCACCAGCTTGTTCGGGCAACTCCACCAACCAACATCCACCGAGTAAGTTCGAGTTCCCTCATTCAAACCCACCGTTACACCTAATTTTCGGCGCAGATTACACATCCCCCTGTCCGCCCAAATGATGATTTTGCTGTACGTGTTCGCCGTGATGGTCGCCTACCACGCCCGCCTCGTGGAAGTCACCTCACGCCTCGACTTCCTGTGGAAGCAGCAGGCGGAGAGCGAGCTCAACGACATGCGGGAGACCAGGCGCAACAACGCCCAGCTGCTGAAGAACATCCTGCCCGATCACGTCGCCCAGCATTTCCTCTCCGCTGATAGAAACAGCGAGGTAAGTGATTATTGTGTAATTAAAGTTGGAAATTGGTAGAAGACATGTGAAATAATTGATGAAGTAGATAAGGTTTTAGAAGATGGTGTTTATGATTCGTTTATTTTTTATTTGCAGGAGTTGTATTCTCAATACAGAGAAGAAGTAGGAGTTTTATTCGCCAGCATTCCGAATTTCACGGATTTTTATTCCGAAGATATTAACAAAGGAGTGGAATGTATTAGACTCTTAAACGAAATTATAGGTAAATCGTGCTCGTTACGCTACCACTTTAGAGATACATTACGATGTTTTACAGCCGATTTTGATGAATTACTGGACGACGAAAGGTTCTGCGCTTTGGAAAAAATCAAAACGGTGAGCGCCACCGCGACCTACATGGCGGCGTCGGGCCTGAACCCGACGCAAAAGTGCTGCAAAAACACCGATATGCCGGAGCATTTGTGCTCTTTAGTCGACTTCGCCATCATGATGCGCCACAAATTGGAGGAAATCAACAAGGAGTCCTTCAACAACTTCGGGCTGCGCGCTGGCATCTGCCTGGGTCCTTTGGTATGCGGTGTCATTGGTGCCAGGAAGCCTGTCTTCGACATTTGGGGCGACACGGTCAACTTGGCGTCCAGAATGGACTCGACGGGAGTCATCGGGACGATTCAAATACCCAAGGAAACTGCACAAGTAAACGCAACCACTACAAATATATACGAGTTATACGAACGTTTTGTTAACAGATACTCGTCACGAGAGGATACGAGGTGAAGAAACGCGGGATTATCGAGGTAAAAGGCAAAGGGCTCATGGAAACTTACTTCGTAATCGGCAAACAGCCCACCAGGCCGCCCAGTTTCCAGAGGCAACCGAGCCATTACAGCAGCCTGGCTGCAGTGGTTTACGCCATGGCACAATCCAGGAAAAAACACACAGGAAACACGCGTATGTATCTCCAAAAACATCCCCCACAAGGCTTACTAAATACCCCTACAATTTACAGCAGGCAGCGCAGTCTTGGGCAGAGCGAGGACCCAGCAAAAAGGCGAGAGAAAAATCATCAATTACAGCTCGATGAGGATCACCCACAAATCCGGCGGGTATCCCGTCAGAAGGAACACCACCAGCAGAGGCAACCAGAAGCACATGTACGCCAGGTGAGCCTACAACTCTTTCACACAAACTATATAAAATTCCCGTTAAATAAATTCGCCAGGTCACAGCCGAACATGCGACAACTGTCCGGTTCGGGGATCTACCTGGAGAACATGAAATCGATGAAGTCGATCGAAAGGGACGCCACGTCGACGACGATCAACAAGATGGCGGTGTCCCAGTCGGCGCCGCACACGCCGGTCACGGCCGCCAATCACGAAGGGCCCGTGTTCAAGTCGGTGCCGAGGTTGCTGTCGGAGCCGATAGTCAATCGATCCAAGTGCGGATCGCCGTCGACGAAGACGGCCAGGCTGGAGAGGCAAATATCCGTGGCGGCGGAGAGGCGGGAGGACGGCGTGGGCGATATAGTGGCCGAGATCAAAGTGAGTATACTGCTCATATTTGAAAAATAACGATTATTTTGTAACAGTCGTTACTGCACCTCTATACAAAAAAAATGATTCCCATCTCTATTAAACTTCTGTTATACGAAATGTCAATAATGTCAAGTTTGACAGTTCTTCGAATCCGTCTTATTCGCGTACAATGCGAAACAATACTATTTTTTCGTAGAGTTGAGTACAGAATTGAGAATAAAACAGATTAATATCAGCAGACCGATATTTGAAAAATAACGCTTATTTTGTAACAATCGTTACTGCCCCCCTATATCAAAAAAAATTATTCCCACATCTTTGAAACTTCTATCATACGAAATGTCATTATTGTCACTTTGTCAGTTTCTGCTTATGTATCATCGAACGCATCTTTAAGTCCCACTTATTCGCGTACAATGCGAACATAATTCAACTTCCCACTGTGCGATAATTTATCGAATTAAATTCGGTTGGTTTGTGAATATTTCAGGGTAGAAGTTCGGCTATAATACCGGCACATTCGCCCAAGCACCTGGCGAAGAGAGAATCGAAGTTTTCGTTGAAATCGCCGTTGTCGAGGAGAGAGACTAAAATTCAAATAGAAAACGCCATAAACAGGGATAAATTAAACAAAGTCCATTCGTTAGACGGTACGCACGTTTAGTTGTGTATCAATTTGAAAATTTAGAGCAAATTTTGTATATGTTTAATTATTCGTAAGTCATACGTGTACGCCTAAGTGTATTAAATATTTCTAATTTATCTAAATTGATGTTGATATTGCTATTTATTCATAGGTATATTTTTCTAGTCGATTATCGAACAAAAATAGTATTTAAGTTTCAAATTGCACTACTACCGTCAAAAATGTAACTAGCCACTTAAAATTCTTTCTATCTTTTCTCTCAAAATAATCATAGGCAAGATGATTCATTAATAACAGCAAATGTGAAATTATTAATGCGACACCTTGTATACTTGTACAGGTATTTTTGTATCAATAATTAGGACTGAATATATTAATACAAATAATTCTTTTATATTTTTCTAGATTAAATGGAATTTGACCATTTTATTTTCGTATTTCCGTTTCATTGATTTTATCGATGTTGAGTGTTAGCATTAAGATAATTGTGTACTTATACCTACTGTATTTTTGTTAAAAATAAACATTTCAAAATCATAAAATGCTGATCATACAGGTGTGCAGTTTTTTTAATGACAAGCGTGTTTTATTAAGACACTTGCAATAAATTTAATTCGAAGGTAAGTTTCATAAATTTATAATTATAGTTAATGAATTCAATTATGCCTGTTTAATTTAGACATTATCTAAATAAATCTGGTAAAAAAGCGTTACGAAATCGAAAACGTCATTTTAAATAAAACTAAAAACAAGTACGAAAAAAATTTTTAAATAAACGTTCCATCGTAAAATAGGAGTCAAAGCATCAGTAGTTACGGTTGTTACGTGTAGATTGTGTACAGTATCAATTAGCGCTCCGTTCCGTTCGAGTCCTAGCTCGGCTATGCGAGAGCGTCGTTTGTCCATTCTTTTTCCACTCAGCCCGTAATTTTGTGTACTTTTCACATTACGCTCCGGAGCGTTTTCAACCCGAAAACGGACTCGAATTCCACCTTTTCGGTCGCCGAAGGAATCTTTCCAAGCACATTTCGTACCTGCGAAACGGCGTTGCGTCAATCCCGATCGCTTCCTCTGTCTCCACTATATTTCGGCCAATAAACCAATAAAACGATCATTAAACCTTCCCGATGCGGCGGCAATAAAACCCGAAGGGTTGTTGTTGGGATCGGTGGTGGACCTCCCATAGAGACGGCCCTTTGATCCTGAACAACCCGCGCCCTTTATTGCTTTCTAAGTACCTTACCCACTCGCGTGTGCAATAAGAAAACCTTATTGTCCCCCTAACCTGCATTGCATAATTCTACCTACTTTTATAAAGGTGAGAATCGCAAAAATCGCAAAAATTTCTCTATAGTGGTATTGAACGTAATTAGAAGTTTCGCTATAAACAACCCGACATAATTAAATTTTATACCCTATATACTAGTAATAAACGACCATTAAAATCGTAAAATCGTCGGAAAATAGCGCGCATACGGTTTTAATTGAAGCGACTAATAAAAAGGTGCCGCTTCTTCTTCATCTTCATCTCCTCCATATCTTCCTATTACAGGTTGGAGCAATAAAGGCATTAAAAACAAGTACTCCGGCTGCCGTTGATGCGCGTTAGGTATGGTTACCTGGGCGGAAAGCTTTATGATGGTCCAATAAACCGTACAAAAACAATAAATTTATAAGTAGCCACTGCGACACCCGAAACTCCGCTAGATTGATAGTGAATATCAAGAACGTTGTGCCTACTATGGATTTACGATTTCTACACCAAATTTACTCAATGAATAGGTAATATACTTGGTATGGTTTAAGAGCAAAATATTCTAAAATATCGTCTCAAAAATTTGTTCAAAAATTACCAGTATTTCATGAAGAGGCTAGAAATAAAATCAAAATAGGTAATCTGTAAAATATTCCTGAATGTTTCCAATAAATGATTCCCGTAGTTTAATGAATAACCGGTCATATAATATATATCTATAAAAAATATATTGTTCTAAAATAATACGAGAAATATCAATAATAGAGCAATTTTTGTAAAAATTTAAAACACCTTAAAATAGACACTACTTGGGGGTTCCCTCAGAGTCCATATTCATGTTTATAGGAAACACCTTGTACAAGTTTCCTTCCATAGTACTGCTATAGAGAAGTAAAAAGGAGAGGGTTAAATATTCAGCATTTTACAAACGGCTTTAAAAACAATCAACTTACCTTTGGAAATTTAATGGAACAAGTACCATGGTGAAACTTTTTCCCGTCGAGAAACCGGAGTCGGTGGTTTCGAAGGAGCGTATTTTTTCCGCGTTTTCCGTAATGGTCGCGTTTCTACGTCAACGATATTCGAAAAGGCGTGTATGGTTAAGTACACACAAACCTCCCATGGTCGGGAATATCGATGGGTACTATCGATGGTCGACGGTTCTTACCTGGCCGGTGCGAGCCAATACCCGCGGCCGGTAGGAGTGGTCACTAATTCGAGTACCGTACGCGAAGAATTTTCGTGGTTTTGGCGTAGTCGATGTCCGATGGTGACGATAGGAAGGATCGCCGAGGAAGGGAAGAAACAATTCGGACAACGAAGTACTGCCTAGTTATCGAATCGGTGTGAAACAATGACAAATACGCGTATAATAAGCGTTTAATTCACACGGGTGCGTTATGCTGTTAATTCGACAAATAAGTGTGATTGACAGCTTCTTCCGATCGCGTGTACTGTTTTCTGCGTGTAGTGAATTTGTGGAACATTTGAATATTGTGTACCCAATTCGGATTTAATTTATATGTGGGATAGAACTACGAAGGTACCTACAACTACCAAATAATGTATTAATTTGTAGTTATTTGTCACCATATTGCTAAATACTATCTAGACTTTCATTCAAATTACATAAATGCATTTTAAAAATTTTATTTATTAATGAAGTTCTTTAACTATTTTTATTATTTTAAATGGCCTTTAAAATCATTTTGGAAAAACTATTTACTTATTCTTATTACTACCTAATAATGGCGGATTAGTGTATTTAAGTATTCACTTATGTTTCCTTCTTGTGACTATTGTGAGGTATAAATTTTATTCCTATCGGACCATAGAAAGACTTTAAATTGATACTTTGCAAAAACTCTTTTATGCAAGAACATCCATTGCACGAATCTGGAAATTAGTAAAAAAAGCGTTCAAAAATATGCAAAAATTAGCCTTTTATATTCAAAATGCGTTTATAAATTTTTTCTACTTGAAATGTACAGAGTGCTCAATTTTCTATTAATTAAAAACTTTATAAGTTAGTTTTTTCCTTTGGTCCTTTATCTGTCTGATTTATGGATCTAAGAATATATGATTGTTACTGCGACCAAACTTTTGCTATTTGAAATGTACAGAGTATTCTATTTTCCAATAATAAAAAAATGTATAATTCTATTAAGTTTTTCCAGGCTTCTTAATCTATGGTCTATAGAACGCATAACGCATAGATCCTCAAATCCTCTACAGGATGGTCCAGAACTCACGCCCCGCGTTATTGGAATACTTTTTCATGTTTTTGGCTGCAATTTTGGCATTCCTTTGGCTATTCCTTTAACTTTAAAATAACTTTTTCATTGTTTTTGGCTGCAGTTTTGGCATCTTCATTGTCGTTTCCATAAGGCATTTCCCGGTGGGGCGTGAGTTCTGGGCCATCCTGTAGATCCTCTAAACCCTTTTGAATCTATGATGGTTCTTGCTGCAATCAAAAATTTTATTTAGGCAGCTTTAATTCAATATATTTTTCATTTACTTGTTTCTCCTCTAGGTAGGTACTTTTTTTGTTTTTTGTGCATTCTCAAATTTTTGGAATAAAATCCGTCGGTACAAATAGGTGTGGAAAATTTTTATGTGAATTGTATTGATTCAATCAATCAAAACACAATTCCAGACGTGTATACAATTTAGTGAATGTTAGTACTAATTGGTGACGATTTTTACGTCTTCAATGTAAATTATCAAGCTACTGGAGAATATGTTTTCTTTATTAAATTGTTTTTTACATTATTTTTATGTCTTTTGAAATTCTTAATATTCATTTAAAAATAGCTAAAGAATTAGGTAGCTATTTTTTCTATTACATAGAAGTAAAAGGTTCATAAATTAAATGTCCCACATGAAATCTACAAACCAGTCAGAGCTAATGAAAACATCAACATTTATTCTTCAGACTAAACTATGACTGAAATTGTGTGATTTTATTGGCTCTGACCGGTTTTTGGATTGCATTTGAAACAAACATTTACCTCCAGCATCCCTTCGACCATATTTCACGTTAGTGTGACCTGATAAACTGAACTGGAGGATGATTTATCGCGATACTAACATTTACTCCTTTTTTAATTTCATAAAAAGTAACTTTTCTTGTACGTTGTAATATGAATATATCGCGTTTTTATTGTTCGATACCCGGAGATGATAATCTTAATATATTTTTTATATCTACCTGGTCGTCGGCAATAAAATTCAACTCACCTCTAAACCAATCTGTAAAAATTTTATGACAACCAATTCTACGGAATGGTAAAAAAACGGTCTACGGGTAATTCGATGGAATCAGACAAACAATCAAGCACAAATATGAATGAAGTCACTATTTTGTACAACCTAATATAATCAATTATAGGATATTGAAAAAGGTAAAAACATTGAGGAAAATTTCAGATTTATCAAAACTTTTCATGTTATATCAAATGATGTCTTCATCATCTATGGTCTTAAAATCATGAAGGTATATACGTTCAAATTGTTATTCATGAATTCTATTATCTACCATGTGTTTTACAAATGGAGAAGTTAAATAGTCTATAGCCTCTCTTCATTTAAATCCGGTCCTGGAAACAGGACATATTTAGTTTTAATCGAATGAAATAATTTTCGTCAGGCAAATGGCACAGCACCATATCCTGTCCGCTGTGGAATCAGAAATAAGCACCGGTAAAGAGAAGGGCGACGCCACCGAAAGAGATTTGTCCGTGACGCTAGATGACCGGGACCTTTGGGTGAGATTTCAGTGCTTCACAAACGAAATGATCGTCACGAAAAGTGGAAGGTTAGTAAGTATTCGAAAATTCTTCGAGTCGGTTCTGCACTTTCATCAATGATGAACTGATTTAATTAGGAATTATCCGCATTAACAAGTGACTAGTTATAGCTTTCTTAGAGTTACCTAAACCAGGGAAGAAAATCGAAATGTTAGGAACAAAGAAAAACGTATTACCTAATAGTTCTAAATATTTAAATTCCGAGTTTACAGAAATTTCTTTTAGAAATCCGAAGGCAATAAGATATCGAGCCGTTTCGAATTCTAAATGACAGTGAATGCAATGACATTTCTATGGACACGTCAATTAGCACTTTATCCAAATTAGAGAAAAGTCGACACCAATTAACAACTCGGCGCGATGATTATTTCAATAAACCTGTAAACATTTTTAATTATCCGTTAAATATTCAATTAATTGAGCAAACCAATCGTTGCCAAAGTCATACCTATTTGCATAAATAGGTATAATATTACATCCAATTCGCAATCAGTTGGCTCTGTGATATTAGTGATCTTGTTTATGACACTATTAACAATCTACATGATAGGTTTAATATTGAGCCTTATATTAGAATAGAATATCTACATTTTTTTGGTAATTTCACTGTTATTCATGTGTAAGAAAGAGTAACCAAACCCAAGATCCAGATTCCAAATTTCATTTTGCTTTGTCACCATTACCTTCTTTCCTTCACACTTCACATCCCTTATAAATCTAGATGTAATTTGTATGTTTAGAAGAATGTTTCCTGTAATCAAAGTCACCGCAGCCGGTTTAGATCCCAAAGCAATGTACACCATTCTACTGGAATTCGTTCAAATAGACCCGCACAGATGGAAGTACGTAAACGGAGAATGGGTACCGGGCGGCAAAGCCGAAGTACCACCGTCGAATCCCATATACATCCACCCCGAATCGCCCAATTTCGGCGCCCATTGGATGAAAGAGCCCATATCCTTCGCCAAAGTAACACCCGCCCAACTCTTCGCGAGACCAATTTGACCTCATCGTCCGGTATATTCGCAGGTGAAACTGACCAACAAATCGAACGGCAACGGCCAAATCATGCTCAACTCCCTGCACAAGTACGAGCCGCGCGTGCACCTGGTGCGCGTCGGCACCGAGCCCAGGCGCGTCCGCACGTTCCCTTTTCCCGAGACCCAGTTCATCGCCGTCACGGCCTACCAGAACGAGGAGGTCACCTCGCTCAAGATCAAGTACAACCCGTTCGCCAAGGCCTTCCTCGACGCCAAAGAACGACCGGACAACCTCTACGCCCAGAGGGAGTACTCCAACAGCTACGGGCAGCAACAGACCCAGTATCATCCGCAATGTGAGTTAGCAACAGAAATACACTCTTAGGACCACCGCTCGCGGAGCAACTGTTTTGAAATAAAGATTTCAATCTAGTTTAGTCTGTAACCAGTTTACAACTAATATTAAACTTCTGTACGCACACGGATGCTACTATTATAAAATAGTTTCAATCAGTTGCCATAGTAATTTATCGAATGTCGAATGAATCACACCAGAAACTGGCAAGAATTTAAAGCAACTTGAAACTGCAAAGCGACTGCGACCGATGGAAATGGTCGGGTACAACGGTTTTAAGACTCATTGCAAACTAGTTTCATTTGAATCGACTTGTGTGCGGTTCCACACTACTATACATTGCCGAGGTTGCAAAATAGTTGCAACATTAACTTGTTTACAATTTTTATTTTAAAACAGTTGCTCCGTGAGCGGTCGGCCTTAATGATTTAAATAATGACAATCTTTGTAGGTTGTTAAGTTCATAAGTACTCGTCAATTTTTTAAGCAGATATTAGTATGTGTTGTAGTACCTATACTTATGCTTTTTGAGATATTTATTGTGCTTTGAATGACCAATTTGCAGATATGTTGCGAGTAATTTGAATCTATGAATATCGGGGTATTGAGTAAATGGATTGTTTGTTTGTTTTGCAGATGGTTCTTGGTTTCTGCCGCACCAGACTGTGTACGCATCGTCGACGCAAATGTCTCCTCCGTGCCAATTTCGCTCCAGTCCTACTTTGAAGCGGCAAAAATCGGCGCCCTATACGATTCAAAGGCAAAAATCGGCGTCTGTGTCGCCACCTTCACATGGTAACTTTTTTAAATGAAGCTCTATTAAACTTGTCTGTTTTTTTTTTGTTTAAATAATTTATTATTTGTTCAATTTTCGGTCAAGACTACTTGAAGTGTAGCGAAATTGGTTCTATTGACTATGTATATTTCTAGTTAAAATTCGAAACTAAATTATTCCGTCGAATTCGGGTTAACGTTTATTTAAAAAACAAAGTTTACACATCCAAGTACGCGATCTTGGAACCCATAACCGGTATTTCTACTGATCAGTGTGTACACAAATATGATCTATCCAAACAATATTTACAATAAAAAGCGACACTAGATATACATCCATCGGCTTCCTACGATGAGGTTTTTATGGAGGTCACTCCGAGCTCCGGACGGCGTGTTTGAGTTTCGAATTAATTTTCCTTATGCAACAACATCGACGCGCTGTTTGCTTTAATAATTCCATTTCCAGTGTACACTCCGCCCGATCACGTCCAACAGCAGTCCCTGTACAGTTCCACCGGACCGACGTACACCAGCTGGCCGACGATGAGCACCATCCAGACGCAGACGCCGGCCGGCGCGGGCGCCGTCAACTGCTGGTCGCTGGCGTCCGGCTCGCCGCCGCACCACCACCAGATGGCCTCGCCCAGCCAGTCTCCTAGTCACCAGGTGTACCAGCATTCGCCCATTGCGAGCATCGCCAACTTGTCCTATCCCGGCTACTACGCCGACGTGTCCTATCAGAATCCCGAGTACGTGCCGGTGGTTAACACGGAATTGAGCTATACGCAAATCGGTTTGGACAGAACCACGCCTGTGGTTTACCAATCGGAGGTCACCACTACGCAGAAGGACGAATACGAAAGCGGTGCTGTCGTGGATAGTAGCAGAGAAGAAAGGTCTAGTTCGAGTACTCCCAGACAGGAGTGGATATCGATGAATCACATACAGAATTAGCTTAGTTCATTCTTTTTGTACATAAAAGTAAGAGTAAGAAATATATATTATACTATAGCGATTTGTCCCAAGTTGGTTCTTATTATAACCACCAAAGGAAGATTTGGTATCTTAAGATGTGTATGAGCCATGTTACATCTGTATATAGAAACGTTCGGAAGTAGTACTGGAAATAATACTCGCACAATTTAGTAAGTTTAAAATATCTTGTTATCTAAATAACCAATAACAAATACAATACAACGGTTCGATGATTACGTAAAGAGCACGTGAAATGAAAAATAGCGGTGATATTATTTCACAAAATAGAAAAATACTCCTATTTGTTTGAGCGGACGGCCAATTTCTCGATAGCCGAACGCTAAACGTAGGCCAGCACATATCACAGTTGTAGAAATTTAATAGTTATTTTTTTTCCATCATTGCGTTTAATATGTTACTAACATTCGAATTGATTTTGTAATAGGAAATAAAATCTAAAACAACGAGTCACAAGATACATAAGTAATTCGATTCGATGAAAATTCATTCCAAAGTAAACTTTATGTTAAAAAATAATTTTAATTGTGAAATGGTGTTCTGAATGAATTTTCTTATAATCAAAACCTAGTAAACTATAATTACAAGCGAACTTAAATAAGTATATTATGTGTTTTACTTAAAAGTAGGGTGAAACAATCTATTCTTTCAATTTTTTTACTTATACAAAAAATATCAGTCACTAATTAACAAAAAATAACAGTGCACTGAAAAGGCGCCAATTAACGTTAAATTTTCTAATTTTTCAATAAATACTTGTGTTTATTACAATATATACATTTAAAAAATACATAATATATCAATTTATACAATTCTGTATAAAATATTGTTTATTAATTATTGACATTTTTGCAAAAAACCGTTCAAATAATCCTTAGCACCCCACACAAATAAATAATATTCCTTAATATTACATAATTAATAAACGCTCTATTTCTCTTAATCTAATGTAGGTATATAATAGTTATAAAATGATTATAAACAACTTGTAATAATATTTCAATGCTAAATTATTTTACCTTCAATTAAATATGAACCCATAACATAAACGAAAAAAAAACTGAAGTAGAAGTGGAAGTTGGGCTTTTCTAAAGATCATTCAAGTTTTTCAGCGTCACCGTAGAATTTTGGCTGGAAATAAAAAGCAACAGTTATTTCAAATGAACTTAAATTCCATCATAAAAGCATTCGTAAAATAAAAATAATATCCTAAATACAGTGCACATGCTTCATTAATATTTTTTCTATGCTCCTATTTACAAGATTTTTATATATATTAGTGATTAATAATCAAAATCACTGCACAGCATTAATTAAAATTCGTCTAATAAACAATTTATTTTTTCGTTATTAGTCAAACTCCAGTGTAATCAATCGACTTACATTGTCAAATATTAACATGTATAATAGCCCAAGCAATGACTTCGAAACTATCGAAAAAAAAACATATATCGTAAAGAAAAGTTTCGAATATCGATTACAAGTTCACCCTTTCAGTTTTACTAAGGGAAATAGTATAGAAATAAAAAAATCATTACCAAATCGTGAGCCTCGGGCTGTCCTTTAGTTTTCTCGTCATCGTCATCTTCAGAATCATCTTCGCCCGATGAATCTGCATTAGTCCCTTCAAAATGAACAGATTTAGCTAAAAATATATCGATTAAAAAGTGCACAGTTTACCTCTTAATGCTGAATCGGTCGAATTGTGATTTTTAGTGGTAGTCAACACATCGTAACAATGAAGACACACTCTCAGAGGCTTCGAACTTTGATTGGGCAGCAAAAATCGCTTATTTGAGCAAGGTCCACACACTACGGCGCCGCATTTACGACAGTGATGCTGAAATATTCAACGAAAAACAACGTTTACAACCACACTTGAGTCACTCCGGACAATATATTGTAACGAATAGGTAGCGCCATTAGTGACACTCCGGTAAGAGTCCTAATGGATTAACATGTCTTGGGGACTCTGGTGAGCTCCAGTAGAGGAGTCAGGACTTCGGTACAACGTGTACTAAGTAACAGAGTCCCGACCGCTGTGTCCACCACAAGGTGAGGGAGTTATAGACATTGTTGTGATAAAGAGAGTTCTCTTATTCCTTTTGAAGCAGTTGGAGAAAGTTATACCCCCTGGCACAGGGTAAGGACCCATAACTCCTTACACGTAACAATATAGTGGCGAGCACAAAGATATCTTACCCTCCGATTGATTATCGTAAACTGAGATTTTTTGCAATGCATGCAAACGGACGCTTCCCCGTCGGGCACCCAAACGGCAGCGTGCACGGAGACAGCTTTCTTTCCGCTTTTTCTCAACAAATCGTCTATGCATTTGTTGATGTGGGCCATCCATTCTCCCTTTTCTATCGCCGTCGCCGCGTAAACGGCGAAAGATTTCGATGCCGTGCAAATTAACCAGCCGTTTTTGTATTCTGAAATCAGTAAGATTAATCGTGAAGTTATTACGGGTAATATGGAGTACTTACGGGAATCGTCTTCCAGGCTTTCTAATTTAACCTCTTCTAAAGGAATGATATGTTGTTTGTTGTACTTCTTTTTATTTATAATTATGTTACCGTAGACCAATATGTCGTTGAAGAGGAAGAATTGCCTCGTTTTCGGTTTCTTCCGGCACATTTTAGTTAAGACGCCTTCACCGACTAAGACTCTGCCAGGAACAGCCAATGGCTAGAATGTTGTGAAGTTAAAAAAATATTATTTCATAAGTAGGTGAAATACTCCTTACTTGACCAGAGCTGCCGAAACAACTCTCAACCATTGTTATCCTACGAGCGTTGGCTTCACTATTTACTGAAACAGACATGATGAATTGAATATAATGGAAATAAATTGTGCAGTTAGAAAACTGGGAGGATTGTTGTATAGAAGCGACAACAATGATGAATCATCTAGACTTGATAAAGAAATACATTTCTAATTACAAACGATTTTGCAAGATATTCGCGTTCGATAAAATCAGACCGTAAAATATTAACCAGAGCATAAAATGCTTGTTTAAATGATAAATTAGAGCCAAATAAGGTGGCTTATTAATTGCTGAAAACTCGTTAATATTCTTCATACAATTCCGTTGTCGTTTGGTCAAACTAGTATCAAGAAAAATTACCTAATTTATCAACCATCTCTACCACGAGCTATTAGTAATCTCAAAATCAAAAAAAAATTAATAAAAAACGAAAACACCTCCAGAAATTTTACACTATCCCTATCTGTCAAAGTCAAAAATCATCACTTTTATTTTTTTTTTATTGAAGGTGCTAATAATAAAAATTAAAAACAAAGATGGAAAATACTAGTGCACATGTATTAAACAAGGTAAACTAATTTCACGTCAAATGACGTTTAGCTTGACATTAATGACAATTGACAACAAAGGTTTTCTTCTATTTTACAGTTATATACAATATCTGGTATCCTACTAGAATAGAGGCAGCATTGTAAATTTCAGAACCACTTCAATGATTTTTTATTAGCTAAAGAGGTGAAAGGGTATTTCATCTACAGGTAAATGCAAGATATAAAAAGTAATAGACAACTTTTATTAGTTGTATTCTTATTCTAATCAATCTTTGTTCAACTGCATAAAAATTCGCGTTTGTCTACAATCCGTTCCCATTAAGTAATTGTGCTTTTAAATACATAACTTTTATTAACAAATATATCACAAAGAGGGTAACAAAAATAAAATTATAATCAAAATAAATACTCTGAACCAATGTATATTGTCAACAATAAAATACATTGCATAAAAATTAACTCGAAGCAGCAGCTGCAGCTGGGGCGGCCGCCTTGTCTTCTTCCTTAACTCTATCCTTCTTAAGAGGTCCCATAAACGCAGCCTTGTCGGCGGCGGTCTGGAATCTACCGTGTCCGAATTTGGAGGACGTATCGATGAATTTCAAATTGATCTTCTCCAAAGCGACACGCTTAGTGTGAACCAAGAGAGACTACAAAAAAAAAGAAATATATCAGTACTTTCTATATTAACAAATAATTAATTGAATATAGTAAATAATTAATCAGAGAGATTCCCTTCGCGTAAGTAATCATAGTATTATCATATGTCCCTACGCAATTTATCATCATGTGTATTTGAAAGAATAAAAAAAAGTAAGTATAAGTTTTGCTTACTTTTCTCAATGTAATGACGCGCTTCTTAGGTCCAATACAACATCCCTTAATCATGACGAAGTCATTGTTAACTTCACCATAATGAGGGAAACCACCCATCGGTGTAATGGTTTTCTCACTAAGATCGTAATCGGTAGCAGCATTGTTTTTGATGACCTACAAAAAAAAACACAAATTAATAGAATATGTCCTACTAATACAACAGCTGTGTAATCCAAAAACAAAATATCAGTCCTATCATTCAAAATCATAGATATATCATAATCCTTTTGGCTCTAGGATTTTATCATCATACAATTATCAAACTAATAAAGTTAAATATAACCGAACATACCTTTCCGTCCTTAGTGTGAATTCCAGCACCGATCCTGTAGATTTTCTTGTTCATCTCCGTCCTGTGATGGTAACCCTTTTGACCAGCACGAGCGACAGTGAAGGACACTCGGGAAGGATGCCATGCACCGATACAAGCCACTTTCCTAAGACCCTTGTGCGTCTTGCGCGGCAATTTCTTGGTATGCCAACGAGATGTAACACCTGCAATAAAAATCATCTATAGAAAACTAATATTCATAATAGAATAAATGTAGTTAGGATATAATTTGTCAGTAGGAAGGCAGCATGGTTGTATCATCAAAGAAATCAGATGTTACATTCCATGATGTTTCATCATTTAGATAGCCTAATGTAATGGAAAGAATTTGAGCGATAATTTACCTTTGTATCCGTGACCTTTGGTCACACCGATGCAATCGATCATCTCATCTTGAGCAAACACGTTACCAACGGGAATGGGCTTCTCCAAATGCTCCTTAGCCCAAGCGACTTTGTCGGCAATGGTACCTCCGTTGAGTTGGATCTCCATAATGTGGGCTTTCTTCTGGCGTTGTTTCAACAATTTCATCTACACAAAAACGGTATTTATTAAATATTATACCGAAAATCGAAAACGATTATTACGGCATTTAAGTGAGGGTATGTAAGAAGCATGGTTTGTCAAAATGTCATCATCCAAAGACTACACAATGAATATGGAATATGCTTCCTGCGCCTCCCGAAGGGCGCTTTCTCTACGACGCTGCGGCAGAAACCCAACGGAAATTGAGCCCCCGGGCCGCCAGCTGGAGGGTAAGCTCCGACACTGATCGCGTCGACAATACAAATTCTAATAACAAAACTAATAAAATACGAACCTGAGTGTGAGCGATGACTCTGACAACCTTGCAGTACTTCACGATTTTCTTCAAGTCGCGATCGATGGACTTTTTGCCCAAGTCATCGGTCCATTTCTTGGACGCCTTGGTGAAAGCCTTCTTCTTGCTCTTGTACCTGCGTATCACAATTCTTTAGCCGCCGAAACAACCAAAAACACCCGGGGCTTCTGCAAGAACAGGAGGGATCGCCTCATAGTTTAGAGGAGGCTTTCCCCTCCAGTACGCTTCGCTACATAACTCAGATAAACTCTTAACGAGCAAACATTGAGCTAGCTCAGCATACAGTTCCCAATAGTCCTCGTGCTTGCAGAGGAGAACTTTGCAGAAAAATTAGTACAAATACAACACTATAACTTAATAGTAACGTATAATAGGGAGGTTGTCGCCTCGCAAGGTACCCAATAATGCTACTACAACAAACAAAATCGGGGCATAAGAGCTGGAATCATTCCTCTTCGAGAACATTTAGCACTAACTTGAATATCGAAATTAATTCAATCAGTGACTCTAGCCTCGGCGCCTTTCGAAACGAATCGCATATTTTCACTCACCAGTTCTTGTAGAAACGTCTGCGGCAGTCTTCGGACAAATGTTCGGCCCAAACGGTGGCCAAGGCTCTCATACCGTGCGGGGTTTCGATGTAACCCACGACGCCTACTACGATCATCGGAGGAGTTTCCAAAATGGTCACGGCCTCCACGATTTCCTTCTTGTTGATTTCTGCGGAAGGAAACTCGGTTTGAATATACGGAGCTTTTTAAAATGGTTGGGTAAAACTACTTACTCGAACCGGGCCTATCTGCCTCACGTAACACGTGGGTCATACCGGCTTTGTAGCCGATGAAGGCCGTTAGATGAACGGGTTTCGAGGGATCATCCTTGGGGAAGGCCTTTACTTTTCCACGGTGCCTTTGGGATCTTTTCTTGGGGTAGAATCCCATAGATCCGTGACGGGGTGCACTAAACTTCCTGTGCGACTAAAAGTCAAATATACGCCATTTTAGTATTACATCGTAAAAATACATTAAAATAAGTTGGGTGGAACGCATCAGACCGCCCTAGAATACTATCCACATTGTATGTTCGGTTAAAAACCATAAACAGAAATACAATCTAAATCATCATGAAAATATACGAATATCATTCAATATTCCAAAAATAATATAATCAACTTGCAACTGGATGAAAAACTTATGAATATATTGCAAAAAGTAGTAAAATTATTGCAAGATTGCTTCGATATAAAAAGAAATTAAAGTTGTTCAACTTACCATGTTGACGTCGAAAAATGAAATGGCAGATAAAATGAATCAATCCAAGGTTGAAATATGTCTAAATTCAACGTAGAGGGCGCTACTGTTTGGCCTTTAACTTTTGTTGCATCCAACCAATTTTTTTAACTACTAGTGCCATCTTTTAGACGGAAAAAAAGGAATTAACAAATTGAATGTATACCTCAACAAATGTAGCTTGCCACTTGCAAAATGAGGGAAGAATGATGGAGATCCAAGTCGGACGGAGTCTTTCTAAAGTAATTACAGGTCTACGAATTGTAACTTACCATTGTACTTTAGAAAGAAAAAAACTAAAGTAATTACTTACTATGTTTTATGTTAAAACTCCCATAAAAATGTCGATTATCAACCTAAGAGAGTATTTCACACAGACAAAATAAATTTCTTTCTCTATGGTATCAATAAGAAAGTTTTTTTAACAAAGGAAAGAGAAAATATTCATAAAAGTAGAGAGAAAATTTTGTGCATAAAAGAGTAGAGAGAAAATAGTGCGCATAAAGCAGAGAGAAATTTAGTGCATAAAAGTAGAGGTAGAAAAGTCGAGAGAACATTTTTTGCCTAAAAGTAGAGAGAAAATTGTGTGCCTAAAAGTAGAGAGAAAATTATGTGCATAATAGTAGAGAGAAAATTTTGAGACCTATGGCTCACGGAGAAAAGACTCATACAGGCCGTAGGAAGAGTATTAACTTTTTTCTTTACGGTTTTGATTAAATATCTACACGTAATTCGCTAAGGTGACTTGTCACATCATTAAAAATTAAACCCGAAGTTACCCGAAAATAACCCGAAAATACCATGTATTGCTTTTGTGCTCCGAGGGTCTGGTTGATACTGATGCTGATATTAAAAAAAACTACATATTTACTTTAATTTTCATTTTATTTTTCTTATGTTATGAATAAATAACAACAAAATGATTGGTTTAAAAATTTTACGTACCTCTGGCTTATTGTAATAAAATATTGTTCATCACATCTTAATTGTTTCGATTTTAATTATTTTAATTTCATTGTTATCTAATTTAATCAACAATGGCGTCGCTGAATACAAATTTTATATTACACTCCGGTACGCCATATTACATTTAATCAATACTGATTATTATTTACTAATTGTATAATCGCGATCATTATAATACTCGAAACAGCTAAACAAAATCACTTCTACTGAAACGAATTTGTACAGAATTTTCAACTTAAAAACAGTTCAGTACGATCGACGACGGGCATTACGATGATCTCGATTATACAAACAAAAATTGCGCTACAAAATACTATCACTACTACTGTCACTTATAGTCGTGAATGGCGTGAGGAGGAGTAATGGGAGGTAGGTGATTCCCACACCTGGGGAATCCTTGCGGAACGGGCGGCAGGTCTTGCTGAGTCCCCACGTGCATGATCAGATTCATTCCTATTACTATGTGAAAGAGGAAGTGGCAATGAAACAGCCAATAACCTGTAACACAAAAAAAAATAACGATTATAGCAAAACCATTGAGTGCTCGTTTCATCAGAACCATGCAAAATTAGGTGTGTACAAACCTGGGTTATCGGCCCTAAACCTAAATATCACATATCCGTTATTTGGCACGGCGATGGTGTCTTTGGCTGGTGGTAAATTAAACTGCCTGTGCAACAATCCCCTTCTATCCAGGTCCAGGGCGTGCTTCAGATTAATTTTCTTGACGTTCTGATCCGGTGATCTACCGATGCCCACCACGTTAAAGGAGTAGCCGTGCAAATGGAACGGATGGCTCAAATTCGGCGATTGAACTGTAACCAAATTGACGAATATACAGGGTGTTTTAATGTGATATACGAAACTCACCTTCATCTACTAAGACGACCTCTACGATGGCATTATACGGGATGTCCACCATATGCGTGCATTGGCAATTAGCCCCGCAATTAATCGGCCTGTTGTCGCCGTTACAGAACAGGTCCTGATCCAGCTCGTCTAGCTGCGACAGCGGCGGCGAGGGGGGAAAAGAAAACGAAATTTCGTCGATTAAACTGATGACGTGATCCCCGCCGGGAGCCACTGTAAAGGTTCAAATCGCTATGTAATACTCGTAAAATTACAATTACGAATGGGCGTACCTAAGAATTTGTTGTAGGTGTGAGGTACGAAGAGTTCTTGGGGTTTGTAAAAGAGGAACCGAAATGGCAGGAATATTTTTACGTCTGGTCTCTCCTGCAGTATGGCCTGGTCGACTTTCTTCGCGTTTCTCAATTGACTGACGCAGACGGCGTCTTTTCTAGGTTTGTTGCAAATGGCGTCCAAGGGATTCATCACCTTGAGGTAAATATCACGTTTAATTAGCATCAGATTTGATTAAATTACAACTACATATACAGGGCGTCCCGATAGGTAATTTAACATGCTACGTTATGCATCTCAATTCTCCTATTTGTATAGAGTAAATGAGTTTTAACTACAGTAGTATTGGGACACCCTTTATAGTATAGCTTTGTTCCCAATAACAACATTGGACCAGTGAATAGTTGGGTCAATTTGTGACTATAGTTTATGAACTGGTCAAATGTTTTTTGTATTTCTTCCTTACCTTTATCCCGTAATTTATGCAATATACGAAGCGATATAACCTATACAAGATAAGAATAGGGACGAAGAAACCGAAGTTTGTCTATTTTATTAATATTTTGATGAGTTAAATGAACTTCTCGTCATAAAAAATATTTATGTAGGTGCTTTAAAAGACAAAATTTTGGTTTCTTAAAGTTTTTGTACAGAATGCTGGATTATAAACAATTTCTTATGCATCAATCTCAATTTTTTCACTCTCTAAATCTACAGCACTCCAAATTTTAATCTTCTATACATATTTAAATTGCTACATTTACCCTAAAATTTTACCCTAAACTTAAACTAAATATGTCTACTTACTGTCCAAGTGACGATGTTTTGTACATATTTAATTCCGATGTCCAAAGACAAATTAATTATACCTAAGAAATTAATCCTTAATTTTTTATAATTTTTTGCCAAATATACACAATTCTTACCTTCACTATTTACACAAACCAATCAATTCCAATAAAAATATTCACCAACAACCCTTTAGTGTAAATCACTTCAAATAAATGCCTTTTTATGCCAATTTTAAAGCCAATTCTAGCTCATTCGATGATACCACTAATAATAATAGTACAAAATAAACCAACACCGATTGTTTTATGTACATTATACACACTTTATTAATATTTAATAATACTTTAAAAACAATATGAAGACCATTAAACGCATCCGCCATTATTATTTAAAACTGCAACGGACTAGAAGATTGGGTTGCATTCAAAATACATCTTTATACCAACAAAAAAGATAATAAACAGATTATAATGCAACGTGGTAATACAAATCATTAAGTCAATTGAATTGTTGTTATTATCAAACATTTTCCCGCATGGTAATACTGAACAACTAACGGTAGGATAGATTTGAACAAAAGGCATGTAGGTAACATTTAAAATTACATTTAGAGAAAGAGGTAGATGAAAAACGTATTGTAAAGGAAAGAATAATCCAAATCTATTGATTTGAAGCTAAATTTTTGCAAAAATATATCATGCAGGGAATTACAGTGACGTGCAAACGAATTTTATAAATATATTGAGCAAGTTTTATTAATACTGACGTTTTAAAGTGCCCCATTTTTGCCCATTTATTCGAATTATTTTAATAATTTTTTGTCTCTATATAATAAGTATTAAACAGGGTGTTTCGTCCCTATGAATATTTTATCTGGATAATCGTGAACTCAAAACCTTGAATATTTTAGGTGGAATTAGTTTTCATTATCGAGTTAAAGGGAGTTTAATTTAAATATTAAAAAATAATTTTTAATTATAACCAGTCAAAATATTTATGCACAGGAATGAAACACACTGTATACCAATATTGTCAGCCTCATTTAGACAAGCATGCACCAACAAACTAGTTAAATAAATTTTCGAAGAGGAAATGAGATGCTTTTTTTTCTAATAAACTTACTTATTATGGCGCCACGTAGAACAAAGGAAAAAAACGATAAACATAAATTACAAAATTACAGAATATACATAACAAATACCTAAAAAGAAAACAAAGATTTTCGCGTAATGGCAAGATATAAAATTTAAATATTCGAAATCAATAAATAAAAATCAACAAATCTAATAAAAGGTAACTCGAGGTTAAGTTGGGTAGTTTTTTACATTTCGAAACGAACTAGCCGAACAAATTCCAGAACTATGCGCTTATCATGCACCCGCAATATCCAGTAAAATAATTTTAGTTTCATTATCTAGCTAACAATTTTTTCGAAAGGAAACCAAAGGAAACATTTATCTCTAGTCCTATAGTAATTATTTTGGCTACACTGGTATAAATTTAATCTTTTAGGCGAAATAATCAAATATTATTTTTAGTCAATTCATTCTTGAACTAAATATTCTATGCACAAGTGTGTAATGTGTACATATTCAAAATTTAAAATTAGACAACAATTGGGGCACTTCATATCCTGACAACTTTCCTTTCGAAAAAAGCAATATTTAATTAATCAAATCAATATTTTTTTAATAAAGAAAATAAAATTATTTTACTTCTTATAAATTCGGGGCGATTCAAGTTATTCGCATACGTCATTATTTATACATATGTCAGCTGTCACTAATTAACGTCACTTGTCCCTTTCCTTTAGCGTCGATTGCCAAAGTTAAGGCGCGACAGGTGACATTCCTGACACTTTTGACATTCGGCATTTGAGCGATGCGCGGAACCGGAGCCGCAACGTTTCGGCCAGCCCGTTTCGAACGCTCGAATTAATATTAAACAAAAAATAATAAAAATAATAGATGACTCTGTAAACCTCATTTCAAACTGTAATAGTGGCCGTCTATGGTATTCGTTATAGGGGGTTTGTGGTCGCCGCAGGTGGGGAAATTGGGCGGCACCGGCGGCAGATTGGCGTTGGAGCCGACTTGGAACACCAGGTTCATTCCGATGACGATGTGGAACAAGAAGTGACAGTGGAATAACCAGAAACCCGGATTGTCCGCCCGGAATCTCAGCACGACGTAACCGTTGTTGGGCACGGCGATGGTGTCCTTGCCGGGGGGCAGGTTGAACTGCCTGTGCAACAGGCCTTGCCTGTCCAGGTCCAACGCGTGCTTCAGGTTGATTTTCTTCACGTTTCTGTCCGGCGATCGGCCGATACCGATCACGTTGAAGGAGTAACCGTGCAGATGGAACGGATGGCTCAAATTCGGCTGTTGAACTGTTGTAAACGAATAGAGTAATTTTCCACATTAGTACAAAATTTATTACGTTCTCACCTTCATCGACTAGAACCACTTCGACGATGGCGTTCAGCGGTATGTCCACTTTGTGGGTGCACATGCAATTCGCACCGCAATTCGGCGGTCTGTTGTCGCCGTTGCAGAATTGATCAGGATCGATATCGTCGTATTGGGACGTCAGAGGGGCCGGCGGGGACATGTAAGATATTTCGTCGATTAAACTGATGACGTGATCTCCGTTAGGCGCCACTGGAATGTTAATATACAAGGAAGTTAAGTATCTCCGAGGATCTCTTAGACATGCTTTCTGGTCAATCAAGCACCTCTTTAACGTGGTGGCAGAGAAACACTTGTAAAGAAAGATTAGAACTTCACTAGAGCTGCACTAGTGCATTCAGAACAAGTTTGGAGAAAAATACAATTGGGAGAATAGCAATTGGAGAATTAAGAATGCAATGAAGAAAAATATACTGGACAAAAATGCAATAATCAGAATTGTTATGCAGAAGAGTACACTAGTCAAGAATGCAATGAAAATAAACTGCTATAATAATGAATTAAAAATAATGCATTGGACAAGAATCCAGTAGAATTCACCGGTTATGAAACACAGCACAGTGGACATCAGTTCTTACCTAAATGCCTGTTGTAAGTGTTGGGCTGGAACAAATCCTCGGGCGTGTAAACGTGGAACCTGAAGGGCAGGAAAATCTTGACGTCCGGGCGTTCCTGCAATATCCCCCTGTCGATTTCCTTGGCGTTTTTCAATTGATTCACGCAAATGGCGTCCGTCCTGACTTCGTTACACCTCGCGTCCAGCGGATTCAGCACCTATAGAGATTTATGTTTACGTGCTATTTACACTGTACAAATGCGTGAATGGCAACAAATAAAATCTACAAACAAGTATATAGATCCCGCGTCGGCAGCTATTCCTTTCGGTCTGTACTTGTATATACAATACATATTTATAAAATAACAATGCTATACCAATATGTTCACACCAATTTCTCTAACTCGCCTCCTTTTTGCTCCTGATTTTGTTTTTATATACATGGTGATTGCGTTTATGTACATGACGAATTAAACTTACCACTCCTTGGGGTAAACCGAAATCGTATTGAGGCGGATTCGAGCTGGGTTGGTAAGGACCCCTGGCGTATCGCAGGATACCCAATTGCTGAACTCTCCTGATACCGCATTCTCCCAGCGCTCTGAGTTGGATCCAATAAGCTCCAGGTGCACTATTAGCGTTGATAACGAAGTCGTATCTTTCTCCTGAAAAACGAAAGGATCGATGCTCTTATGTGTGTTTATTACTCATTAATTGATGAGGAAAGAGGGTAATAATTTACGGGGGTTTTGTAAATAGTATAGTTTACCGGAGAAGGATATGATCGTGTTGACTTTGACGGGATGGACTGGTTCCCCGTCGGTGGCAATCAATGTCAAATCGTGTCCTTGGATGGTGATCTGGGCTGGACAAACGGACGCTAATGAATTGATCATACGGAATCGGTATTTCTTTCCGGGCGTGATTGTGAACACTTCTAATGGGGTGTTGGTCATGAATCCGGTGTTCGGGTCCCTGAATTGTCCTTTGCCGTTGATCAGGATGCTTTCGGGGTCCTGACCTGTGTTAACCTGTTAAAATAGATTTTAAAAATTAGTAGAAATTGCATTACTTGAGAAATATTTTAAGAATGATTTTTCAACTATGTGAATGGTTTACTTTATTCAAATTTGATTTTTTTTACACTTTTAGTGTAGTAATGTAAAACAATATCTAAAGTGAAATTTTCTTGTATTACCTAAACGAGGAAGTCGAAGAAAATTCTCTTGTATCTGCGCAATTTAATGAACATTATCATTTTCTTCAATTAAAACATATGATCTTTATAATTATTTCAGCAATTTATTGTTGGGTTCAATTGAAAAACATGGGAAAATAATTCTTGAAAACACCAATTCTTACGGATAAATTTATCATAATATAAAAATTATTATAAATTACATCGTACAAATCCTATTAGCCTAAATTTAATGTTACAAAAAAATTACTAATTCGCGAAAACAACAATAAAATATGCAAATTGAATTATTCAAAATCCAATTAATTTGCATAATTCGAATTAATTAAATGCAGATTTTTCATTTATCCCGTTAATAAAAAAAACCGCAAAATATTTCAACCAAAACCTAATTTAATCAAAAACAGAAATTTTGTCCAAATTTCTGCCAAAAAACTGCAAAAAAAAATATACCTACATGAAAGTATTTCCTTCTTTTTATGAAGAAATTATACCAGATTTTTTATACACATAACTACAATATTTGTTTACCAGACATGATTTTTTCGAGAGAAGATCTCTTCGTTTTTTTTCTCAAAACATAAGAAACAAGGCGTCATAAACGTATATATGAGGAGTTTAAAGGTCTTTGCAGCTACTTTAAAACCCTCTAAGCCCTACTTATAAAATGTAAATCATCTAATATCAATTCGCTCACCGCCAATCTTCCCGGGAATCTCTCGGAAGCGTCTTCGTGCATCCAATCGCTGAGCAACATGACGTGAGTGGTGAGATCGTAGTCATAGAGGTAGCTGTTGGGGTCCTTGGAGGGCGGCTGTCGAACGGCAATACTTCCATAAAGACCGTCCATCTTCTGTAAACCGGTGTGAGCATGCCAGAAATGAGTACCGGCGTTTCCTGCTACCCATTGATATCTGTAAGATGGAGTTAGGGTTAGGGAACAATTAGGGATTAGTTAGAAAATAATTTGTTTAAAATAATAACGAAGCAATCGTTATTAAATATTAGATTAAGTACATTTCCTCGTTACATTTATTTGATACGAATAGTTTATTTATCCATGTAATATCTATTAGAAAGTATAGAATACAAATTATGGTTTAATTTACATTACTTCACAATAGTTTATAAATATGTACTTGCCTCGAGCCAGTCACCACAAGAAACTCCATTTAGATCGAAAAAGTATTACGTAATACTTATAGAGAGGCATTAGAAGTGCAAAATTGTGCAAATATTGTTCATGGGCACAAGCCAAAACTGGTTCAATTAACCGAAAATTGTCTTATATTTAATCCTTAAGATAATCATATAGAGATTATTTGATGATTTGTAATGAAAATCAATGTTCTTTAATGAATTCCTTAGTAAATCCCTATAGTGCAAATATTTATTATTTTTAAGATCGTTTTTTTATCGACTGGAAAAACAAACTTTTCAAATAATAATAGATAAATTACCAGGCACCTTTTCATCGGCTTTCACCTGTTGAATTAATCTCTACCCAGACAGAAAGTACATTTTGGGCGTAGCTGTTTTAATTCGATAATTCGAGGCGATTAATTAATCGATACGCCCGATGCGTACAGAATCGATCGCATTGTATCCCTCTAGCCAATTAATTCGAACGATTAATTCATTGATTGACTAATTAACCGAAACGTTCGGAATTCTCTCTATACACAACCATAAAAATGCTGTATTTTTTTAGAAATCGCCGGGACAGCTAGGTGACTATTAAAATGGCCATTAACATTTTTATAATTAACTACGTGCGTAACTAAAAGTTTTAATAAGTAGGTTAATAATTAGTATATCATTATAAGGTTGGTTCGATTTTATAGTTAAAATACGATTACATACGAATTAAAATGTTTGCAATGAATTTTCTCTCTACTTTTACAGATTTTATCAAGGATTTGGTGTATCCTGTAAATAAGAGTTATGATAGCAGTTAATAAGACATACCTGAAGGTGTTACCCTGTTGAATGGGGCACTGCGTGACGAAAGGTACCCCGTCGTAATATTGGCTGCCCCTCTGCCAGATTCCGTGCCAATGGATGGTCACTTCCATGCCTTCGATGTGATTCTCCACGTCGATGACGACCTTATCGCCCTCGCACACTTGTATACTGGGTCCCGGAATCATCCGGTTGGCCGTCAAAATGCCCCTTTCCACCCCATCGGCCAAAACGCACTGGCAATTCGACCAGACCGTGTTCGTGGCGTTGGGGGTGCACACTTGGCAAGCTCTGGAAAGGAGGAAAAATGTTCAAAATACTGTATTTTGTGGTAAGTACGAAGACAAAGAAAGGATTGATCTTGAAAACGAAACCGCAAATTACTGGAAAAAATGGTAGTGATACAGCGGGAGACCTTGATTAAAATAACCGTTTCAGTTCAGTTAATAAGTAATGTCTTCAAAATAATTAAAAGATACAAAACTATTCTATTTCTCTCGACCCGGATGAAAAATGTTTGGGTAAATAATAACTCTTTTTTTCAAGTGGTTTTTAATAAACGGTATAAATGGAGACATGCTGTATAAATCGACGGGGTTTTTGCCAGTCATGCGTCTATGATTTGATAATAAAAGTGCACGAACCAATGCGATTTTGTGCGTGCACATGTGAAGGGTGAAGGCGGTAACGATTTTTCCGAAGGACGACCGGATAATTAGCCGATTACTTTGTATTTTATACAGGATATTTCAAAATTGATACGTGTTACACATATCAAAATAATGACAAAGATCCATTTTTTTATATTGAAATTAAACACCCAATAACATAGCTATTGTCTAAGTTCTAAGTAAATCAGGGTTAAATCTCTGTATTTCAAGCTCAAGATTATCCTCTTAAATTGTTTAATATCGACTATTAGAACGCCCTGTATACCGCGTATTAATTGAGCATTATTAGTTATCAATTAAATGCCGTATTAAATTAATGTTACGTAAATAGGTTCTTGTATTTCAGGTCTAGAACCTTGTTTTGTTACCGTATAACGAATACACGAATTCCGTAAGGCGTTTCTAATCTAGGTAATATAATGTAACGAGTCTTGTTAATATTGAATAACATATAACACAATTTTTTAGTTTAATTACAGTAATTATTAAGGCAACATTGTTGTTGTTTGAATTGTTTAACGAGTGAATTTAAATTCGCGTTCTGTTAAAGAATTATTCCGCATTTTAGTACATTATTATCTTTAGAGATATTAGATATTAATGTAAAGGAAATTCATAGAATGTCGGTAAAATCAAAAGTGAAGTAAAACGCAATTTTACCAAAGTTAGCTCAGTAATTGCGTGTGGATAATAAAAATTATACGATTTATTTTATGCGTCTACTCTAGCAGGCTTTAAAAATCGAAAGAGAAATCCGTATTATAAGGAAAATAAGAAAATGATTAGATACAATTTAAAAAAATTCAACGCGACATTAATAATTCTCCGATTTCTAATGACATTAATATTAAAATGTAAATACATAGAAAAATATGCATAATCGATACGCTTAGAAATAAATCAATGGGAAATGAAAATCCGTCCGAACGAGTACTAATGAGATATAAAAAATAGTATATACAATTAAACCGTTAATTATAATTAAATAATAAGTACTTCTAGGCCATTTTTTTTATTTACTTTTTGAATAAAATACATAATAATGTACGTACTTACAAAGGTTGTTATGAAAAATATTCTCTCGTATGTTAGAAATGTAAAAATTTCAATAGGACTCATTTGATCACCTAGTTATTATAATCTTATTGTAATACTGTATGCAAGTAGTGTTTAGCCCATTTCCACGTAATTATAAAACGTTTTGGCTAATGTTAACAGTGGATTTCTCAAGTGGAACAAACTTTTTTTCATCGACCATTATGCAATCTAATTAAACGGTTTTTTGTCTTACACTAGCTCGAACGAAATGTTTTCTACTTCAGTTAATCCCGCTGAGGATTTAATAGACATCGAAATAAATCCGCGTTCATTCGTGAATGAAAAGCTTTTTTAGGGGAGTTTTTTTTGTTATTGTGGGTACTTACGCGCCGAGTACGGTGTACAATTCCAACGTGAAGTGGTAGTAACAAATCTTGGGGGGCTCCCCTTCCCGGCAGGCACGCGCGCACTCGTCGGGGGCCGACAGCGAGGGGTTCTTCCTCAGCTCGTCGGTGGAGGAGAGCCGGTAGTCCAGGTGCTTGACCGGCACCTTCGAACCGGCGCCCAGCCGCTTGGACGAGGGCCCCGCGGGGCCCTTCTGGCCGGGGTGGGTCTGCGCCAGGCCCTGGGATGTCGTGTAGAACGCCGAATCAGGCGGCAGGGAGGCGGATATGTCGCTGGACCAGTAACTCGCCGCCGGGGTTTGGTCTGAATTTGCGCCTGGAATATACATATAATAAAAATTAGAATTACAAACATATTAAATCGCGAAAAAAATGCAAGAAAAGCTAGACATTTACAACGATTTTATATTGTTTTTTTTATATAATTTACATGATTAAACATCCTGTATTCGATAAATTTGTTCGACTTAACAGGAAACTAATAAATCAACGGCCCATGCGAATTCTATCGTTACGCGAAGACGAATTCTCTCCGCATTTATTCCAATTAATACGTGTCGCAATTTACATAAAAATGACATTGCAAAATACCCACAAGAATAAATAAATACACACACACTCACATGTAGCGAGTTGACTTTTACTCTGGTATTTCTATTTCTATATCAATTTCAATTTCAACACTAATCTTGAACGCTTCTAATTGGAATACGCCCTCGGGTTTTCATTAATTATGAAAAATTTTATCGGTAATTAGGAAGTGAAAGTTTTTTGTGGACGAAAAAAGCGACATTTTTTTGTGCGTATTTGCGTTTAAGGATAACGAAAATTTCGAAAAAAAACGCAAAAAAATACTGCAGAGGAGAAAGTTTTTAGAATATATTTTAAAAAGAAATCACGTACTGAATATAACGTTCCTTTGTCAAGAAATGGGATGACATGAAAAAATCCGGGCATAGTATTCAACATTTTAAAATTCATCTCTTTTACTTGCAATATAAAAATAAAGAACTTATTTTTTCACGTTTAGGTTAGATGTATTTTCAAACTATTCTTAGCAACTTTCAGCAAAATAGCATAAGTAACCAATTTGATTATATTTCATAACTAACTTAATTATGTTTTGCACAGAATTCGTTCAGACTCCGTTAAAATCGTTTTTTCTAATTAAATTACCCAAATTGGCTCTCGGTCAGACGAAATTAGACTAATCGTTTTTCGACTTGTGAAACAGTTCATGGGGAAAACAAAGAGACGCCCGAACAATAGGTGAGAATTTTTTCATTTTCAAATCTGCATTGTGTACCATACTGATTTAGTAACGTTAGTAAATGATTTAGTAACAAATATATTTTACATTGTTTTTTTTTATTCTAGACGTTTTCTGACTGCATCTAAAGATTAGGCGTCATTCGCAAAGTATGTAAAGTCAGGTAGGTATTCTAATTCGAACGTGATTCAACGAGAGAGAAATTCGTATGAGCTTTGAAATGCATCAAACAGGGAAAGATGTATCTACCTTGATACCGATATAGAAAAATCAACTATTTTATGTCTTCTTTCAATCGATTTCAAAACTAATTATTGACGGACACTCCCGCAATTATTTTATTAATATTTGTCGCCTGCGCATTGACTATTATGAAACGAGTTTGAGCAATACAAGGTGGGCCATAAACGTATATCTCGATAAAGTACCGCTCGTAAGCGCAAATCACGCCTATAATAAATCTAAAATTGGTATATTTTCTACAAGTAATCGATACGCTAATAGCAAATGATTAGTATATCGATAATTCGTAAATTATTTCGGTTGATTATAAATCATTTGCGAATATTAATTGGGCCCGAATTAGAGCAGGGTCTTTGTCAGATCCATTAGAAATTTACTAATGTACTCGTAGAATTTCTTCTTGATCGAGTATGTAGTAATTTAAAAAATACACAATCAGTTAGATAGTTATTGACGCTTAGTATAGTTTTATATGGAGATGAAAATGATTTGTTTTAGTTCACTACAACACCTTTTTCGATTTTAACACTTCCATTACTCAGCGCCTTTTTAGGTAATAGAAGCAAATGCTGTTGAAAATATCGTCCATCATCCAGTAACAAGCCCGAATTTCTTTTAATAAATGCAGTAAAAAAAATTGTTTATGCAAGAACGTCCGTCAAACGCGGTAAATTGATTAGAGAAAGTCGAAATTACCTGTCGCAAAGGAGATTTATACGTATTAACAAAAATGACTCAATTAAATTCTAAACGCTGCTTGTTTGTTTAGCTAATAAAACATAATATTGTAGGTTGATGTTTACGAGTCTATCAATTAATGGATCGAATCCATTATTTAATTAAAATGAATGAATTTAATATATATGTATACAAATTTGGCGAAAATGTTTTACAAGGTGATTCTAAATGGTTTTCATATTCAATTAGAATTATCGGCAGTGCAAACCTTGCAGGGTAAATGAATATTTAGTTTTTATCTGACCCTGTATACATATTAATTGTTTATTAAAATATACCTACGTGTAAAAAAATATCGGTACTTTCAATTGAGCCGGATGCGAATTCTACATTTCTTAATCGCTTTTCCAAATTTATTATAATTATTGACGAATCATTCTGTCAATTAGGACCGTTTTAATTACTCACAATTTCCATACTTTCGGAATTTAATTGCCTTATTGTTAATGTTCGGTTATATTAATTTTGTAATGGAATATTGCAAAGCTTTTAGTCTCATTTTCACGTTAATTATGTAAATTTTTCGGCTCGTTTTTAATTGAATCATTTAATCATTCACTGAAAACCTTCAAAAGACGTACCGAATCTGATCTAACATACTGAAAAATTCTTCAATTTAGTTAGCTAAGTAAGATCAAATTGCTGGTTTTTTGTAAAATTTCTACTTACATTAACAATAAATATCTCATTTAACATTTTTATAAGTAAATTAATTTATAGTTTTGTAAGTAAATTTAATGGTATAGGCATCTAACAGGTGATAAGCGTCGACTTTCTTGACCCGGACTTTTCTATCGTATATACGGAAAAATTAATACTGTCCACAAAAAAAAAACTTTCTAACTAAATATTTTTCCGAAAGAAATGATCAAATTACAGCTTTTTCATTCAAATTTTATATACCAACCCATAATTACGCAATTTAATCAGATACAATCATGTCCCACAGCAATATAACAATATAAAAATTTGCTTGAATAAAATGTAATATTAGCATTAATTTAACGCTTTACATACATGGAGATTCGAGAAAATAAAATTATACAGGGTGGAGTTTATTCTTTCAGCAGTATAGTTTCTACGCAAGGTGAGCAGTAGTTAATGGATATATCAGTCAATCATTTGTAGTTAAAATTCCTGATGGTCGATGAAAACTGTCGCATTCTGTGCGTTAAATCGCTCGATAAGTGTGTAAACTTCTACGGCAAACATGTTTTTTCGCGTTACTTTCAAGGTGTAACGCAAATGAAAGTGAAAACGCGATTACTATGTAGTAATACGAGCGTTACTAATGCCATGTAAATTCGCCAGTTTTTTGGGATCCTGTACTGTATAACATAAACTAGTTCGTTGCTGTTAAATTCGTTAATTATGAGCCGGTTAATTGGCGGATTCGGTGGGAATGAATGCGAATTTAATCAGGAGAAAATTATAGGTAAAACTTTACGGTTGGGTACCCTACTGTATTAAATCTACTGTTTTTAATTTCGACCAATTTTGTATGATAATTCGACGGCTAATTAGTGGATAAACAAAAAAAAACTTATTGGACGAACTCATTTATTCAGTTAAGAAATCTTGGCGCAATTGTTGCTCAAAAATCATGCAAAAATTTCGGTCACGAAATATCGAGCGCTTTGGTATATTTATTTGCGTTTTTCTATCGTATCGTTTGTTTAATTTCGCGTAAAAGTAATTTGGTATTATTACGTATTGCTCCAGTATTCAATTACTACGACAAAAAAACGAATTATATTATCGTATGTAATGGCTAATTTCAGCATTTATCCTAGTTAGAAGATCGAGAAATAATGTCGTGACAGATATTAATCGAAGGAGAAAATTTGTATTTACCTATAACATAAAGTACAATAATGAAGATATTATATAGCGCTTTCTTATTTTTTTTGCAATAAATGAAACATACAGGGTGAGATGATAAATTGGACACATCATAGATATTCCCTTATACATTAGTGTAGTCTAATTATCCAGGTCAGACAATTCGATTTTTTACAATTCCTACCAGGGCAAATAACACAAATTTTATCAGACGATCGGAGATTGTGTAACGTAATTGATTTAGTTTATGCGGCTGTTTTGAATGGGATACAATCGACATTGAATCAGTTCCTCGAGTTGTTACAATTCCTTCGGACAAGCCTCTAATAATAACGATTAGAAAAAAAAGAAATGAAACCTTAAGGTCACTTAAATTCGGCTATTTGTAATAACAATAATTTTAGACTGACCGCAAGTATTATATCAGGATATATCGAATCCGCTTTATCGCTACAATATCGGAATTAGATAGAATTGAATGTTCAATATCGAAGGTAAAGTGGGTTATAATAACGTTTTGCAATGTGGTTTTTGTGCAAATATAGAGGTTAAATGATTAAATTAAATGATTCTCTGATCTATAAATACGTATATAGGTTACAGTTAATGTATTAGCAAATATTGTTACGAGGATATCTCAATATTTCAATTAATTCATTAAAATCGGCCAATTATTATTGTTAATTTCATTCATATTTGCCCAAACCTTCAGACTAATCAAGCTGAAATTTAGAACACTCTGGTACAAGTAGAGAGGAAGCTTTTACATAAATAACAAAGAAAAATCGTTTTAGAATAATGGAGACAATTATTTTTTTCTCCACTTCGGAATTAAGGTCAAGATTTATATTTCATTAACGGTGAAAACGTACGAAATTCTAGACGAAACGGACGCGCACAGGCCGGAGATTTATACAAAAATTTGTACGGTTTTTCGGTGAAAATAATCTTTGAACGGAATGCGGTCTACCGTTGAGCCGTAAAATGTGTGCGCAATTTGCCACTGTGATTGCGAACTCGCGCTATTCATATTCGAATAGAGGAAGTAAGTACAACGGCCCGAGCGATTTTATTTCAGCGCGAGACTTTCACAAAAACGGTTTTGATTTAATGTTTAATTGAAGAAATTTATCAATTATCGGGCGAGCAAAAAAAATGGGCGGCATTTAGAGTCGTTACTTTCATTATTAAAGCAAAACGGCGTAAAGGGAAATTGGAATTTG